AGAACAAACAGCACAGCTGCTAAGAAGATGTTGTCGACAACTCCCGGCACTTCGTCAAAACCCCCATCTCAGGTGCAAACGGTTGATACACTGCGCCAACGTGCTCAAATCGATTGTAATCCAGTTACTGTGGCAATTGCGTTGGAGCCGCTCCATGCTGCCGTGCCACCCCCAGAGCTCCACACGCAAGACAGCAGAGTGTAGGTCTGCAGTGCTCGCCATATGTCGTCGTGGTCATTGTCGTCTGCGGGTGTCGCTGATTGGTTGTTGTGGCGGTTTCTGTTGCTGTCGTTGTCGTAACCATAGCGACCGTAATGGTGGGCATCGTGGAAACCCCTTTGCGGCTTGATGCTGGCAGGCGTGGTGAACAGTTCATGATCCCACAGCCGTGGAGCCCGAACATCCAGAACCCCAACCTTCGCGTGATGAGCGAGTGGGGCGAGCGAATCTACTGAGAACTGGGGTGTTGGTGCGTGCTAGCCGAACGCTTAAGCCGAGCTAACCCTTGAGTCATGCCGCAAGAAACGCGGAAATTGCTGGGAGGGGGCAGAAAAAAGTACGAGGGAACCCCACCAACCGCCCACGGAACATCAGGTGAAAGTCGAGGTTTGCAGCTTGGTCACCCGGTGACCATAGATGGCTGAGAGTCCTGATCACTTGCCGATTGGAGCAAGAATAATGATACTTGCGGATGGTATCAGAGTGCTTCGCTGGATGCAGCGCAGACGAAAGAACCAAGTTGGAGATAAGACTCCCCAAGATGCGGCACAAGTGAAAGCAAGTCTCGTTGTTGTCGCCTTTCAGATGGTTAAGATGGACATCCTGGTTTTCATTATGATTGACCCGAGTAGATCTGGACTCCTGACTTAAGGGGACACAGTCCCAATGTATTTTGAGTTTGGGGACGGAGCACAGTGCTCATGGCATATTTAGCTCTTCGCAGATAGCGCCGTCTGTCCTGCTTGCGGAACAGAAGCGCAAATCTGCTTAGTTCATTTTCTTCTTCTATTCGCATTTTGAGTTCGCAAACCAGCGTGTAGCCTGCTGATGCGCTGCCTGCGTTGAGAGTTCGGACTGGTGTGCAGTAGTCGAGCCCGCTTTTGGGGGTGCACTGCTGTGCAAGAAGACCTGCGGGCACTTCGTCTAATCTGTCGTTGGTGTTACGTTTCTTCTCTCGTTTGCGGGCAAATGACGACGTGGTTAATTGTTCACCAGAAAGCCGCCAAGGTGTGAGGCACGACGTGCAACCATCGGTGAATTAACGAAGAAATGGATGAACGCATGAATGAGAAAATGAATGGTTGAATAATGCAATGGTTGAATAATTGAGAGAGGAGTGCTTGAGTTGTCGAGAATGGTTGATTCGTTGTATCGTTAAATAGTTAATAGTGGAGTGATGAAATGATGGGTGTGGCGGTGGTTGTGGCTGTGGCTGTGCGGCGGTGCGGCCGTGCGGCTGTGCGGCCGTGCGGCTGTGCGGCTGTGCTGCTGCTGCTGCTGCTGCCGCCGCCGCCGCCGCCACAGCCGCCACCACTGCTGTGGGTGTCGATGTCTCTGACGCCGTCGCTGTCGCTGTCGTCGTTGTTGTGGTGGTTGTTGTTGTTGTTGTTCCTTATCCGAGTCTTTAGTGAGTTGCGGGAAGTTTCTGGGTCCTGTTGGTTATAGTTTTACATTTGTGTCATATTATATTCCCAATAAGGAATAAGAATGATCATTTTAGATTCGATAGAACCCCAACAATGAAGCAGGTTTGTGTATTGGTGGGGCCAGGTTCTGGCCCTTGCAAGGGCGTGTCGCACGGGTGCCCGTCGTCCTGTTGTGTAGAGGGGCCATCATTGCTGTTCTTGCTTTCGTGTTTTATGTTGTGGTGCTTCGGGTCCCAGAAGACCAGAGCGTTAAGGAACCTGCTGGGGGACGCGGGCATTTGTTCATTGATGGGCCAGCAGCATTCAACGACTGTGTGGTGGCGGATACCCATCGTGCAGGCCTGTGCTTGAGTCCACGGTCCACAGCTGCCTGCTAGGGCGCACGCTGAGATGCACCATTTTGTGGAAGATCGCAGGTGGTGCTGCAGTCTTTCTCCACGGCTTCTAGGCTTACAGTTCTGTTGTTTTTCGGCCCTCTTTCACTTTGCCGTGCAAGCTGAGGCAGACTGTCTGAGATCAATGCCACACTACCATATTTGTCTTACCGGTGGATCTCAGATGCTGGCCAGGAGACTGCCAAAAGGGATTTGGATACGCAGTGAAAAATTGCAGAGACGAGTTGTGCTTAGAACATGTGTGTGTGTGTGTGTGTGTGTGTGTGTGTGTGTGTGTGCGTGTGCGTGTGTGTGCGTGCAGGAGGAGCCGTTTACGAGTGAAGCAAGGGTGAGGCTGCACCTCCGTGCATACTTGCGTCTTGGCGGCCATCAGTGATGGGGAATATGCAGACTGGCGGCTAGCATGTCAGATGAGTAGCTCATGCAAGCAAGGTCTGCGGATGATCCACGAGATCTCGTTTCTGGAACCATGGATTTGGTAGTGCTGCCCTCCGAGGCCGTGGGTTGTTGAGGTGTCGGTAAGCACAAGTATGCCAAGAATCTGCAAGCATGCTCAGCCGGAAGCAGACATGACATGCGATGTGCTCCACTCTACGTTGGTCCCAGCATGGAGGCAGAGCAGCTGTCGGAGATCGTCAGCAATGCAACGCCAGCATTGCCAACACTGCAGCTGGTAGCGACGAAATCTTCAGCTGCGGGTGTGGTGGAAGTCCTGCAGGGAGCGAACATGACACTGAGCAACGTCTTGCAAGTTGAGACAGAAGAAGTCAAGCACCCTTGGTCAATGGAACTGGACTCGCCAACTTACTTTGAGCTGAACTTGAGCCTTGCAAATGGGCTGACTTTTGCCAAGCCGCTGCCAGTTCATTGCATCAATGCGGCGGTGGTCGGCAGAGTGAATCCCGTACAGCAGGTAATCAAGCAGGATGTCTCCATTTTCAGCACAATGCTTTTGCCGCAGACCAGGCACACCGTGTTCGATTCTTGATAGATCTGCATATACATCTTCAGTTCCACACCCCATACAACCGATAGGCGCTCCATGCTATGAGGCCGTCGAGCCTGTGTAGTGAGGGGCTGTGCGTATAAGACGCCACTTGTAGTCTTGGCACAGCCGCTCCCTAGCAAGACGGTTTGGTAGTTTGGCAGTTGCGCCCGTCCTGGTTCCTTAACTAGCTTAAGGGTTGGGTGTAGGTTTGTGATCCGATGGCCTGAACGAGTGCCCGACGTTGCGGGCACAATGATATGTTTGTGGGGCGTGGGCAGATTCAGGAAACTGCTGCAAGTTTCATGGCAGTAATGGCCAAAAGGGTCTGCAAACCCACAAATGAAACTTTAATCCCTCTTCATATGCAAACGGGCAGTGAAGGATGACTACTGGGAACACTTGCGCGCGAACCACCCTGAGTCTCCAGTTTCCTGGTTCCTCTTTCTTTGCCTGAAAAAGGCGACCATGGTTCTGCGATATAGCAGTTCTGCTAGCTGTACTGAGTATTGATTCTACAGTAGCTGGCTTGCCCGAAATAGTTGGCTTAAAACACCTCGATGGAGTGCTTGGCCTGATGGTGCATCGTCTAGGTTTTCCTTTCCTCATTCTCCCGGATTTCTTGTGTGAGCGCATAGCTCAGGAATTTCAGAAGGCCTGACTGATGGGCCATAAAGACTATATTAGACTATATTGAATATGGCGGTCTTTTCGAGCCTTTTTCCCACATAAAAGTGTGCGGATTTTCGATCCTGCTCTGCTGAGTTTTGGAGCCCTGGTGGTTTGGAAGTTGGGTTTCTTCGAGCATCGAACTTTAGGCCCACAGTCTCAAATGAGGTACGAAGTTGTTTTGTAGCTTCGGTGTTTGAGAGATTGTGTTTGTTTTCGAGCTGGCTCAAACTTTCCAAAACTTCTTCCCTGCTCTTTTTGTGAGCCGGCCCGAAAAAAAAATGCAAAACTGAGGGCTTACTGAAAGTCCCATAGTTGCACGTGCTTTGGAATGTCGAAGTTTTTCCATGGTTTTTCGAACCGTCGATGTTCGTGTAAAATGCAAGCAGGCCTCGAGAACTAACCATGGTTCGCGCGGGCTCGCTGCCCGTGTGCGAGGCGGCGTAATGCGGATCTAGTCCTTCTTGCCCTTCACGTGGGAGCACTACGTAAGGAAGGGTTGCAACGTGTGGAGTCTGAGGCACGGGGTTAACCCCACACCCTGAAGTCATGTCGCATCTCCCGTCCAAAAGATACAGCGATAAACCGGTAGATCATCTGGGCGGGGGCAGGGGTGGGGGGCGGACATACACATAAACATTTTAAAAACTGCGTACTGCTTGTGCCGCCCAGATTCTCGAATTCAGATTGACCGAGGAGGAGGCACGACCACGGCATTCAGCGTCCTTGTGACAGGCTCAATCTGCACGCCTCCATCGCGACGCTGCAGAAGTGCCTGGACAGCTTGGAGGTGCACATCCCTTGGGATACTCCGGTCACGGAGCCTCGGCAGCCTGAAAAAGACGGGTCTTCCTGCCTGGCTAGTTTAGCAAACAAGCTGAGGCACCGCCAGTTTCCAAGGGTCCCTACCTGATGTCGACCGTGCCTGCCAATGGTACCACGGAAGTGAGCACGTCAGATTTCCAGGCTCCCTGGAACCGAATGGAAACTCACATGTTGCCAGCTACTTCTTGCTGCTATGCATGCCGGGTGCAAAACTCTTGTGTTGAGGTTCTGTTGACATTCAATGATTGGGTGCAAGCTGGCGAAGGGTACTTTCAGCTTGTCGAAGCCTGGCTGCATATTTCACAGTGGCGGCGGAATTTGCCTGCTGTGGGAGTCTTTGCGGTGCAAAGGACTGCGGAGCCGACAACATGTGTGGAGCAGTCGCCCAGAGAGCACATGTCTAGCTAGGGCCTAGCTGCACTGTTGCTGTCAGTGGGCAATCTGTGTATCAGTGAACACGCTGAATCCGAGGTTGGAACCATGGATGACACAGTTACTTATATCTCCGTCCACGATGCGTTTACAGTCTCCTTCAACAAACACTTGGTCTCGATCAAGTACCCTGAACGCCTCCGTGGGTTGAATCTGCATCAGTTCGTCATTCCGCCGGGCGCCATCCGAGACATCACAGGAAGGGTGGAAGGGATGTGTTCGCAATGAGTGGGTGCGGGAGGGTCGGTCGTGCAGGTGTCGACTTCCCCGGCGTAGTGGGTGAGGAGTTCACCTTCCGGACAGGCGCCGTGAAGTGACGGCAGTCGTCTGGGTGTCATAGGGTCGGTGTGAATGTGCAGGCCTTGCCAGCTCTACGCCATTGGGCTGGCGTCTTGCAGCGGGAAACATCAGTGATGACTTGGGACAGCCAGGAGGTTGGTATGTCTGCGAGCTGCAGCCTGGAGCTCAGGGCAAGAGGGCAAGCCTTGGCAAGCCGGCCACTGCAGTCTTGGCACCAAGCAATCGAGTGGGCTTGAAGGTTCTTCTTATCGAGCGACTGCACGACAGAGCAGATGCAGGGAACACCTGCAGCAAGCAGCGAAGCCAACGCTTCCAACTGGCAGGACATGATGCACTTGTAGAGGCCCTGCCGACTGAAATAGCCAGCGTAGCTGTGTCAGGACATCCGCGAGTTTGAGGCAAACCTCGCCTTTGACCAAAGGCCGGCCACAAGGGGATGTTTGCAGGGCAACCGCAGCCAAAGCAAAGGCAAGAAGGACGTCTACCTAACTTAAACAGAATGGCGATTTCCTACGCGCGTCTAGGGAAGAATGTCGGCATGCGTTCTAACCTCCAGAAACATGAGGAATGTGGTATGGACATAGATAGAGGGTTACAGCAGCAATGGGCATTGGCAACGGACGCCTAGCAAGACCTGTTTGTGAATGGCATGTTAATTGCACGCGAGCATGAAAACCTTAGATGTAGCTCCAGCACCTAGGCCGCTAGTCACATGCAGTATAGCAGGGCTGTCAAAACCAACGCCGTAACTTTGGTGGTAGCGTTGGAGCCTGGCGAAATCTGGCCCCCATCCGATTTGCATCGCTTTGGCATGTGGCCAGTACGAGCACATGTTGGTGGAGCGACTCCAACAAGCCCGGAAGCTGGATTGGCTTGCATGTGTCCCCGGGCCTGAGTTTGCCTGGTTTGTGCCTCTGCATTCACCCGCATCTGTTGATGTTACTGCCGCCATCTTGCTAAGGAAGTCTCCTGGCTTATATGCCCGATCATTAAAGCTACAAGGCAAAGCCGGGGAGGTGAAGCCGGAGGAGATATATGTCGCCTTGCCAGAAAAGTTGTAAGAAACGAAGAGTTGAGCAATCCAAAGTTCGGGTCACCAATTGGGAGTGATGGCTGGGAGTCGCAAATTTTTAACACGAATTCGATCCTCTCAGGTGCAGTTCTACGTTGGTGGCCGCTCTGCTGAATGTGTTCAACTGTGAGGCTGCCTGCTTTGTAGTCGGCGGGCCTGAATCAAGAAATCTGAATTTCTGAATCGTAAGGCCTGTGGTACACACTGCAGACCTTCAGCTACACGGAGGCGTGCGTGTCATTGTCCTCAGACTTCTCTGTGATCTTTGGCAACGCTCCGTGTCGTCGGTTCAGTTCTTTTCCCTTTCTCACGAGAGAGCATTAAGTTCTCATCCACCAAGGGCCAAGGGGCCAAGGGACAGCCTTTCTGGGCATGTTACAGCCAAGGAGTTCGACACAGTAGCCCCTCGAATCCTGAGCAGCGATCCGGACCTGTCCAGCAGCCTGGCTGTTAGCACCACCCAGAGGATATCGCTCGTCTTCAGCGAACGGATTCAGAGCCCAGGCTGAGCCAGTAACGTAGCGTCCGTAACGCTTGCAACGGTTGTCATGCAATCACGGCAGTATACTTCCAACGCAGCAGCTCGACGACGGGAGTTTAAGGATCGTGCCTGGCAGTGATTTCCTCTTGGTCGATGCTGGAGCAGATGGCCTTTGCAGTACCGCAGATGACACAGTTCTCGCGATTCCGGTTGATCTTCCGACTGCTGCGGCTGGGCCCCCCAGATAAGAGTTGATTGACACACATCATCGTGAACACACATCATCGTGACGTGTCAGGTACCTGCCCCGACCTGACCCAAATGTGTCCGGCACAATGAATTGGGCGAAGCGCAAGTTCCGAGCCTGCTTAGGTCCAGAATGGCACTGTTCCTTGGGTCTACATCACAGGCGAGACAGTACTGATCCGGTATCCGTATCAAGACATGCCCCTCGGCATGGTTGGGCAAGCTTCCCGAACATGTGTGAATGCAGCTGCCAAGGACGGGTGGCAACTACCACTGCTTGCAGGTGGAGCCGGGCATCATTCAGGATTTGGCCGGGACGCCTTTTCCAGGGCTGATCGGCCGCAGCCTCAGCATGAGTGTGCATTCCAGCGCCGTGGATTCTTCGGGAAAGCCCGAGACGGTTGTCCGACGTTTTCCAGCTTGGGAAACAGGAAGGCGGTTTTTATCTTTGCCCACCCGGCTGAAAGCTCTGTTCCGGCATGTTCTCCTGCAATTGAAAGAGCTGAGGCGACGACTTCCGCTTCCCCGTGGCCACTACGCCCTTCCAAGATGCTACTGCCCCAGTCTTCGTGGCCACGGAACCGCCCTCAGGCAGGGTCTGACAGTCTGACATTGACTGTGCAAGCACACTCGACGCACGTTTGGCCAGGCACCGAGTTGGCAGGTCTGCAAATCCATTCGTTCAAGATCTTCATGAGCCACGTGGTTGCGACCATTTGCGGCCACGTGTGTGAGTGTCAATTTCTGTAACAATGCACATATGCTCTTGAGTCTCTTGCATGGAGTTGCGTAGCCTTTCTGTCAGCATTCGGCACGTACCAAAGCATCCGGACATGGCCCATAAGTTCAGCCCTTCATCTGGCTTTGTGCCAAGTCAGCGGTTGTCATTTCGGGATTTGGAATGGATGTGGTTGATGATTTCCTCCGTCACAATGGCAGGCTCGATGTGATCACACGCGCACACACACACACACTGGCTCCTGTCAAAGACTTTTGGGGCTTCGCCAGTCTTGCTTATAGACGGCATTTTGCGCGGCCGGGTGTTGCAAGATGTGTGGCGAAGGCGTGCTGGAGCTCCGTGGTTGCGCAATGCAGTAAGGGCACCCTGGGCCAGAAGCAGGCTCGCCACCCTGCGGCTCTCAAGAATGGGCGCTGGTCGCTGGCCCTTCCAGCAAGCACGATCCAGCAGGGACGGGAGAGGGCTCCGAAGATCTCCGAAGAATGTTCGAAGATCTGCCAGGTGCATCTGGTTCGGCCAGGTCTCAGCTTACCTGCAAAAGGGATGGCTCTTCTGCCGCTCTGCTGCGCATCTCTCCTGCCGCTTCGGAACGACATTTTCCTGCTGCTTGGACGTGACAGGCCTCAGGGTCTGTGTCTCGATGCGACATAATTGCATTGGAATTACTTGCATGATCCCAGCTGGAAACGGCGATGCTGCCAACGAGTGTTGCTCTTGGACACAAGCTGGACCATCTGACAGATGGGTACTGATTGCAGATAGTGTCCAGTGACTTCGGATGGACGAGCTCGTTGGTACGTTCACTCCGCTGTGAACTGTTGAAGCTTGAACAATTGGACATTGAATCGAGCGGCAGTATGGGATTGCGGCGCGGGCTCGCCTGCTTGACAATATAGGTGGTTGTGTTTTAGTAAACGGGAGGTTGTGTGATGCCAATCTAATGAGAGGAAAGAGAGCCAAGAAACACGACCCATAAACAAGACTCATAAACAAGGCGCACAAACAACTACTCGAAAACGAGCGAGATCTTTGTATGTGACAGTGTGAGAGGCGGTTCGTTGGCAGCGCAGTCCCATCTGTACCTTCAGTTTTTGTCACCTAGAGCCCTTTTAGTGAGAAGACTCCCGAGACGAGGGATGGCAACGGCTTGTGACCACCACCGCTAAGGCGAGGTCGTTGTCCCCTGCGATCCGGAGTCCTTCCGACTTGTTGGGCTGTTGTAGGGATTTGTCATTGCAAAGTCTGCATACTCGGAGAATTGCCTGGCCTGCCAGTATCATGGTGCGTTCCGCGCAGATTGCGGGCCCGCACGAGATTTACTTCACCACGCTTTACGCAAACGGTACATTAGCTGCAGAGATGTGGTTGAGCATCCATTTCTCAGGGCTTCCATTCTGCTTTGCATGCCTGAGGCAGCCTGGACATGAACACGGACCACATCGTCATCCCATTCACTCCTGAGAACGATGTGATAACTCCCATGTATCTCAGCATTAGCGACTCTGTGCTTTCCGTGGCTTGCCTGCCTTGAGAGATCGGTAGGCCGAGCAAGAAGCAGTTCAGAAGGACCAGCAATACTTTGACTCGACTTCTGTTGGTGGCATGTCGTAGGAAGATAGTGACGCCACGCGATTGAACTCCCTAAAACTCAGCAGAGTGCGCAGTTCGATTGACATCAAAACAGAATTGCAATGCTTCAAGCAGAGCTGGCCAACAGCAAGGGTGTGTTGCAACTCACACGCGAACAACAAGAAACTCTGGGCTCGTCCCAGTCCTTTCGTATTCAAAGCGATCCACACTTTCTCGCCTGAGGCAGAGTACGTGTTGTCCCGGATCTAAGAGACAAGATGGACTGTCTTCCTGAATAGGAAGCATTCCTTCAAGGCTCCCATGCACTTGACATGCACTACCACGAAGACCGCCAACACCAAAGTGGAATTCGCTGACAAGACGAGCGGACTACAGCTGCTCAAGAAACTGTAGCCCTAGGCGACGAGGAAATAGGAACTTCACTAACCCTCGCGGCCGGCAAATTTACTTTTTCAAGACTTGTTTTTGGACTTGGAGGATGGCCTTTTCCCGCCCGAAAGAAAGAAAGCACGAAAGCAGTCGGCCAGCGCGGCCGCGGTTCCCCTTCTTTTGGTGGGATTTAAGCAGATGTAAACATAACTTCGGATCTCTCGTGGCGTAGCGTCGGGGAACTTCCGCGTGTACGTATCAGGTTTTGTTTCAAGGCCTCCTCTTTGCCCTCCTGAGGGGCTTTTTTTGCTTTCCTTTGGCCGGTGCGTCTCCTCTGCTGTGACCCTGAGCGGATTCAGACCTTTCTTGTGATCATTTGTGATTTTCTTCGCCCCTTCACCCCTGCCTCGATCCTGTGGGCTGCCTTGTGGGCGGTCTTCAGCCGTTATTTCTACGTTTGCCTTGAGCGTGGCTCACGTGGGCCCAGGTGACTCTCAACAGGACTCTCTTGTATCTCGGCAGCGAAAAAACAGCGTCGGGCCTAGCAGGAGGCTGCAAGTTGGACCCTCTAAGGATTGGAAAGACATACACGGTTTGGATTGAAGCCAACTCTTTCGTGGACGCTTGTCTGGAGATGAAAATTGCTGGATTGAGTTGTTGCTACCATGAAACGGGCTGAAAGCCGAGGATGAGTCAACGACATCGATCTTTGACATTACCGGCGTACCCACGAACATTCCTAGAAACTTTGCTGGGCTGGCACCTGGCGACGTGGTCTTCACCGTGGTATCCTGCATGCACACAGGGTTTCGATCCAAAGATGGCCGGTGAATTGATGTCATTTGTACTAGGCCTCCGCGGGCAGAGTAGTGGCTTTTGCTTGCCTTTTCCCCCTCTAAGTGGCCGAATGCCAAGTGTGTGTGGAGGTGCTTGATTTTGAAATCTGAGCCTGTTCGCAAGTTTGTTCGGAGCTCTTGACTGCTTCGCAGGAAGTACTGAAGAGCTGCTCATCTTCTGTGCTGTCGTGTCAACCCCCTTGAGGTTGAACCGACCGATCTCGAGCGGAACCCTTACAAGAAGTCCACAATTCCAGTCTGGGATGTGGAGGTAGAGGAAATGGCACGTCCAGAGAAGGTGCACCGGCAATGTTCGGAATGGACAACACTGCTAGTACCTTGTGTGGCTGCGCAGGAGCCACTTATGCCTTTTCACTTGGACCACTGCTACATCGATACGCCAAACTGCACAGAGACGAATCCGAACATCACAAACGGAAGCAATGAGAGCAGCTGGGCAAAAACTGAACTAGACATGGTCAAGAGCGTACTATGGCTGTGGCTCGTGCCGTGCTTGGCTCAGCTCAGGCAACTGCAGTGCTTGGGAAAACATTTCCGTGCTCAGTTTCTTGGCAAGCCTCCGAACAAGCACCCTGAAATCCTCTGAAAGCTTGATGTCGACTATGCCGTGACCATGCTTCCCACCCCAGGTGTTTGTGGGCTGACCCCTCGTTCTGGCCAGGGGTTTGCCAAAGTGAGGGAGGAGGAATTGTGGCTGCAGCCTTGGCACTGGCTGCGTGCCACAACGCCAAACGCCACGTTTCAAGTCCAGTTGGACGTCCCTTGGCTCATGGCACGCTTTGCGCATCATTTGCACCATTTGCGTTGCTCGGTACGTAGCCTCCGTTTCGCATCTCGCCCAAAAGGTGATGGATGCAAACTCCCCCGTGCTGATCAAATCCAGGGAGGTGCGTGCCACACACGGCCAAGTTTTTGGGTCGAGAATAGTGGATGTGTGATGATGCGTGCCAGGAAGTCCATGTCACTGCGGGAACAGCGCAGCTGCTCGCCACCTCCGAGAATGAGGGCCCTTTTGTGCTACAGGACCTGAACGTACGATCCAAACTGAGAGAACCACAAGTCGGCGCTGAGACAGGATGACTCCTTTGCAGAGCTCTTTGTAGAAGTCTCCGTCGAGCCTGCTGGGGTGCTTGGTGCCTTGGACCATGAAAAACCACACCTGCGCTGCAAAAGTCAGGAAGCCCTTTCGGTCCTTTGCCCATATGAGGTATTCTTCGATCTGCTTGGCGGGACTGGGGCGGCCGTGTGAACATCAGTTTCGACTTTCCGACAGTCAATCCTGACTATGGCCGCCAAGCTGACACTTGCTTTTCATACGTTATGTCCAGGCCTAGTGCGCTCCATGTCAGTCTGAATGGGGTCGAGATGGGTCGAGCAAGGTTCCTTGGGTCAGGGGGACCTCACTTCAACAACTCTGGAGGGACGGTCTGCTTCAAAGCTGTCCTTCTACGGCATGGCCGTGCAGCTTGGTGGCGCCTGGTGGGTGCAAGATGAGCCATGTTGTGGTGGCAAGTGTGCCACAAGCAACATGAGGTCGGTAGAAGCAGCGCTCAGCAATCTCAGCTATACAGCGCCAGCAGAGTTTGAGGGGGTTGCCCTGATGAAGGTTTTGATCCGTGCCATGGCTTCCGATTGGTCATGCAGCTACCCGTCTCAGCTGAAGCTTGCCCTTTTGCGCCCTCCAAAGCTGCATGAGGAGATGGAGACTATGTCCGAGAAGAGGGATTGCTGATCAGCGTGCATCCGCCTCCGGCATCTGAAACGAAGCACGGCTTTCTTGAAAACTTCGCGAATACGAGTCCCCACTTTCTGAGTATAATACAAGTGCTAGAGAAGTGTCGTGGCTCGACAAAAAGGTTGCCTTGAAGTGTTCATGTGCCCGGCAGTGGGAAGCTAACGGCCGAAATGACAGGAGTGGACGGCTGGATGGTGTTCTCTGCATGCGTTTTGCCGTGCCGTTCTACCGTTCACGATTGTTAGATCTGAAGTTGTGATAAGTTGTGTCTGTTTTGGCATGTTTTGGCTGTTGTTTTTGGCTTTGTGCAGTTGAAACACTCACACAGGAAGTTCGGTCCTGCTGCACACGGCCGCGCTTGCACATGGTTGTGATCAAAAACAACCCTGCCCCACATTATACATGAAGCTCCGTGAAGATCCGCGGCATATCCTTCAGGAACCAAGATTCTTCGGAAGCTATGGAAGTGGAGTCGGACGACATGACAGAGTCTGCGCCATGGTGGGTTTTCGTCACTTGGTGCGAGAAGCTGTTTGCTTGTACTGGGCAACCTCAGGCAAGCTCCGAAATTTTGCAGAGTCATTGTGTAAGGTTGCGCTCAGAGGCTTGCCGTTGGCAGTGGACGAGGAGCCTCCGCGCTGCTGGTGCTCCCAGCTGCTAAGTCGCCAACCCAAGCCTTGGGTGTTTGGAATTGCGTGCAGACGGGGCGCAAGTAAGATGAAGTAGCAACCAGGGTCTCAAAGGAACCTGCCTCGCCAACAAGAGGACGGCGTGCTTCCTCTGGCCGAGCGCTTCCACATCGAGGGAACGCCTCCAAGTCCCGTCCGTCTCTCTGCTTTTGCCGCGCTCCACGGCTTGCACACAGTTCACACGCACATACGCTGATGGCAATGACAGGATCCAGTAATTCTGTTCCTTGGCAACCTTGAAGATATGACGACCTGCAAGGCTCGAGAACAAAACGGAGATGCAAGTCAACGACACGGGGATGCAAGTCAACGACACGATGGAAGTCAATGGCACGTCCGTTTTGGAGGCGCTTCTGCCTGCTGCATCGACTACCGCAGTAGGTGGTGGAGACGCATCACGTTCATTCCAGAAAGCAGCTATTTCAGCTATTTCTGTGCATTGGCAGTATGCCAGTACCATGAGATGTAACAAGGCCTTCCAAGGAACCTGCTTGTCCGACTGCAGGATGGCGAGTTCGTCTTGGTCGACCGCTTCTATGTCCAGGAGAGAACTCCAAGTCCTTTCCGTTTCGCTGCCTTTGCCGAGCTCCACAGCTCGCACACAGTTTCCGCGCGGTGTTCGCAGATCACGGAATCTTATGAATTTTCAACGGTTCGAGCTTGCAGTTCTTTTTTGGGTAGCCTTGCAGATGTGCGTGCAAGGTATGGGAACGTCTCGGCTGAGGGCACGGCGGGGATGCAAGTGAATGGCAGCAAATCCTTTTTGGAGGCACTCCTGAATGCACTGCCGCGCTGGTTCTGGAAAACCAGGGTAAGTGGAAGAACCCGGATGAAGCGCGCTCTTGGGGTAATTGCCACGTCGCAGAGGAACAGAAGACATGAACTTCAGCTCAAGAGTTCCACAGGCAATGTTGGACTCTGGGCACGGTAGGCGAAGTGAGATCCTGGCCAGGTGCGGTTGGATTCCACGGAGGAGCTGTTGCAGTTGCTGGAGAGTCGGCAGGTGGGCACCACCCCTCAGCAGAGATTTTGAACAAGTCATGGCCCATCTCATGCAGGTCAGCTACGTTCCGACGAGAGATTTTTGGGGCGAGGACATCGTTTACTTTCATTTCGAGACCATCGTAGCTCAAACTGGAATGCTGCTCGAGCGTTGCAAAGCAGACGAATCCTGAGGCAGCCTATTCGGTCACGTTGCATGCAAGTCGCAGTGTGCTTAGATGGGCCATCTGAGGCTAGAAGTCGAGACCATCGCACATGACTTCTCATGGCATGTCGCTGCTGAGATGGATTACGAGACGACGGTTGTTCGATGGCACCGCAGCATATACCATGTTTGACCGAGGAAGTTCGGCCCCAGTCTGACCTGCCATACATCGATGTCCGCCACGGTGGCGCAGAGCGAGCAGTGGCAAACCATGCACACCACGTCAACGCGAGCATTTGGCATGCCGACTTGGGTGCTGAGGCTCGCCGGACGGGGGAATAACAAGACGCGCAAGCAAGTCAGAAGCTTCGTTAAGCCTATGGTTGGTGTAGCGCGGCAAGTCCCCATTACCTGTGTGTGAGGCTTCCTTTATCCGAGCATGATGAAATTCCTTTCAGGGTGAACACGGCTGCATGTCCCACGAATCATGATTTTTGACGATGCGCTGCAGCGTGGGACTTTAGGTTACGAGCAGGGTAAAAGGTACATCCCGTGGTGTTTACACTGTATATATATATATATCTACACACACATATATACACATATATATATATATATCTGTTGACATGTATGGTCGCCTCCCTCCATGCCATGAGCTAGTTTGCTTTCTTGAGACCAAAAACCCGCGTAAATACCGATACAAAGGACATGCCGAGCATGTTAAGGCGAAGTCCTTTTTCAGGAATTCCTGTAAGTGAAACGCCGTCTAAACAGTAAAAAGACACACACACACACACACACCTGTTTTCACCACCGAAAGAAGTATCGAACAAACTCCCCAAAGAATGGCATTCCGCGAGTATCGTATTGGTCTTAATAAAGCCTGAATTGCCAGAACATTCCAAAAAAACATACAGCCACGAAGCAGACTAGCGTATTTTGCTTCTGAAACAACTGCCTTCTATCTTAGTCTTCCAGGCGCAAGCCAATTCCAACCGTTTGTTTTGAGTTCAAAGCATCCGTCTGCATTCGCTGGAGGACCACACGCGAGTGTACGTGCAGTCGCCTTTTGGCGAGCTGAGCTTTCCTGCACTCGACGTGGTGATGGACGAGGTCAGTCCAGGTCTGACGGAGTTCTTTGCCAAAGAAGAGTTTGCTCAAGCGGAAGAAGCAGAGGCCAGGCCCAATGTTCAGGCGAAAGATGGGATTTGGCCGAGCATCTCCATGTACGAGTCCTCGGTGGGAGACAGATTTGCAATCTCAGGCACTCTTGCATCCGTCAACCGAGTGCTTTCAATGATGCAGTTTACACCACCTCCCGACTCGCCAGATTCCGGGTCTCTGAGTGTCACCGTGGATCAAACACCGTCATCCGCCGAGCTCGAAATCCTGAACCCTGAGACTTTCCAGATGAGCGTGCCATTAGCCCAAGCGCATTTAGATCTGGACATCGAGCCGCTGACCAAGTCCGAGTATCCTTGCTTTATTGGTGGTCCGGCGGCCACCTTTGTGAATCCAGGTGAGGATGCGAGGAATCTGGGCATTACGGTCAGCCCCGAGTTTTCTGCCTCCACGAAGGTGACAGCTCAAATCGCGGAGACACTCCGCGAGTTTCGGATTTCGGTTCGAAATGGCCACATCAACCTTGATGTCAACAAGTATCCTGCTGCCCGGATTTGCCCGCCGTTCTTTCCCGATGTGGGGGGCTGTGCAGAGGATGAAACCGATGCATGGGTGATCTACGGTACCATCGAGCAAGCCGCCCTGGCCATCGAGTCGGTCGTGTACACTCCTCCCGTGGGCTATGCTGGTCAGGACCTATTGCGCGTCTCTGGCAGCTGTTCTGAAGTCACCCTGGCTGCCTGGCAGAAGTGAAGAAGCGAATGCGGGGCATCAACTAAGGGTGAGTCTTGACGCTACGCGACCCGCCTCGGCCGGGGCCTGCCCGGCGGCGAGCAACCCAATGAGGAGATCGCGAGTGTGAAGGTGTTGTTAGGCTTCAGGGCTTTGAAGGGCTTCGTGCATGTATTCCCTTTTGGGCACCAGTATAGACCAGCACGGACTGTCGGGGCTTAATGATTAGACGTGGGGTATCTGCTTTATGCTTCCCAGACGCCTATGGCCGAGGCCTCGGCGAATGACTTGCCTTGGCATAGCTTTGGAGCATTTTGTCAGTGTGATCAGTTGCGAGCTGCTGTGGACGCCATTGAAAGCTGTAACAAGGAAGTGACCTTGAACATCGTGAAGGGCTTCTCACCTCCGCGCATTCGTTGCTGTGATGGAGTGTCCTTGGAGGCGTTTTGATGCACCGCCACCGAGCAAACGGCAATGTGCATCTTCATCCAACTCATATTATAAGCCATGTCGGAGTCTCGCCCGCCCCCTGTGAGGTGCATCGTGCTCTGGAGCCTTCGGCAATTCCTCCATGCTACTTGGAGCAGAATGTGGCTTGGATGCAGGAAGCGCGTGCCCAGCCATACTTCAGCTGGTTACTTCTTTAACCACCCTTCATCATGGTGGTAATAACGACTGCTCTCACGCAGGTAGCGCTGCTCAGGCACTCTTAAAACTGCGACATATGACAGTTCAGGTGGAGACTAGTTGAGTCATGAACAACGAAACACAAATAGCATTCTTTAGTGTATGGTGGGCGTCTGCTCTAGTAGTGGAAGGACCGAGGTAAGAATGTGGAAAAGTAACACAAGCGGTGCAGATCGCGATCGGCCGCTTCTGATAGCATTGAATCATTGACAGCTGCGAGCATCGCACATTCGTTTTGCTTGCGCATGAGAGTTCAGGGGTTTTCCTTTGCGCGCTTGCAGAGAAATTCTTCTCCTGCTTAGCAAAAGCTATACACTGTTTCAATTCTTACGAAACTTGGGCAGGAATTCCAGAATATAGTGTAGGAAAGGAAAATGGATGTGAGCATGCGAGTGATTGGGGCCATCTCGCAGGGGCCACTAAAAAAGGGGCTTTTGGGGGCCGCACACTTCAGTTTGGCTGTGGCTTTACGGAATGGCTCTCGTCAGGCATTTTGCCGGTGAGGCATCAGTTGTGTTGGGCTGCTCCCACATGGTTTCAGAGAGACTGCTTCGCGACAGCTTGCGCTGTTTCGGGGAGGAGGCTCGTGGCGTGCTTCTGTGTTAGACCTCATCGTTCCCATGGTTCTGCCGGGCCTTTCCGTGCACTGTGCTGCTTTCAGGGTATCTTTTTGCAGCTCCCGTGTACATTGGTCTGACGACCCCTCCTTGCTGCGGAGGGTTTGTCTTGGCAGTTTCCCATGAGGTTGTGGTAGGGCTGTTAGGGTATGCCCAGGCATAAACTGATGATGGGGGCAACTGCTTTGACTGTTTTCCTGGACTGCCAGTTCGAGCGAAACGATTGCGTGCTCTCCCCTTTGCTTTGCTACCGTGAGTGGGACGAGAGAGGAAAGGCAAGGGCTGGTAGATTAACACTTCGTATTCTGCAACTGTGCAAGGGCGGCTAATGGTGAAACATGCTGGAAAGCGCATCTTTTAGGGAGAAATGGAGCCTTCATTGGCGGGGAACCTCACAGAACCCCAAGTGGGATAGGCAAGCCATGGTCACCAAAAGAGTCCCCTGGTCCCGCACGTTTTTGCTGCTTCCCGGAGTTTTCGAGGTTGCAAGGGGTAAGCCAAAGAGGAAGTGTAGATCTAACCAGCTGTGTCACAGACAGACTCACATGACAAGCGCCCCGGAAGGGATTTGAATATTCTGTGACGGTTGAAATCAAAACCACAGCAACAACCACCAAATAGAACCAGCCTCCCAAACCATCATGAACACACATTGGGTGTTTTGGCGGCTTCCAGCTGCTGAGGAGTATGGAGAGATACCAGCTGTGGCACAAGTGACACTCAGCACTGACATCGGGCAGCTGGCATTCTGGCCTGTGGCAGGCAGGCTAGCCTCAGCCCGTGCTTGATTGACGACTTGATGGCAAACCACCAGCTTAGTTTTGCAAGTGTCGCGATGCTTCTCCCTTTGTTCCCAGCGTAAGTTGTCGCAATTGACTTGTGTGCTGTCAGTTCTGCTCTTACCAGTGCTCCGGAGTGTTCCGGTTTCACGGCCATAGGGCCATAATGCCATAAGGCCATAGACATGTCGTAGATCTGGTGGCAACCTGATGAAGGCCTCTATTTCGACCGCAACTTCGACACTATGCCTGTTCACAATGTTTCCTCACGGATTGTGGCAGCTCGGGCGAATGCGAGTTGCTGTTGCTGTTCTCTTCTCAGTGCTTGCACATCGTATGCGTGGGAGCAGAAGCAGGAGTAGCAGCTATAGTCGCAAAGAGCCAAACAACAAAAGCAAACAACTCTTGAATCAGTTCCCTGGCATCGCTGGCCATCAAAGTCAATCCGTTGAGAGCAAAGTTCGAGCCGTCTTGCCGAAAAGGCGAGTGGTCCCGGTGGCACCATGCAGCAGGGCCTGGCCACGAAGCTCGCCTTGCTCTTCGTACCGGAAACTGAAATGCGTTCGGCTGGGCGGGTGATGGTCGAGGCCAGAAGGGTAGACATAGGAGCCAAGTCTGAACTTTCGCGTGAGAGCAAAGTTAAAGGTTTTGGATGCGCGCTCTGGGCTCACATCGGCATCGAGCTGTCCAGTCCATGTGGTAACCGGGAGGACGGCAGGGCGTGGATGAACTATACGGTTTACGGTGGCCCGCGGCAGCGTCAGTGTTCGGCATGTGCCAAGATCGCGTACTTCAAACTCCAACCTGCAGGAGGGCGAGCCTTCCGCTTATCCAGATTGACTTGCCGACGCCCAATGCCACCTACTTATTGTCAGGTCCAGCTGGGCTAGCTGTCCAGCATGTGCAGGGATAGTGATCACGGCCAGGCCGATTGGGCGCTCGTCGACAGGATGCTTTGCTTGGCACCTTGATGAGATGAGATCGCGTTGGACCTAGTTGTGCAACTTTGTTTACGATGGGCACCAAGGTTTGGAGATGGATGTGCCGTCCATTGGCTTGATAGCAGCCGTACCCCATGCAGCTTGCCTCGTGGTCCTGCGTGTTGCAAGAGGCCGTGCTGTCTGCCATGGTGAGTCGCAAGCATGAACGTAATACCACGAGCAGGTGAGATTGAGCCACCTCCGTTGCCACCCCGACGTCTGGCTGTACTATGGAACCGAGATTGGGATGGGCCCAATCGGACCTACCGCCTGCTTGCAGAGCCCCTTGTCTCAACTTGTCCCCGTGTCAGGGCCACAAGCTGCAGAATGCAACTAAGGCTTCGTAGGAGCACAAGAGAAAGGAGGCTCTAGCCTTTCTCGAGTCCTCAGTTTCTCGACGCCTAAATCTTTCAAGTTTCGTATTCTTCAATCTCGAGAAGTTCTCGAACTCCAAACTCGACACCCTTGAAACTTTCGAGCTCGGAAGCCAGTCCCGCTGTGCTTGCTTTCGTGCATGTGTGGTTGATCTGGAAGTCCTCGAACTTTCAACCTCCCTCTCGCCTCAAGCTTTCGAACCCGAAATTCTTTTCAAACTTTCCAACTCGAGACTTTCGAACTCCATGGCGTCTTTCCATTGTTCGAAGTATCAAACTCCCAAACCCCAAAGTTAGTGATCCTCATCCCACAAAAGAAATGATGCCATGATTCGAGATTCTGCTATGGGCGCGTGTTTTTCCCCTCCCTCGATTTTTGCTCGCTCTTTTTTTGCTCCCTCTTGCTTTTTTTTTGGGGGGGGGGGGGGGGGGGGGGGGGGGGGGGGGGGTTGGGGGGGGTGGTTGGGGGGGGGGGGTGGTTGGGGGGGGGGGTGGTTGGGGGGGGTGGCCCCACCGCACCTCACCCCGACACGGCGACCAGCCCTCACCCACGACACCCCCAGAACGAAGCACGAGGAACCCAACGAAGGGTCGCGAGGGGAATAGGCCTCACGAAGGTAGGGGGTGGCAAGTTCAACAGAACAGCAGACAAGACACCACAAGATACAGGCTTTCATGTTGAGGTTTGCCAAGCTCGAGCATGCTGAAAGCACGTCAGACAACACAGAAAGGCAGCGCCCGACAGTGCAGACATCGGAAGCAAACCGACCGCAAGAAAAGACAGCAGGCAGAGAAGCAGCGCTGCACAAGACAAGCAGAGTCCTCGAACCATGGGGCAGAACATCTGCGCATTCAAGAAAGAAACGTCGGCAGTGAAAAGAGACATGATGAGCTAAAGGATGTGATGACAACGATGAAAGTCCCGAGCAATTTGATCCATCTGAGGAGTGCAGAGGATGCGACAGCCATGCTCCGACGGATGCGTTTCATGATCTCCGAAGTCGAGTTGGAGCGCTTGCCTATGCTCGTACCAATTGACATATCAGTTTATGCCCTCCCGACAGCGCAGCTGAAGGCTTTAGATGAAGGCATCCTAAGAGATCAGCGTGTTTTGCAGCTGGACATCGACTGCGAGTCCTCCGTTCCGATCCTCCAGGTGAGATCAAAAGAGCTGGAGGTTCAACGCGGAAACCGTCTCAGTCTGCAAATGCTTGGAATAGAGCTCCATTATCCCCGGCAAGTGGTCTTGCAGCTGCTCTGCAGCTCCTGCACCTTCTTTGAGAACGATTTGCAGTGGCGCGGGATACACCAAGTAGCAGGTTCTGCACCTGTCCTGCAGAAGTACTTAGAAAGCTTGCAGCTGGAGATCAGTTGTCCTTCGTGTGATGCCGACCAGATCGTTCTCAAATCTTGGGATCCAGATGCCCTCGCCAGAGTTGGTGAGGAGACAACACCTGCACAGGGCAACTTGATTGCCCAGGCGTCTACACAGGTCCTGGTCCGAACCAGCCGACTTGCCGAAGGTGAGCCCATCCTTCGGGTCTTGAGCGCTGGCGTCCTGGCGAAAGCTGGAGAGGCCACAGAGCTGGTGGAGTACGTTTCCTTGCAAAGTGCAGATCCCAATGAACCTCGGGGACTGGCAGCTGTGCAGAGCCCCCTAGCGAATGCATTTTTACAAGTTGCATTGCAAGATATTGCAAGGCAACATGAGAATACATGAGAGTTAATCGATCGAGCGGCCCTCAAGCAGAATGTCACATCGAATTTAAGGTGATGTAGAAGTCCGCTTGTCCGCGCACCACGGAGTTCTGGAGATTGATGTTGTCGCTTGTCGTGTTCTAGGAGCTTTTGGGAAACCGTTCAATGCAAACGGAAAGCGCGCACACGCACACATTCATACAACTTCGTCATGTATTTGTAGTGTTCGTGCTATGATACATTTCCTAGGCCAAGCTGGTCGGCGCCAGTGCTTTCCTGGCAGATGCAAAGGGCGGAGCCTCAGCTGCTGCCAATGCAGATCAGGACGTGGATGCTCCCATGACATCCCATGACAATCATGCTTTCGCGATATTCTGCTTTGCGATAGCTTGGTTGGTTGAAACTCGTCAAGTGCAGGACGTGTGGGCTTCTACCGGCGTTCGGATGAGCATTACCGCATTCAGTCACTAGCCACGTTAAACGAGTGCTTTCAGGCAGTGTGCACAGTGCCGATCAGCAGACTTAGGCAACCCAGCCTCAGCTGACGAATCTCGCATGCCTTATGTGGATCCATCTCGGCCATCAGACCCATGGAATCGCACGCTTTTGGATCCACAAGGCGAGCAGCTTGCATTTCATGTCTGCGCCATGTCGGTGCCTTTTGTGGAAGCTGCTTGATTAGCTTGGACACTTGTGCAAGCCATCGAGAGCTTGTGCAGGCCCTTCCCGCCCAGAGCGTGTCCTTTGGAGCGGACGGAGCCTCTTGCTGCGAGGCGCCACAAGTTTTTTCCAAGTGCTCTGCGATCGCTTGCGATTGCACAACGCCTGCGTGCTAGAGCTGACCATCTGCGCCAGGTTCTGCAATCCAGATGAAGCAGACGCTCAAACAGCTAAAGTACGTGCCAGATGAGTTTGCAGCAGGGTGGGACACAGTGTTGGTGAGAATGGGCAACCAGATGGGCGAGATACCCGTGTACTCGCTCCGACAAGTTGGTGGCGTCGTGCTTAAAGCCCCGCCGCTGAAAACGCTGACGGTCGGTGAGGTGCTGAGGCTAAACGTCACGGCCGAGCTGAACCACTTGGTTCAAGATGATGACATGTTTAGTGCGAAGCTTTGCCGCATGTGGTGTAGGCTAATTGAGGTCGTTTTGGGGCCGCTGAGAAGGGAGATAGGCGGGATTTGTACTTCTTTGTACGTGTCCCCTCCTCCTCCTCCACTCCCGCCTTCAACCCCCCACCAAACTCAAAACACCAACACCCAAAAAACACGTAGAGCTGTCCCTTATCTTCTTCCACCACAAATGTTGAATTAGACCATATGCCCAAACACGAACTCTGCGCTCAATAATTTGTTTCGTACTTCTAGCCAGCATAGTCTTTTTGTAAAGGGTTTTGCCGGAGCCACCCATTTGAGCCACGAGTAGTGCGCAAGATTAAACTTGTTGGGTGTGAAGCTTGCTGAGGCTAGTCACTTGTGGTCACGGTGGCTTCGCTTTATGGTCTTTCGGCGGGCGCATGGAGGTCAACAGTCAACCACAGTCGCTTCGTTAGTGAAGACATGCTGGTCGAGTTGCTTGGAGTTATAGTGTTTGTCTGGTGCAGGTGCTTGGATCCTCGTTGGAGTTCTCTGGCAATACAACTGAGTTGAAGGTGGCTAGATGGCAGCTCGGTCCATTTCCTTTTTCACAAAGTGAGAAGAGCTGCAAGAGTGTGCGAGGCGTTCCTGGCGGATGTGGTTTACGTACATACGGATGGCTTCACTGGAATGGACCGTCTGCAGATCTTCGTGCAGGGTGGCCCTATACAGGCAGCGAACAGGGAAGCGCCTTCTGCGGAATTGAGCATTGCGGTCATGGTGCAGCTCGTCGAGACGATACTTCCTCCAGCAACGCTAGAGATGCCAGGAAGATTGAATGTGCTTGAAGACTCCGTGAGCGCCTGAGTTGAGAGTCGGTTAATTTCAACTCAATGCTTAGTGTATGGTTCGCATCATGTGGGTGTAGCAAGCCCAGGTGACAAAGCCACACATCAAGGTCCGTGACCTACGCCCTGTTGCACCCTCCGGTGTGGCACTGGCATCAGCAGAGACGGCAGCGGATACTGAGCGAACCTGCCTCAGAGCTCCTCAGCCCGACACTTGGATAACGCAAAATTTGTCTTCAGTCCCATGCGACTTATTCCTCGTCGTGGGCTCCAATGGGACAAGTGTGGACCAGATTTCTTGCGCTGGTTGTACACTGCGCGCTGCGCTTTGGCCAGACGAATGCCTGACTTGGGTGGCGTTGCTGCAAGATAGTCCTTGTTAACGTGCGTGCTTGGGGTGCCAGACATGTGATGTTCAGTTGCTCAAAGTTGGTCGCTTGAGCTCAGCTACAACGGCTACACAGGTTACAGGACCGATTGCTACCGTCGCTGGCCTCTCTGGCGGCTGGGCCCTTGCCCCATGCCAGAACACAGCTCCGGAGATCGAAAGTCAAGTGTTCGACTTCAGCTGCTTGCTTGAAGTTAGACAGTGCCTGCTTCAAACTCTTGCAAGTTGTGCTCCCGTGAGGCACCCTGGAAGAGACAGGTGGAGGCCGCTTCTGCGTGCAGGCTCTTGGCAGTCACTCGGTGGGGAGTAGTTGTGAAAGGGCTTGCGCAGAAAAGGTCGAGCGCGAAGCGTTGCCCCAGCTTCTTATGCAAGCACTGCTACAGCTAAGGCCCCGAAGGCTGCTTTGACATCCTCACCATGACAGTCAATTCACAGATCTACCGTGGCCTGCCAACGGTGACAACCCTTGTAGAAGGCAGTCATTGGACACCTTTACTGCTTGCTGCCCGTCGAATGGGTACGCATCTTTGCCCTGAATTGCAGGTGTTCTGCCTCCTGATTGTAGTGCCAGTTGGGACGTAATGAACCTTTCTCTGGTGGACATCTTCGGCGAGAATGCCAGTGAGGACCTGGCCAACTTGAGCTTACCCTTGGCGAAGGATAGATGCGAAGGTGCAAAGTGCAAAGATGTGTAACGCACTGCTTGCTACCGGCCCGCCCAGCCAACTTAAGAGCTAGTGCCGGCGAAGACCCCAGAAAAGTATGGATGTCAACGATCCAAGCCCGTGGGACCCCAGCATCCAAGTCGCCCCCCCCAACCAGCCGCAACATGTTCCTACTGCTTGGGGAAATCATCGTAGCTTCTCTTGAAACCTGTTTGCACGTGCTCGCTTTGCCGATTGACCCAGCTCTCAAGCCGCACTAGGCGGCACAGGCGCAATTTGTTTGATGATCTCCCTGCAATGATTGCAGTGACTTTCATATGTTTCCTCCTCTTGCTTCACGTATCGAAAGGCTCTGCAGCCGTTGACTCGGCGTCAGTTGTTGTGAACTCCTTGGCCGAAGTAGAGCTGGCTGAAGCAGAGAGGCTTGATTCCAGATTCGACACGTTAGAGGCGGTTGCCTCAAAAGATTGTGCAAAATGTGGCAGGATGGTCCTGAGGCATATTGGTGATGAGCACTGGGCGCTGGTGATGAAGCTGAGCAAGAATGATTTTTGCTACGGCTCAAAACGGTGGAACGACGGAAAGGCGCACAATCCAGACAAAATGATAGACACCACCTTCCCAAATATTCGGTCATATGATGCCAAGCACGTCGCCTTCCACAAGTTGAAGCATGTCGATGCCATCAAGCTTCAAACCAACCGACTTGCTGCTTTTCGGGAAGCCCCAGTCATTGAGTTTGCAGCCAAGGGGACTCCCGAGACCCTCATGACCAAGAACAGCATCAAGCTGAAGAAGTATCCAGATTGGGGACTTTGGAGGAGAACCTTTGGCAGCGACCGGAACCGTGCCCCTGCATTTTTCCGTGCTGGGCGGATCGTGACTGACCCAAAACCCATCTGCCGGAATCGTGGCTTTCACATTAGCGGCTGTGGCAAACCCTGCATGTTCTGCATGATGGCTGGTGATGGTGGGGGCTGCCCCACAAGCGCCCGCCACAATGACATTAGCTCTGGACTCGGCCTGAACGCTGCATACTGTGGTGGGGGAGGCAAGGATGACTGTAGTGCGTCGGGGCACTGGTCCGGAGACAATCGTGTTCTAGTTTGGGCACGCTTTTCAGCGTACCAGGCCACCACCACCAGCACCACCACGGCTGCGTGCAAGAGCGGCGACTGCTGTGGCCGCTTTGGAGGCCAAGGGCCCTGGCGATGCGATGGCATTGATGCGGCGACATGCAACGACACCTACGTAGAGGTCGTCCCCAGGGAACATGTGCAATGCGGCACGGTGAACGGTATCTGCATGGCTGCAGGAAGTAGCTGCGAGAACCGAGCAGAGACTTCCGTCACCCAGACCATCTACACACACCAGGACCTTGCAGGGGTCAGCTTCAGCGGTGGTCATGCCGGGTTTTGGGGCCACCCTGTCGAGAACATTCGGTCCGGAAACCCCGATGAGAAGACATGGGCGGTCTGGGTCGACATTCCTGACATGCCAGCAGGGGGAAGCATCACCATAGTGTATCAATACAACGTGGGCTACGGTTGCACGGGCCGTCAAGGAGGTCCAACTTTCGATGTTTACGTCGGACGAACCAAGATCACCGACCAACCCCAGGGTCCTTTCCTCGACTATCCCTATGACCACTGCGGGGGCACCGGCTGCCCTACCTGCTATTCGCTGCCACAGACCTTGGTTCTGCCGGTGGCTCCTGGTACCGAGGGTGAGCTGACCACAGAGTTTGTGAACAACTTGCGCAACATGCATCTTAAAATCGAAGAGATCAGAATCACGACCCCAATCTTGTGAGTGCCTGTCGTCAGCAGGACGGCTTGATGCTGAGACCGATGTCTGCTTAAAAAGGATCAGATGTGCTATGTTGTTTTGCTGCACTATGTTTGTTGCATGATGAGCGAAAGAAATATTGCAAGTTCTGCTTACGAAGTTTTGGTGTTCGATTGCAGCATTGCAGAAGTGTCAAGGTGCCTTGAGCTGCGAGTTCCTCTTCCAACCAGAGGAGGGGCTGGATCCTGCACCAGGCTGCAACAAAGAGGTGGTCGTCAGCTACACTTGTCCAAATCATCTGACGCGCCCTTGCAGCACTTCTGGATGACAGCGCTGGTGCCACGAAAGGTACTCAGAGATGTTTCGAGCTAAGGTACGAGAGCCGATCCTTGAACGCACATCTTCCTTGTTTTATTATTTGGTTGGTCGACAGACACCGCAAGATAGATCAGCCACTCTGTGGAAGGAGCTCAGCTGACCGCCAACCAAACCATGCCTGCATCCATGATCATCCAGTGCCCAGTAGTCTTTCTACCTGCGCCGGAAGCTTGATTGCATAGGAGCAGGGGTTCGGTTACTTGTCGGGCAAGCTGGACAGGCCAAAAGCCAATGCCGAGTCTCATTCTGCTGCACAGACGCGTTTTGAAGAAAGGACCCTGTGGCATTGCGTGGCTCTTTGCAGACCGGAGCCTTCTCCCTCGCGCTTCTTGGACTTTATTCTTGACAGCATATGGGATAGGGCCTATGAGGTCGTTGAAGAACTTGCCAGTGATTCGTGTTGAGTGTGACTTTGCGTCAGGGGCGTGAGCAGCATGTGGCGACTGCGGCAGCTAACAGCATGCCCTGAGCAGCATGAGCCAGTACGATCAGCACTGCAGCTTTTGCAGAACATGTCCTGGCCACCACCAGGCTGGGGCTAACAGAACTGGCTGCCTTTGAATAGATTTGGTGTACTGTGCAGTGCTGTGCAGCTGGGATCAGTTGCAGTTTGCAAGTTGTGGTTGTGGTGTAATTGAAGCGCGAGTCATGTTCTGCCGACAAGCGATATCGACTGGTGGCACGTACACACACACACAGCACACGGCCTTTATACACTTAAATCAGAAAGTGGACCCCGCAGTCCTGTGGCTAGCCGGGTGGCAAAAAACTCAGAAAATGGATGCTGCCATCCGTTTCGATGCTCGCCTCGAGGAGGTAGATGAAGGAGAAGTGACGAGGCAGTAGTGTTGACTGTGTTGACTTCCCATCAACAACCCCCCCCCCCCCCCCCCGGGTTGATTCCTTCTCTCTGGCAGGGGTTTTCATCGGGTCGTAGTGATCCTTCGGGGGGGGCGCTTTTTGTAAAAGGGCTGCCCTGGCTTCCCGGGATTTGGGTTTTGCAATTGAGGGGGGTTTGATAGTTGAGTTCCGCGAGTTTTTTTGTTTTTCAATATTTGCGCGGGAGTCAGAAATGCCAAGTCAACATAAAAATAGAAGGAGGCAGATGAGAATACAAGAAGATTTATGTGAGAATTCGTTTGGATTTAAGTGAGGTTTGCTAAGGTGCTGAGGCGGGGCCTGGGTGCTTGATGCGTTGGCATGCTTCCAGGCAAGTGTCCCTTTGTGCAGGTGGTACAGGCATTGGATTGCTGCCACAAATTGTCCTCTACTTTAGCCGCAACGTCTTCCTCGGCCGCGGAAAGGACAGACGTTGACGGTATGAGGCTGTGAGAGACCTGTCCTGTTGTGCTGTGAAATTCGCCAGGCCTTGGTGCGAGAGGTCCAGACGCTGGCAGCGGGAGCCTATGATGATCCAGATCGGTCGCGAGAGTTCGTTATACGGCTCACAACAAGCAACAACAGCGCCAGCTACCAGATCACAACAGAGTTGCTGCCCTTGACCATCTATGAAGCTTGTCCGCAAACAGACCCAGTCGGTTCTCATCTGATGTCAACTTGCATGACGTTTGCCGGAGGGCAGTGGACCGCGCTGCCGCTCTGATTCGAGGAATTGGTTTTGGAACCCGGTGCTGTGGAGGACATTGACGGCTCGGCTTTTGCAGGCGTAGCTTCGGCGCAAACCGTCGGAAGGAGTCGAGACACAATGCCAGAATGCCTTGCAGGCATCCGAGCTGAGTCCTACACTTTCACCACTGGCTTGGGGCCGCTGCAGCCTTCTGGCTGGCGGGTCGTGGCAGAAGAGGGCCGTCCACCTGGAGAGAACACGTCGCTGAGCCCCCGGTTGCACAATAGGGAGTGCTGTAACTGGCACCAGCTCCCGGAATGGTTGTAGAAAGCTGTAGGCAGCACGTTCCTACTGCAGCGCGCAGGGATGCCCAACATTACGGCGACAAACAGCATCCAGGATGCCTGTATTCCCTCAGAGGAAGCGTGATATGCAGAAATATGCGGAGGTCTTTGTGGGCCTTTTGTTTCTTTGTCGGAAGCCCACCGCCTGCTTTTTTCTCGACTCTTCACCAACTGAGTTGTAATAATCATGCCAACCGCCAGAAGGTAACACTAATCATCCCCAAGAATAAATGATCCAATTACCATAATGAGAATGCAAGAAGGGAGTGACAATCTGGCACCCCTTGCACACAAGTAGTAGCAACGACGTCCTTAAATATGCAAGAAAATACAGTCGCAAATAAAAGGACCCCGCCCGCTCCCGCCCCAATCAAGAGTAAACCAACCCCCCCTCCCCCTCCTCCCTCCTCCCTCCCCCTCCCCCCCCTCCCCCTCCTTCCCTCCCCCCCTCCCCCTTCCTCCGCCCCTCCCTCCCCCTCTCCCTCCCTCCCCTCCCCTCCCCTCCCCCTCCCCCTCCCCTCCCCCCTCCCTCCCTCTCCCCTCCCCCCAAGCATGATGGTGCCTCAGACTCAGAAAGCTCAGGGGGCGGGTATGCTGGAGATTGGAGTTGCCAAGTAAAAAACCAGCACGCTTGAGGACACAGAGAATGACGGCATTCACTGCCCCATATCACGTCTTGACATAGGCAAGGCAGTTGGGCCCTTTGAAGGAAGTTGGTCCTACCCGCCTTCTCACTTCTCATCTCCATGAGGCGTTTGTCGCTCCACTCCGATCACTGTTTAGATCGTGCGGACTTCTTTGAAACGCTTGGGAGCCTTTGTAAGCTGGACTCCAGCCACATGAAGACTTAGGCCATGCAATCCCAACAGGACTGCATGCGGACACCGTGGAAAAAAGGTTGTGTCATTCCACCGGACGTTGGTAACTCTCCGCGCCCTATCACAACGCCCCCCCCAAGCCCCCCCCCCCCCCGACCCTTTGTCACCTCCGGACCCAGTTGACCCGCACGTTATAACCCCCCTCCCCCCCACCGAAAAGACCATGCCTTGCCTACCTTGTGCGAGCGTGAGAGTCGAAAGGTACATGTCATGCTAGGTGGTCACAGATGACGGGTTTGGGTTCACGTGGCATGACAGCAATGGCTGTAAGGACTGGGGCCGCTGGATGGCGTGTCGCTGAGCTGGAAGTCTTTGCCGACCTTCGCTGCCGCGGGCCTCGGCTCCGTGGAACACCGGCCTCCAGTTTGTCGAATGCCTGGAATGCGTCGAGGAGCGACGCAATGACCTTTCTTGGCTCCACCTTGGCTTAGTCTTGGCTTCTGATAGAGGGCCGACCTTTGCAATATTCGCACACGAGAGCTGTTCGGGTTTGTTGGAGGATGACCTCACCGCAGTTTGATCCGATGAACACGACTGATGAGTGGTTAAATGGAGTTCCAGACAGTGCGGCGCCGCTGGCATTTGACGAGGCAATGGTTTTGCGGGTGCTGCACCGATCCTGGTACACATGATGCAGTACTGATGTGTTTAGGACAGCGAGACCGTTTGGGTCAGCATCGCCGACTACGCGGGCGAGGGTTCAGGCCAAGTCAGGATAAGCCGTGAAGTTCCTCAGACGCAGTTGCAGTGTGCAGTGTGTGCCTTGTGACATCTTGTGACAAACAGGACAAGCAGCAAGTAAGACAAAAAAAACTTTTGCCCTTCGAAGGCATGGCTCGGTCTCTATGTTGAATCGGCACCCAGCATTGAATCACTGCTCCTTCCCATTGCATCTCCCGAGTCCACAACACGCCCCTTGGCTACCCTGCAGGGGCGTGTGTGGGCAGGGTCTTCTGTCTTGTATTGAACCAAGTTCACGGTGCCTGTCATGCCCAGTGTGCCGAGGATACTCCATACGAGTTGTGTCCGCTCCGGATTCAGAGGATCCTCCTGCGTTCTCGGTGCAGTTCTTTATCAAAGGCTTGGGAGGCAGGGCAATGCGAGAAAGTATTGCAAAACCTCGGGCCTGGAAGGACTTGGAGGAACGACAGGGGTGGACGGCTAGCCCATTTTTAAACTCGTGCTGCTTCTTGCGCAGCAGCGCAAAAAAAGTCGCACAAAAGCAGTCGTACGTAGTCACGCCCCTTGCTCAGGCTCCTCCAAGAAATGGTTTGTGCTGCAAACGCTGCCGACCACTGGTGAGTGTATTAACTTGCCCGATGACCTCGATGCAGCAATGATCCGCCGCACAGACACGCTGCTCGGACGATCTTGGACGCAAGGATGCGTGAAGCGGCGGGTAGGGTTGCATCATGCATCTGCACGTCAGTATCGCAGCTGAAACACTGCCCAGGTATCTGCCAGTTGCAACTAGAGTTGTGGAGCCAACTGGGACGACACCAATCTTCGGGATAGACTTCAACGAAATCATTCAGATTGGTGAAGGTGAGATTCGATTGAGGCAGCATTCTCTCTGTGCAGCCGGCGACCCAGATCCTTTGAAATTTTGAGAGCTTGGCGAGGATTCTTGAGAGGGCTGACAATGTGAATCATGCGACAAACCAGTCCATGCGGCTGCAAGATGCAAGCTAAGCATGCTGCGAAACGCTGCAAAGACTCCACCACTCAGGATTCAGAGCCTCATGGGCCTAATAGCTGCTGGCATCGTTTTCATGTCCAGTCTCGTCAGCAGTGGGCCTGCTTGAATGCCACCGACATCAGCGACGGAAATGGTGATTGCATCCATATTGTGGCATCAACCCGCAGCGTTTTCATCGACTTCTCCGTGTTTCTCCAACGTGATGAAACTTACAGTGTCCAAGCCCAATTTGAACATGAACAGCTTTTGGATTTTGGTGTGGTGCTAAGATGGAGGTTGCAGATCCTGCCTCATGGCTTCTTGTAGAGCCTTTGGCGTTTAGACGGGTGGCGGATATGACTCTGCACAGCTTTGGCTTTAAGGTTTGGAAGTGTCAGCAGGCGTCATCCGCGATCTTGCCGAGAATTTGTTTCAGGGTCTGACGTCTTCGGAGATGCGAACTTTCAAGATGTGGTTGCCACAAGACGACCAGCTTGCGCCTGTTCTTTTGGAGATAGCGCCGGCCTCAGACGTTCCACGCCACATGTAGCAAAGCCACCAGTGGGACAGAGTTATAGTACGATGCCAACTCTTGTGAGGGGCTACTGCTTGTGCGGCGCTTGGTGCTTAAACGTGGCCAAGGGCGTGCAGAGCGACTCTGTGCTCCTGCGCTTCAGCGAGGACATACTTGCCGGAAATGGTTCCGTCCGAGCCACTGGCAAAAAGTTGGCTGCGCAGTTCGGTAAAGATGTCAAAGCAAGGTTTTGTTTGGCTTTCCTTGGCTTTGTTGTGAAAGGTGTCTCCAATGGATGGTCCTGCTGTATCCTTCGACGTCATGGGTCCAGAGATCTCGATGGATGGAAACATCTTGCGGGTGCAGCCCGGTGGCTCCGGAGCTCTACCATCTGGAAACTAGGTAGGCCCTGAGGATATTTTTAAATCTTCCCTTATTTAAGAGGATCATATTCAGGAATAGTTTCCAGAGGGTTTTAATGGGCATCCTAGGAAAGCTTGTACTCTCCATGCCACCGGGATCAGTCTACGACGTGGCTGGCAACAGTTTCGCTGGAATCCAGCACTATGAGTTTATGACACCTGGCCAAAACGGGATAGCTTTTTACCATCTTCGCCTGAGTGCAACGCCTCACAGCCTCGCTTCACTCTGTTGTGCTTTGTTTTGGTTCTTTGCGCGTGGTAGTGTCGACAGATGTTGAGCTTAGAAACCCATGGCGCGTTCTGGCTGGCACTTCCTGTGATGTGCGGGGTGTTTTCAGTTTCTACAATACAAGCTGTGGAAGACGCTTGTGAAGTGCACCGGGGCTTCGAGAGCGCCGAACAAGAGCCATCCGAGCTTGTATCTATTACCAAGAGTGGTCCCTCCGAAATCATAACCGTTTCTTGGAGTCCATGTCTCACGGGAAACCTGCTTTTGATTGCTTTTGTGGGCTGCTGAGGGTGGGTGGATGTTACTGGGGAATGGTGGGGAAAGGTCAAGCCCAGTTTCCCTGTGTTCTCTACTTCTGTGTGTGGGTGTGGTCAGCTGACTGCACTGAGTCCCGCATGTCCATCTCAGCGCTCGTCGGGTGTGCCTTGTGTCTCATGTTGTTCACGTGGCATAGGCGACGAAGTCGCGGCAGGAACGAGGGACGGGAAGCAATCAGCAGCGCAGCAATGTTTTTCTGCTCATTCCATCTGTGGCAGTGCATCCACGTGTGCTCTTTTCGTGTGGCATGGTCCAAAATGGGTAGTCGTCGAATCGTTGATGCAACACCAAAGGAATGAAGAGCTGGAGCCAATGCGTGAGTTGAATGCCAGCGCCATGGGCACTCCATCATTTGCCACGCTGGTGAATGGAGACAAGACGTCGCAGTTTTGCGTCATGGGTGCACCAGTGGCCCTTGCCGAGTTTGCAGATAGCCTGCGCTATTCATCGGCTCCCAATTGGTATGGGAACGAGCCTATGCGCATCACAATTGCTGCGGCGGAGGACTCTCGAGTGATACATGCGGCAGCTGAAAGCTGGATCTTAGTTCAATCATCGAATGACCGCCCTTTCATTACTGCCAATGACGTGTCCTTCCAGGCAGTAACGCCAAATCTCGTAGCACAGTATGCAGGTGGCTAGGTGTTTGTGGGCCTTGTGAAGGTGCAGGTTGGGAGGAGTGTCGCGATCACGGGTATCACTATTACGGATCCGGATGCTGGGGACCAAACGAGATGGATGACGTTGCTGGTGGCTGCCTCCACTGGACGCATCCCGGCTGCCCTACTGCTGGCCTTGACTGCAACCTTCTGGTTGACATGCACCAAAGGCTTGTACCTGGATCCATCCTTCCTTATGGCGCCAAACGGTACGTTGGAGCCACTCAAGGCAGTCTCTACATGGCTCTACCAAGGGTTCAGCTCAAAAGAAATTGTATGCGTTCAGTCCGCCAGGGACGCCTGGATGGTGACTTTGCCCTCCGCGTGCAGGGAAGCGGCCCTGATCTGCAGGCCTTCGTTGATGCGTTGCGCCTGGAGCCCAGGAGCCCTTAGCCAAGTGACAGCGAAAGTGGAAAGCATGCCGGGCCGGCAAAACCTCCAGCGCGCCCTACATAAGGTTTCAGCATCGAGGCACCAGCAAAGCCATATCTGGAACCACTCCCTCTTGACCAACCGCGGACCGAGGCAGCGATATTCGCATGGGAAGACCAGAGTGCCTGTACACATCAAATCTTCGACTCGCGCAGGCCATCGTCTCCTACATCCTGTCCGACACCATCGGACCTCAAGCCGTCGCGATGCGACGGCATCAGGTTGCAGGAAAGGTCGTCAACCCGGAAACTTCAGCGCCTCTCGAAGGAGTAGACGTTGTTCTTATCGCTGCTTGGCCTGCAAGTCTTGATTCATAGCATTTCATAGCGCTCGTCTCAACATAGCTTGCAAATCTGCACCTTTCCGCCTTTTTGCGCCCAGTCTCACGGTCCATCTGAGGCAAGGGACACCTGGCATGACTATGAAGGGTATGATGTTCCTCTTGGATGTGATGTCGAACTTACCGGACTCAGTGCCTCGGTTCATTTGTATGGGTGCAGGGTAGACACCTCACGCGCAGCCCGTTTTGCACAAGGTGTGGCTGATTGCAAGCTCCATGCTGTTGCCAACAGCTACATTGCCTTCAGCTACGGCCTATACCACGCAGGTGGCTCACAGGCTGGTAGTGTCAGGGCCAGCCTTCTTCGTAGTGTCCCTCTACGTGCCAGTCGGTTGTGCGAGCATACCAGGCATGCTGTTTCAAGACCGCTGATGCGGAGACTATTTTGACAAACTTAGTGCTCGAGACAAGCGCGTGGGCCTAAGATTACGGCCGCGGCCTTCGAGGTCCAAAAGAGTGAGGAGCATGAGGAGCGGTCTTCAACTGCCTGGCCAAGGTCAATGTGTATGTTTTTCAGCCTGGGGGCTACTCCGTGCACACGCAGACAACTGCATTGGGGGTTTATGCGGCCGTCATGCCAACTGCCCCAGCAGATATCTACTTTGCCAAGACCCTCCATGCCACGCGGTCTTTGAGTGTGGATGTAACGGACAACATCCAGGTGGGTACTTGCCTCAAATGTTCGAGCGCATGAACATTATAACCAGGAGTCCCGAGGCAGTGTTATGATCTTTCATTGCTTGTGCCAAGGTGGCCTTGCAGATATCTACCTGCAGGCCCTCGCAGTTGTGACCATTTGGCGTTTTGAGGTGGACTGGACATCCACCACGCCGGTGGATCTCGACGCGCATGCCTTTGATGCTTGGGACTGTCACACCTACTTTGCCAACAAGCAGTGCCAACACGAAGCTTGGCCTATACCTGGAAGGCGGTGAATAGTTGAGAGGCAGATGTCAGCAGTCGTGCCGCTCAGGATGGGAGTCATGGATTGACGGTGACCTTGAACCGAGACAATCGGGATGTCCAACATGGCAGGGAGGCGTGGTGCTCTTGCACCTCTGTGGACAGGGGTGGACAGTTGTCCGTAATTGCGCAGGCATTTTACGACTTGGCAGGTGATCACAGTCCATCAATGGCCCTGTGATTCAGACCAAGCGACCGTCGGAGGCGCGAACTGCATGAACTGCAATGAAGTTTGCGTATCATTGAGAGCTGTTGCTGCCAAAGTGCCCACGACCTCCCTGCTTATTTGCACGGAAATGGGTTGCAGTGCTTTGCATGAGTCCAGGTTACAGGGACATCTGGAGTTGCTTGGCCCATTTCTGGGTTCAGATCTTCTCGGACCACGGCTTCAGAGATGTCCAGGGCACCGTGAGCATCTTCCGGGGTGGAGTGCTGGTTCAAGAGCTGCAGCTCCCCGCGGCTAACCAGCCAAACAGCTTTTGGATTGGCTTCGTGTTGGAGTCTCGGAGAATTTCGAAGAAGTTGGAGCGACCTGCTACTGAGCTACTGTGGATGCCTAGCCTCCAATGTTTTGCCGGACATGGGTGCTAAGGATTGGAGCAGCAGTACGATTCAGTCCTTTGTCAACCAAGCAGGGACAGCAGACATCGTCGAGAGCTTCATAGGTGGAATCTATGAGTTGCCTCCAGCACGCGAAGTGCGACGATTGGGGATGCGGCAGAATGTTTCTGCAGCAACTTCGCCGAATGCAAGATAAGGAATCGGGATAAGTCGGTGGCATCTAACTTCAGCGCACGTGCTACAGATGTTGCAGCCGATGCCCGCAGATCGCGCATGCGCACTGAGCATTAGCACATGTGCGGGACTTGTGCGGGCCTGAGGTGAGGCAGGGCCTGAACGTCCTTTGGCGCGAGCGGTTCTGGCAGGACAGTCGCGCACATTGCACGGCCTGCCGAGTGTCCACTGATCGGTTGGAGCAAGGCACACTTTGGAGTTGTGCTGAGTTGCTTGCATCTGCAGTCTCAGGATCTGCTGGCCGAAAAGGAATCCTTGGATGACTCTGCAGCCCAGATGCCGCCCAGGCATTGGCTTGAACAAAGGACTGGCCCGGAAGTGGCATGAGCCAGCTTGCTTGAGCAGAGAACCTTGTTCCTGCAAGTTCTGGAGCGCATTTTGTGTTGCAAGGAGGCTAGCGAGCTGCTTGCTTGCGAGAAGCGGCACTCGTTCATGGCTGTTGTCTCTGGCTGGAGTCTGCGCTACAAGCTGTTGGCTGTTTCTAGCTTCTCCTGAAAGTCAGAAGCTAGCCGCCCCCCGCTCTCTCTCTCTCTCCCTGTCTCTCTCCCTGTCTCTCTCCCTGTCTCTCTCTCTCTCCCCTCTCCTTTTCCAAGCCAAGGCCAAGATGAAGCGACACTCGCTGAAGCCGAGCTCCACGGCTGCAGTGCCGTCAGTACTTCCAAAAAAAAGCGGGCAGACCCCCCCCGTCCTGTGGGGCATCAGCGTTAGAGAAGCCCAGGCATGAGGACGAGGACCACGAGGACCAGGCCATCTCGATGTCTCCTGGTGCATTTTCTGTCATCCCAGTGCCAACGCCTATCTGCGCATGTGTGGCTTGACAGGCAGACTCTCCTGGCCGTCGGCTCGGTGTCATTGGCGACTGTGGGGATGGCGTAATCACGAGTGATGAGGACTGTCTTGTAGGGGATGGCAACTGATGCCAGCTCGAGCATGCTCGAGCTGTCTCACTGGAGTCTGTCCGGGTAAAGCAGTTTGTTTGATGGCAGTGGCTTTTGGGTTGAAGTCAAAGTCTAGCATCGGATAGTCGAGCTCGGCATGAACACGGTCTGAGTCAGCAAATCCTTCCTCGGCACGGCTGCTGTCCCCAGGAGTGTGATGACGGAAACAGCAATGACACCGATGGGTGTACAAACTGCACCGTGGATAATGGCTACTACTGCAGAGGCGAGCCCTCGGCTTGTGCCCCGCACAACTGTTCAGACGGTGCCATCACCAGCGACGAGGCCCGCCGGACCGATAGCCATGTGTTGGGATTCTTGTATTTTCGACTTGATGCATATCTCAGTGCCCTTGTTGTGTAGAAGGTGTGAAGCCCTGTTCAGAAGAGCTGCGTGACAGGCGTGCGATGATGGCAACATAGATGATTTCGATGGCTGCAACGCCAACTGTCAAGTTGAGACAGGGTACTACTGCTCTGGCGAGCCTTCGGTCTGCATCACCAGATGTCGCGCAGCTGCAACAGCATTGGCATCGTCGGGTTGCTTTTGCAGTGAAATGCGGGGAGATATGCCTAAGCAATGCCAGACGAGTGTCTTAAGTTGGGCCACCGGAGTACCTGGATGCAATACAAAAGCACTGGTAAGGCGGAGATGGCAGACGAATCATCCCTCATGAGCAGTGCGATGATGAGAACTCTAGGTCTGGTGATGGTTGCGCGGCGAATTCTTCAGAGCTGCCGGTGAATGTGTAAGGTTGGAATCAGGGCGACTGTCTTTGCGGCCTTGATGCTTCTCCAAGGTTGCAGTGCCACGTGCCAGATAGAAGCAGGCTACGTTTGTGAAGGAGGAACTGAGATGATCCGGGATCATTGCTACCCGAAATGTGGCGACGGCGTCCGTGTTCCACGCGAAAGCTGCGATGATGGGAACACACAGGATCCAGACCATATTGTTGCCGCAGCGCTTGTTGTCAATGGATTTCCGCTGTTCAGTTGCAATTCAGCCCTGCAGGATGGCGATGGCTGCTCCTCAAGATGCCAAATCGAGATGGGATATGCTTGCCATGGTGGCAACACGACCCACGTAGACACCTGCGGGCTCACAGTCTGCGGCGATGGAGTGGTCGAGGCCGATTTTATCGATTTTCCGAGAATCCAATTGAAAATGCAGTCGCTGCAGTCGCTACATGCCCTGCTTCGGCCTGAGGCTGCGCGGCTATGCCTTAAATATCCTTAAATGCCATACTTGTAGAACGCCCCACTAAGAACGACCCAAGCTGAGCTTGTGGGGCTCCTGCTGGGAGTGCCGGCTGAGGAAGCATGAGAAAGCTGTGGTCCATCAACACAAGCAAGGATAACCACACACACACACACACACACAAAACAAGCAGAACTTACAAAACGTACAGAACACGTGCGCTCGCGCACACGCTCGCGCGCAAGCACGCGCAAACGCGCGCAAGCACTCGCAAGCGCGCACACGCACACTCGCACGCTCGCTGCCTCGCTTGCCGTGCGTGTGCACTAAACTGCAGCTGGCCAGGCGTAAACACCCTACACGCTATCTACACCACACACCCCTTCTGGGCCGAGCGGCGAAACGGCCGACTGAGAAAGATGGTTCCTAGGTTCTCAATGCAGTAGCCGAAAACTTACATTCGCAGATGGCCAGGGAGCGGAGGAGTGCGACGACTTCAACGACTACGGAGGGGACGGCTGCTCTGCAGTGTGCCTCCGGGAGATCAAAGAAGTGGCCTCCTGGTCGCAGACGGAGGTCATGGTCACTATCCGTCCGCTTGGCCAACTCTGCAGGAGAGCTACTGTGTACCTGCTTGCCCTATCCGATTATCCGGTGCATAAACGGCGTGCCACGCGTACCAATCTAGCGTCAAGTTGGGGATTAGCCCCCCTTGCAAGGCTTAGATCGGCATGGAGAGGAACTTGATGCTTGCAGAAGGTACTACCCATGAATCACATTGAATCAAGTCGTTTTTGCTTCTTCCGAACATGCGGTTTCAAGAGGAGCGTCTACTTTCTGAGATTCTGTTTGGGGTTATTTGATGTGCCCTTTGTGGCTCATACTCTTTATGAGAGAGTCTTGTCGTGTGATGCGGCTTTCTTTCGGCAAAGTGATGTACCTTAGGTTAGCCAAGCAATAGAAGTGGATATCTGCACTCACTAGACTCCTGAAGCAGGATTTTCAATGCAGGGCGGCACCAGACGTTCGAAGACACGACCTACCACCTCCAGAACACCATCCTAACAGGTGATGTCTCGGATCCAGAATCTGTGCGGATTCACATAGAGGTCCTCAATGGCTCGCTTGCGATTCGGCCTTTGATCGAGCTGTATCTTGCGAGAGGGCTGCTAGCCTGCACTTCAGTGTACGAGCCAACTTGAAGGTACTGTATGCCAACTTCGTGCCAATGCCACACCCGCAGCAAAGGCGAAACGATTCGGTCTGGGAAGCAATTGTTCAACGGGAGACTGGCGTCCGCTTCTACCCGTATGCCGACAACATGAAGGCGTGGCCAAGTGTTCAGGGAGGTGACAGCCAGTTGAAAGACAGGTACTGAATTGTGGCTGCCGCGACTTCAGTCGTGTCAGGACACGATGATTTCTGGCACTTTCTTCGAGGTGGACCGCTTCTTGCGCCATTACATGTACATTGCGCCTCGGCGTGCACAGTCTCTGTATTGTAGATAGTGGCACGCGAGACTGCTGAACCTATGGCGTCAGCCTCTGGTATCTTAGGCTCCAGATCCAGACTTTTCTGGATATGTGCAGGTGCTCTTTACGGAACCTCGGCATTCAATAGAGGGGACACGCCGGGCCATGTTTCGTGCATCCAATTTTGAACTCGACCTCCAAACCGAGGCAGGAAACAACAAAGCAACGAACAAAGAACCTCCTCCCGTTGTGTCGTTCTGTGAAAGCTGAGATGGCGTCTGGCATGGTTCTGAACCATGGCGCAGAGGACAGTGAGATCCGGGCCCCAAAGTGACTCACGCATCTGGTGGTGTAGATGCTCCGTTGATAGCTTTGTGGCAGGAGTGCAAGTACAGCACCGTGGTTCAAGTCGCACCTTTGCCTTAAATTGCGGCGGGGCCATGAAGGGACGAAGGGACGAAGGGACGAAGGGACGAAACAGCGGGTTTTGACACCAAAGGTGGCTGTCTACGATGATCCAGCTTCCGTGGTCGTGTCAGAGGAGGTCTTAGCCAACGGCTTCCACTGCCTCGCTGGCTCACCTTCCTGCCCCTTGTGGGGGATATCTTTGTACGATCCAGACTGTGAGATGGCTGTAGACGGCTCTTGCTACCTGACCTTTGTCTCAATCAACATCTCAGCATATGCCAGCATGGGTTAAGGCTTACATGACTTAAGGGATCAGTGCCGAGGAGACTGGAGCTCAATGTCACCGTTGGCCAATTGTCTCTTCCTGGACATCCAGACGGCTGGCAGGCGCATGCCTGCAGGGCGAGAGAGAGCAGGGAGCAGAAGTGGTTGCCTGTGTTTGCCATTGTTCCTATACCAAGAGGCGCTGCGTCTCTATTACGCTTTGCATGCTACACAGGGCAAGGAATTCGAGTAGGAGTGAGGACAGGATGAGGCTGGTGGGTGATAGCTGGCCCTTGGTGCAAGGAAGTCTTTCCCGGCATGATGGGCCACGCTGCTGGCCTGAATGCTGCCTTGGACCGGCTCCCTGCTTGCATCTGCCTAGCCCTGAACCATGCGCAGCCCCATTGTGCTGACAAGGCTGGTCTTCTTTCCGCCTTCACTCCCGCCACCGCAGGCTTTCGCAAAATTGGGTCCGGCATTCAGTGTGCAGTGTAATAGCTGCCGTAGGCCGTGCGCACCATGGCAGGACGCCATCTTCCACGTGACGGTCAATCGTGTGATAGAGCGTGCCCATGAGGGCGCACAGGAGATCTGGTAGAGAGCTTCGAGAGTCTGGCTTCCTGCGGTTCGGCATATTGCCACCGTAGTCGGCGAGGTACCATTGCGACTCCGCCCAGCTTGACTCCTGCTTCGACATCCTTGGCACTCACGATCAAGATTCAGCCGGCAGACACGCCACCAACAGTGGGCTTGGCTTCAGGCGACGGGCGCTTGTTGCTGCTGCTGTCAACATGTTATGTTGCCTTGCATCGCTGCGTGCTTCATCCATTTCGCCGCGACATCGTGCGTTGCGATCAAAGGCCAGCCCTTCCACGGAGCGTTGTTTGTTATTGAGGGTGACAAGCCTTACCATTTCACCAGCCACTCAGCTATATTCAAGATTGTCACAGTCCCACGCTAGCAAAGCTAGAAGCGACATGGCATGAGTCTCTCTCGGTCTCGGTGCCAAGACTTGGTATTTCAGCCGCCGGGCGCCAGCTCGACCACCTGCATTGTGGAGCTGCAGGTTTCCCGAGGCGCTGCTGCCAAAGGTTCAAGAACAGTTGAGCCGCGCGTCTGATGTGCCCTGACATGCTCTGGATCTGAGAGGCTTCTTATTGATCGAGGACACTGAGGGCATTTGGTTTACGGATGGCACCAACAATGGGGAATCCCGGCTCCGCTTTTTTGGCGACAGCGTGGACATCCGCGACCGGGCAATGGCGCATGTGCGCTGCCGGGTCGAGATTCAGACCACTGCTCTGCCGACTGCAGGAAATCTTGCGACCTGGTTGCGTTGACCTTGCGATAATGTTGCGGATAAGGCTATGCCTGGGATGACAACGACTGCTCCAACCTGGAGCAATTCAACATCAGCGTAGATGCTTGGAGCACTGGGAATGCGACTCACATCGAGCTTCGGAGCCGCACAGTGCGTTCGAACCGCCCGCCCCATCCTGCCCCTCAGGACAGTGGAGTTCATCAGGCCTTGACGTTGGTCTCCATGCTGGCCTTGCCAAGCTGCCAAGGCCGAGAGAGTCGACCAGATAGTTGTCAGAGTTTTCTTGCAAGATGCCGGAAGTTAAGGGTACCTTATTGAGGTCCTCATTTTTAGGGAATCCTGAAGAGCCAGGCTACAGCGTGGAATGGCTTGGCGGAGCGTTGACTTTGGAAGAGGACTCCGAAGTCTCCATTGGGCATCTGGCTGTGCCTTGACTGGGCGCCAGTAGTTGTTCTTTGGGCGGCACCCGCTGGAGAAGGGTCTGAGTTTCCTCAATTTTCGTCACCAGCTTCTTCACAGGCACCCGGTCGGGATCGCGAGTGTGAGATGGCATAAGGTCAGCACCAAGGACGTGCACTTGTTCCTTGTCGTTGATGTGAAGCACCCTCCAGATGTAGCAGGAGGCCGTAGTGTGAATGGATCCCCAAGTGTTGCATTCGTCTCATTCGACTTCGTGCTGGCGCGCAGGTGACTGCAAAGTTCTTCGCTGGCCTGAGGCGGCCACTCTGTCTTAGAGTGGCATGAGCGGCTGAAGTTGCCCGAAGTGCTGTCAGCCAAAAAATCGTGCTGCAAAAAGTGCTAGATAGATCAGGTGAGCACTTTCGTGCCCGGGCGCGAGTGCCACTTGGATGGTCTCATTGGCGACCTAAGCGAGACTCTGAAGCTTGTCTGTGGAATTCAGATAGATGAAGGCTTGTGCCGTTGACGTGTAGCCTGTGGTAATTGCAGCTTGCAGAAACAAGCACTGGAATGTAAGGCAGCACATCGTCTACAAGCCGCCACCAAACTTCGTCGGGCATGTGCAGCTGCAGTTCGTCATCTACCGGACAGAGGCAGCCGAACCTAACCGTAGCAGTGCAGACTCACTCACAACGCCATGCTTCGTTCGGTGGGTTGATGGCTAATCATCTTGCGGATCAGGGACACGACTTTAAGAACATTTTGCGGGCATTGCAGTACGGGATTGGTTTTTGCAATAGAAAAGAGATCGAGACAAAATCTCATGTTGAGCAGCACATGCCACGAAAAGCTGGGCTTGAGTTTCGTCTCTGCTTTAGCAGGGGAACCGGTCGACCCTCCGAGGACAGCAAGCATTTGGGGGCCGCCTCGTCAACCAGCAAAGGGGGGGTGTTTGCCGGGTGGAACCCTCGTGGTCCTCCAAGCGGGTTGGGCACGTCCCACAGGGCGTGGGGGGGGGGGGGGATGCAGAAAGCTTTTGTGTCAGAAGGAAGGGGGGAAGTGCTCCTCTGGCTGGAAGCCGAGCCGAATTTGATTCATGTTGAGACTTTCGGGGCATGTGCGGGGTAGAACCTTGAAACTTTCGAATTTATGAATAAATGCGGCGGGAGGAAGATGCTCCTGACAGCCCACAAATGAGGCATTGCCTGAACCTCTCAGCTTTCATGGAGTGTTGACTCCTGCACTTGGCCCCAAAACCAGTGATAAGAAGCTCTTGACCCCAAGTGTTAAGACTGTACCCACCCTCGGGGGGGGGGGGGGGGGCTTGCCGTAGTATTAGGGAGAGGTTTGACAGGGGCTGGTTGCGATGCATCGTTCGAACAAGGGGTTCGTCCTACCTTCAGGTGAAGGATGAAATTGTGGGAGTGGAGACCTCACGCGGGACGCCAATTACAATCCCCATCGACGTGGAGGCGGGCTGAACGGCGATACTTGCCTCATGTGCGGCCACGCTAGCCAATCTTGTTCGGGTGTCGCAACTCAACCTGTAGGTTACTGGCGTCAACGATGCCCCAATGTTAGAGCTGTACCTGGACTCGTACACGTTCGATGAGGACACCGAGGATTACATGTCTTTGGCCCCGCTCTTTGTGAGCGATTTGGATGCGGGCCATGGGCCTAACTGGCAAGACATGCGGCTTGCAGGGCCGTTCCTGCCTTGGGTAGATTCTGGTAGATCCGCCGAGGTCAGCATCTGATGAGCTTCAAGTTTGAGCTGGTGTCCGGCCATGTGTGGAACAGGCTGATGATGTGTGACCTGTCGAGGAAGCGGATAGGAACAGGATGCAAGTCATGGGGGCTTTCCGCTTGTTTTCGTCGTGCATCGTTGAGGCAATCTGGTTGGGGTGGAGATCGAGGAGCCATGGGAGAGCATGCTGGACGAAGCTGGATGTTGCGCGTCTGCACAGCTCGGAGCATGTGGTGTGGATGAGCCGATGAGCCTGCTCTAGCTTAAAGGTTCGGACGCCTCGGCATTTTTACCATCGCCGCAAGGTCTGGATGCAGGGACCCATCTTATCCACTTCAACACGACGGTGGAAAATTTCAATAGCATCATGGCAGGGAGGGCCCACTGAAATGCAGATGTCTGGGCTAGCGGGGTTTTTGCTGGGTTGGCTGGTTTTCTTCAGCCCAGGCATGCAATCCGGGCCCGGACGGTTGCAGTTCAAGCCGGCGCCAGATTGGCTGCTCAGCTGCCGCATGATAGTCAGCAAGCTTCGGATGGATATCCACTATATCTTCCTTGGGAATTGTTTTTTATTTTTGTTCATATAAAACCCAAGAGGATATAATATTTTTATTGAGGTTCTACGGGGAGTTTAGTCAATCCTCCCATGCAAGGCATGGCTCCGCTATGATCAACATCACGGTGGATGACAAGGGTGTCCTGGACGGAGATGGGCATTCCTTGGACGTTACGCCCTTCTCGCTTGATCTTCCCTGCTATCCACTCGTTAAGAGTCGAGCCGGCCAGCCCCCCCCCCCCCTCCCCCGAACCCGAGTTTCGCTTTCGATCTCCCAGCCAGCGCTTTTCCAAGCCTCGTCTAGCAGAAGATTAGTCAGAACTATGTCGGCGTAGGCACCAAACACAGTTTCATGGATGTGCCCCTGCGAACATGATGCAGGCAGTGGGCATGGCGAGCATCATCGCCTCACTGTGCAACGATCACTCTACATCATCGTGGAACCTACGATCGACAAGCCCCAGCTGTCCATCCTCTGTCCAGATGCGTTGCCTTTCGTCGGCTATGGCAGGACACGTGGCATCAGCATTGCGAGGATTCCGGGAAGTAGTTCCTTCCTTTTGTACAACATGTATGGGATGCATTCCCAGCAGCAGAAGTTGAGGCGCCGATCAAGATCTAATCTCGGCCGGTATTGACCCTGTCAGCAGTTGTGGCTTTTCCTTGGCTTGCACTTCAGGACATGCCTCGAAGTTCGAGAATGTTTCGCTTTGAATGCAAGTCTGGATACTCACGAGCCTTGGCATGCCTTAGAAAAATACCTCGACAAGACCACTTGATGGGTACTCGGCATGTCAAGTAATGACGAAAGCGAGTGGAGGTACATTTGAGTTTAGTCTTGCGTTCGCAGGTAGTTCCAGACAATGTTCACAAGCTTGCTGGCTTTTCCAGTTAAGAAATCGTGTTGTGCGTAAGTTTTCCATTGGTGGGTGAAGTGAAAAGCAAGGGAAGGACCCTCTTTGTCCAATCACACGTGCTTGTTTCCCGAGTGCACATGCTCTTTAAAGACGTGTTTTGAGATTTTGTTGGGAGGTGGGGCGAGATCTTACCATTTACCGTCTCCGTTCAGAGTCTTGCTTGATGAGTGCAGGGCATGCGTCTATCCAAAGTGTTTGTTCCTTCCCAAGCTTGTTTGCCAGGGGGAAATATTTTTCAAAATTCGATTTTCTTTTTCAAAGAACAATGACCTTAAGTTCCATTACAGGCCCACAGAGACCGCGGGAGTCTGAAATGAGCTACACTCAGGACTCGGGCCTCAGTTTCTGGATGCTTATTGAAGCCAGCGACCCTGGTGTGGGGATTTCGCTGGAAGATCGAGCGCCGGTCCAGGTGTTGTCATATGTATTAGCAGCCGGAATGTGCCACATTTGCCATTGCAGATAGATACCTGGTTGGATGCTGTGATACGCCTGATGCAGGTGTGGCGAGAGGGCACTTCAAGTGTCCAAGTCAGCGGTCTCTACCACAATGTCCAGCAGGCGGCTTGAGTGCAAATGTTGCACGGTTCACAGCTTTCGTTTGCAGCCACAGAGCTGGGTCGACTTTGTTAGGCGCTTCGCGCCATGATCTTCCGACCACCAGTTCACCTCTTTGCTGCCCCAGATGATCCGGATGTTTTTCAGTTCGATGTCTCGATCACAGCATTCGCCATTGGCGAGAGGTTCAACGAGCCTTTGCCTTTGGACCCGGGGTTGATGGAGACACGACCTGGCTTCTATCGAGGGAAGTCATATCCCAGTGACCGTATTTCTTTCCCAGTCATCGTGCGGCGCGTCAACCGGGCACCCAGCATATTCGTGGACGTGGACCATTTCGCCGTCACACAAATGCAGGACGATGTAAACCTGTACGGCGTGACAGTGGCAGATCCCGATGCGCGGTTGCATGACCCGATGGAAGTGGTCGTCTCGGTTGAGTCTGACTCAGGGGGAGGCGCTGTGGCTTTTGCGGGCATGCAAGGCCAGCATGGGCATGGGCACAGAGTTTTTAGTTCCACTGGCAGCAGTGCCTTGTAGAGTTCATCTTGAGGCAACAGTGCTGTTTCGAAACTCTGCTTGGCAGGCACATACTTGCAGACGCGCATGACCCTGGCTGACCTGAACGTGGCATTGCAGGATCTCTTCTTCATATTTCGGGACGCAAACTGGTTTGGTACCACGGGAGTGTCAATTTCTGTGTCTGACCTGGGCAACAGAGGTTGGAATGTCAACCGCTACAGTGACATGTACCACCAAGACATTGCCCCGCAATCTGTGGCACTCAAGGGGGGAACGTTGACTATCGTGCCGGATGATGCGTTGTGGTATCACAGCCTATACTCGCAGGATTTTACATGGGAGATCTACGGCAAAGTGATGGCCGTTGCCAGCAGGGTGCAATCCACAACATTTGGGACGACACCTCCCCCTCCAATATTCCAACCATACGACCTGGAGTCTGCACACGATGGCTTACTGTTCAGGAACGATTTCCTGGGTGACAATGTTTCGTCTGGTGTGGATGATCCCTTTTGGGGTGAGGAGAATGAGACCGACAAGCCACTCTGCTCGCTTAGCATAGGCAGTGATGGTCGGTTGAAGTTTGCCCTCCTGTCGGAGGATGGAAGGCTGCAGGGAAGCGGAACGACGGTGTTTGAGGAAGGTACTTGGTACCATGTCGCGCTCGTGGTACGCCGTAGGAGCCGCGACGTCGAAATCTCGCCAGCAGAGTCAGAAGCAGACACGACTCAGGGTGAGGTGGCCTTGTACGTGGACAAGAAGCTGGACGCAGCATTCCCATGGCGAGCTCCGCAGCGGTACATCGGACCAGCCCGTGGGAGCGTGCTGCAAGTGTCAGTTGGGCAGTCTGGTGGGCTGGCACTGTCACGTGCAAGGCTGTGGGCAAGGGCTTTGGAGCCTGGAGACCTTGCTCGATGTGAGGAGCCGTTGGGATCGGCAGCGGGTGGGCCTGAAGGATTGGGTGATGCTCGGCCCCGTGAAACACATCCTCCCTTCCCGAACTTAGTTGGGATTGCGGCACCTGATGCTCCCGCACTGAGTTTTAGTTTTGGTGGCTCTTTGGCGGAAACTGCGCGTCGTGCCCGCATCATGTCAACCGGCAGCTGGTCCTTTGTTGTCGACACTCCTCCGCAATGCCTGGGCTTGACAGAGGTTCCGTATGACAACTTCTTCGAGTACTGTGTTGCGTATGACCACGATCTTGTAGGGATGCTCGAAGAGGGTGGCGACAGACAGCCCTACATGTGGCATTCGCCTCAGGCATACGAAACGAGAGACATGGACTCGTACGCCTCCGCAAGTGTGAGGAGCGTGGAAGGTGGCGAGTTGATGACTTCAACCTTCCTGGCTGTCCATCGCAGCTTTGTGAACGAGCCGCCTCGGATCGTTATGTTGGAGCCCAGGAGTGGTTTGTTGAACGTTTATGAGGACCACGCTAGTTTCATGTCGTTCTTAGTCAAGCACAAAGCAGCTGAAAACCTGGTGGATCGGGATTTGACTGTATTCCTGTCCACGTCACATGGGAGAATGCGCACGATTTCCTCAGCGGCGATGCCAATGTCGTCTTTGGACGGAAAGCGGATCGAATTCACTGCCAAGCTGCATGAGCTCAATGCTTTCCTTTCCCAGCTGCAGTACCTCCCAGATCCGAACTACAACGGTCCCGATCTGATGGACATGCTGGTTACAGACGGCGTGCCTCTGCTCAAGTAAACCTCACGGTTTCTGTTTCTAGGTGCTGCAGGCAGGGTCAGGCCAATAAGAACCAGTCCCACACAATGTCCTACACGAGGAGTATTCTGCGAACACCAGCGTCCCAATCGAGATCGAGACCATGAGCGACCCGCTCACAATAGTGTGCCCGCCCGCAGTGGACATGTTTGAAGGTCAGGCTGGAGTTCCTATCGGCACCAACATCTCCATACGCCTCTCAGCTGGCATCAGCTTTGTGTGATGGCTAGTCCACCGACCAGTTTAGCTTTCTGATGGTGTTTCTGTCGTCTGTCTAATCACCTCCAGTGCCAAGGTGATCATGAGCCTATCCCTGGTTTTGATGATGAGTTGAGCAGAGTGACCGTCGAGATTTTCGCAGGCTTTTCTCGGTCTCATTCAGACCCTTACATCATCGCATTCCCTGGTCTTGTGGAGTCTTGTGCTGGGGTTTGCCAGGGGTTGAAGTGGTCCGCCATGACATGTTGAGACGCTGGTCAGGCGACGGTGGCCTTGACCTGCTCCCAGATATGGTCCCCAATCTCGCTGCAGATCTCCGTGACGAGCTCCATGAAGTGGGCAACGGCACCTACGACGGCTCCAACCGCTCGATGCCAGGCTCGGCGAAGTGAGGCTTACAGTTTCGGAGGTGCTCCTTGCATATTGCATGTCCTACAATGCGCTGCCACAGGTTTGCCGGTTCTGGCCTTCAATACGACCCTCGCTGGCTTCCGTGCAGCGCTCCGCGCGCTGGTTTTCACTCCTTTCCCGGATCCTCTGTGCAAAAAACTCTGATAAAGTTGTTGAACTATGTTGAGCACAATACCTGACCTGAGCTGTCACATGTGACAAGGGGTCTTTCGGGCTTCGCTTAGACTTGAAGACACTAAGGAGTTGTATCACGGAGTTGTGCATTTGGAAGTGCGTGTAGTCGCTGTGGAGACGGAAGAAGAGGCAAGGTGTGAGATTGGCCTGATAGTTCACCCGGTGAACTCAGCGCCAGTGATTGCCGTGGACGAGACTCGGCTGCTGTCTGCCACAAATGGCGGTTTTGTGAAGCCGCATAAAGACATCCACCTACATGGAGTCATTCGCTTGTCGCCTTGCCTGCAATTAGTGCTTCGTTAAGGAGAAGCTGTTGATCCGCCTGCTGTTTGGACATGTTTCGAAGCCGGGTGGCTGCTGAGGTCCGATCCGGATGAGGAGAACTTTTCAGGTGGCTGGTTTGTTGAGCGTGTCCACTCTGCCCGGCTGAAGCTGCGCGCTTCCTGCGGAACACTTTCATTCCTCATGGCCGGGCCACAGGACTATGTCTTTGGTGCCAGAGCTGCAGGTAGAAAACGGAGGCGGAGGCAGTAAAGGATTCCCGCTTGCTTGCTTGAGCCTTCGATTGCACTTGCGCTGTGCGCGCCAGCGCTCGCGAGCGTCCGCGCATGTCGCGCGCTGCCACCAGACTTGTAGGGGGATGGACATGAAGTTGAAACTACCTGGTCAATCTTCTCGCTGTTTAGCTCAGGTGTACAGAATGGCTCCATTGCCGGTACAGAGGGGATCACATTCCACAGCGGAGATGGGGCCCACGACACGGATGGGTCCTTAGTGGGACAGGGCCGCCAAGCTATCTTGGGGCTTGGACTACGGTTTCGGATGCCATTTCTTGCACGCTGCCTGCCAAGGACATGGATGTGACTTCCACGCTGAGAAACCTCAATCTCCAGCTAAGCCGGCTGTTCTATCACTCTGGCGGGGTCGCTTGAATGCACTGAAAGTCTGCATATGAGAGAGGGAGGAGAAGAAGAACGAGAGCGGAATCCACCCCTGCCTTGGGCAACTGACAGCCCTCAGTGGCATCCACTCTTCGCGACCCTCCGCTACGAGTACCGAGTATTTATCTCTGATGCTCGGGGCCGGACACTCGGGCAGCCACACGTGAACGCGAGAAATGCGGGCTGTCCATCCACGGCAGCGGGTAATTAGACGGGGTGCATGTTCCCGAAACTCGACTGTGAATGCGCCGTGTCTGTGTGAAAATCCACGCGTGTTTTTGAGCTGCCTGGAGGGGCGCTCTTCGGACGAAGTGCATATGCAAAGCCATGGTGACAAACGCGAGGACGAGGTGAACTGAGATAGGACTCGCAGAAGGTCGCACTTTTCTACCGCTACCTTTAGACTTTTCCCAAGCCAGCGCAGCCGGCCATAGTGGCCGGGTTGCCTTTCCGCTGTGTAGAAAAAGAAGAGTGGAATCAGAGATAGGGGCATGAACAAATTCAGGTCCTGGTGCACCACGTGGCCCGGCGTGGCAACCCCCCTAAACCTAGGACTGCCGTGGTGAGAACATCACGATCTCTGTAGAGCTCAATGACCTCGGCTGCCTGGCTGCATTTCGTCCCCTCGGAGAGGCGACTTTGTCTGTGAGAGCTTGAGGTAACTACGGAGCCTACATGGATGAGAAGCCGGGCTATATTGGGCGCTGGCAACAAATCCGGCTTGCATTTGGTGTTTAGCGAATGGTCCAGAGCTAAGGATGGGCAATTACGGGCATCCTCACCCCATCGTGGTGACAAACGAGGTGTTTTGCATGTGTTTGCCTTTCTCTGTCTGTTCTTTGCCGTGCTTTTGCTTTCATGTCATTGCGCGCTTGCCGAACCCACAGCCAAGGTTTACTTCGAAGTGTTGGAGTTCTAGAGCCAGTGGTAGGTGATGACGGGGCCAGATCCCTCGCAAGCCGAAAAGTTCGAGCTTGCGGAAGTTTGGAGTTTGGAACATGAAAAGTAGGATGTTGTGACGTGGGCTGACAAAACCATATGCTGGTCACAAGAGCCGGCGCTAGAAGCTGTGACGGGGGACACCCTGCCGAGTCCAACCTTCCCAAAAGGGAACCGACTTTTCAGAATCCGCTACTGGCAAGGGGGTCCCCTAGTTACTGAGTTGCACATATTCGGGTTCTTGTGGCCTGAAGCAGAGGAAAGCTTCGAATGAGCACACCAGGCAGGTTAAATCCACATGGCAGTCGAGAAGAACCCATGGCCGGCCTCCCGCATGGCTCCCCGCACGGTGCAAACAGCGCCACTGTTAATGATCGTATGCCCAAATGGCATTGGTCGAGATGACAGCACGGGCATTCGGATGCACAGCATCGATTGGTACATGGCATCTCTTGGTGAGCTTGGCGTGCCAGCTGCCATCTCTTGTGCAGCTCCCCTCCAGATCTCCCGAGGCAGAGGCCTCCAGAATCGGAGGATCGTTAATCTACCGTTTGCAACGCCCAGCGAATGTTGGGGGAAGAAATGCATCATCACCCTGGAGGTCTGACCTGTGCCGATTTGACTCAACGCTTCGAAACGCTTCGATTGCCCTAAGGATCCCGAGCAGGCCCAGAGCCTCTTCGATGAGATGGCCAGCACCCAAGACACGTTTGACACCGTTAGTCTTGTGGACGAGCCCGTCCGCGGACGTATCGTGCCAAGGCAACCAAGCATGATCCCAGCGAAAGTGCCAGGGCTGAGCTGGTGTGCTTGCTCAGTCGCTGGGGCTGCTGCACTCACTGTAGTCAATCTGTTGCTAGCAGCGTTGTCTGTGCAAATCCCTTTGTGGACTGAATTGGAGTTGGATGCGTGGCGCTGCCGCGTGTTCTTTGGTCTGTCAGACGTCCTAATCACATAGAGGCTGTTGCCTTGGCGAGCCGACGGCGCACAGCCCGGAGTGCCTTCGCCGTTGCAGGGGAGGCTTCGCGCATGCTGCAACGAGCCAGTTGGATGCAAAGCGATGTAAGGCAGGAAGGTCTGTGAGGGCATGGGAAGATGTGGGAAGATGTGGGAAGCTCTGGTCGTGGCACTGCTTGCCAGGCAGCACGCAGAGGCGAGGCGTTCGCGCCGACATGTTTAGTTTAGACACGGTGCAGGCAATAACAGAGTAGCTAGGTCGCACCGAGGTAGATGGGTTCACAGTCTGAGCTTTCTCGCATGGCAGTCTTGGGCAGCGCCTTTGTGTGGCTCTGGCACGAGCTTGTGCAGAAGAAGGGCGCGCGGATGAGGCTCTCCTTGCAGTGGCCCCGCTAGCGATTGGCTCTAGGCGTCTTAGCCTGAAAATCCCCTTCCGTGTGTGAAGCCAGTCTTGTGTTTGTTGCAAGTGTCTGACCGCCATGGTTCCATTGGAACACGGCGATTCGAGTCGACTTGGTCGATTACTTCGTGGGTGTCGCTGGGCGGGTGGTAGATCAGCGCAGCGGTGTCGGTTCAGGTCCTACAATCCCAGTGGGTCGGAACAAGAGTTTGTGTTTGGGGATCGGAAAGGAGAGGGGGTTAGGCCTTTCCGGACGTTTGCACGACGAAAAAATCCGATGTTTTCTTTTGAAGTCAGACATTCTCAGACTCTCAGACACTCAGACCTGGCCCACTCAGACACTCAGACTCTCACCTCGAAAGCCCGACCCAGTCACTCAGTCACTCAAACTCTTAAAAGAGTCACTCACACACTCAGACCTTTGCGAGAATTGAGTGCCTGAGTGTCTGAGCGCCGTTCGGACGCCCGCTCAGATGCTCAGGAACTCAGATGATCAGGGTGAGAGTCTGAGTGTCTGAGCATCCGAGGGCAGAATTTAGAGTGGTCTGGTCTCCAGGAATATGGGGTATCATCTAGGATTTCTGCGTGCATTGATTGAGACTCTCTGAGGCTTACCACTTCAGGTTTCATCCTTGATATGTTGGGGGCAGGGAAGCGGAGAACATCTGGCTAAATTTTGATAGAACCACATGAACGTTCAAGGTTAGAGAGGTGAACCTCCAGTGATTTTAGATGTCAAAAAGAAAACTCCGCTGAAGGAAGGGTGAAGAAAAAGGAAGTCATGCAACCTGTAAGAAGTGCTATCGCACCTTTTGCCACCTCATGAAATCGCATAAGAATGCTCAAGGGCCAACCTCATGAAGCCCAAACCCAAAAAAGTCATAAGCGATCAGCTTGGCACGTCCTACGAGAGGTGCTGGCTGGCGCAGCAAGGTTACCAGACACTGGCGAAATGCACCGGAGACGGGATTGCGGCAAACCCGACGGCCGGGGCTCCTCGGAGGTTTGTGTTCGACCAGGGTGTCCGCATCAAAAGGCCAACCACAGAAGAAACAGAATCGATATCGAACGCGCAGCCTTTGTACACTCAAAGACACAATGGGGCGAGCATCAGGAACATCGTGGCAAGCGTTCTTGGGCACCATGGACCCCGTTCGTCCTTGAAACGCAATCGAGCGGATCGCTTTTGTAGCGGCCGCCACGCAAGGACCTCATTGACCCTACTCGTCGCGGCGAATGCAGCAGCGTACGTAGCCGTTGCATAGAGATCAGCGTCGCCACCCGAAGGCCCCATGGGGCGAACATCATGGGAAGGCTCGCTGAGGCGTGCACACTTGCTTCCCAGAATGCAGGGCCGATGGACGTCTCCTCAATCCTTCAAGCTATGAACCCTCAAAAACAGTCGGCAGGAGCATGTAGGAGTGCGCTAGCAGATACTGAGCCAGCAAGCAGGACGGTGGCGCCCATGCATGCGAGGCCGAATTCATGGAGTTTGAAAACCAATCCGCGGTACCCGGGTGGACATGCAACACCTAAACATGCAAGAGAGGCGTTACCATCCTCGCGTGCTGTTCGGGAGACGACAAGCATTCTTGTAGAAGCAAGGCTTCAATCACTGGCAAGGGTAAGCTTAAGTGGTCTGATGCGCATTTCGCGGGCACGAGTTTTCTCTGAAAGGCTGAACGTTTCTATACAAGGCTTCATCGCAAGTTGGGCTAGGCCCCGCTTTGCCTAGCTCCAAATCTGGCAAGGCCAAGTTGCTCAGAAGGAGAATGATGGTCTGCTGCCGAGTAAGAACCTGTAGCTTATCTTTGGGATGCAGCTCCCATGGTCGTGAAGGCGGCTGGGATTGTTCCTGATGCAGGCATGGCCGTGGAGTTGCTTGGATGTGGCCGCCCCCCAACCCCGAATTGTAGAAAGGCATACGGGCAGACCTCGTTCGCGCCTTTGGCGCAGCGGCAGCCACCGCACGAGGCGGGTCTAGACTTTGCCACACATTGCCATGCCGTTGGCTCCCTCGCAGATCCGATGAGGTGGCGAGCGAACCAGGCTTCTGTCGCATGTTTTGGCCTCTGATGCCTGATGGCTCTGTGGGCGCTCACTGATGCCTGCACATGCACAACATGTTGAAGCAAGTCAGAAGGCCCCACCCCCCCCTCCCCTAGATGTAGTTTCTTCAAGCCCAGGCATGGCGGGAGGTGCAGGAGGCCAAGGCGCAGGTTCCACAGTCTCTTCCGGCCGAGTTGCTGCATGCTCTGCCCAGAGCTCAGAGAAGGGCCCTGGCTGGGGTGCTCTCAAACATCTGGCAGTTCATTGTAGGATGCTGAGTCCTGAACAGACGATGTCCTGAAGCGTCTTGTGAGCCCAATGTCCAAGCGAACGAGCTTGAAGAATCCTCGAGCATCTGGGTTCTGTTGTCTCTTGGCATCAGGCTGGCAGCATACTGCTCTGCCGACTTGGTCAGAAACCTGGCTTTCAAAGTCGGACGCGTAGCTGAGAGTGCCGCACCACGCCGTGTGCTGCAAGGTTCGTCATGTGCTGTTTGCATCTCAAGGCTGGCCATGCAAAGGAAGTCCTGATGATGAGCCCCTCGATGGCATCAAGGAGAAGATGTCAAGCGAATGTGTTTGAAGCCGCGGAGCAAGCAAGGCCCCTCACATTTTGGGGTGGAGCCGGATGAGGTCGCCTATGCGATCGTCCTTTCGGCTGGGCCTCAGTCAATTTTTGGAGTTTCCTTTCGGCGGGAGCAGGAAGCGAGCGCCACCAGACCCCCTTGCAGACGTAGCTTGGACGTAGGGTTCAGTTTCTGAAGCTCAGGCTTTGGAGGCCACCTCGCCAACAGAGTTTCGGCAGCTCTGGTTCCACATGCGGAACATGTCGGAACGCTTGAGGCTCAAGGAAGGGATCTGCTACTCTGTGGTGCTGGACCGTCGCATCTACCGCAGTCTTGCGAGGTCCTGGCGAGGTGCTGCTTCAGCGTGGTTCTCAGCATCCGGCAGGGTCTGATTCCACATGCACCCAGCCTCACATGTCAAGGCTCAACAGCCCCGAGAGTTATCATACTTTCCGAGGTCAGCACTTCGAGTAGCTGTGAAGCTTCAGGATATGGCTTTTGCGCAATCCGCTTGGGGCTCAGTCGAATAGCGAAGCATGTGTAGACGCCGCACCCCTGTGCAAGACTCGAGCTCGATGGTTTCCAGAAACTCCCGACCCCGACTTCCAAGGTGTTGGAGCTTCTTTTCCAGGCCTTGGTTGCTTCGTATTAGTGGAAACGCCATGCCTCAATCACGCCTCAATCATGCCAGTTCCTGCTCTTTACCAGGCCAAGGTGGCCCCGGATGCTGCCGTAATGTCAGCCCTCGGTGCTTCGACAGGTGGCGGACTGCCCTTTGTTGAAGTGTTGGTTCCCCTCTTTCTGCCTTTCTGTCGGCTGTCTGTGGCTTCGCCCATGTCCTGTGATCCTCGTGTGGGTTGCGGTTTAGCATGGCTTAGTTTCATGGTTGCTTGATTGATGATTGATTAAGTTACTGTACTTAATTAAATAAGTAATTATCAATTCAGAAGTAAGTAATAATTATTTAAAACTGGGGCACTGCAGGTCCGGAAGCTGCTGCTCTGCGCCGCCTCCTTGCCGCGTTCGGAAAGGCGCAGGGGTGAGGGTGAGAGCTTCGGAAGCTCCTATAGTGAAGCTCCTAGTGGAGCTCCTTGAAGGCCTAGCACCACTAGCGGAGCTTGAGTTGCCCCATAGGTTGAGTTCTGTACTTCCAAACCGACTCAAACTGTTGAATTTCAATCTTGGGCACATTGGGACATCTAAATCTAGTGTTGCGGTTGCTGGCATATGGTGGTGAAGTAACTGAGAAATCGTTGTGCCAGGTAGCGCGCCCGGCCCTGACCATTTCGAGACAACGTGCTGATAACGTGGCGGAAAACAAGAAAGCACTCTGAGTGGATTGAGTGGATGCTAAGCGTTTTTCAGAGCTTTTCTGTCAGGGCAGAGTCCAGGCCGTCCCTCGAAAGATTGCCGCAATTGGCTTTCGGATCTGCCCATCCTGGTACCGGCCTGGCTCAACCAGTGACAAGGTGCCGGTAGTCGCCCTTACCGGGAAACGCAGTGGCCCCAACGGTGCACTGGATTAGCTTTGCTGTGATTGAGCGTCGGCTTTCTTGTGTGGAGCAGTAGCAATCCCAGCGGGCTCTTTCGTGGAAAGAATCACTACATGGGAGCAAATGCAGCCTGGTAGTGTGAGGCCTTGTGCCTATGTGTCTTCAGACAAGCACCACAAAGCCAGATAACCCTCTGCGTGAGTGCGTACTGCGTGTGTGCGTTTGTTGTTCATTTCGGTTGTTCTGTTTGTTTGGCTTGTCGGTTTTATTAGCTTCGTTTAGTGTTTGCATAAATACAATTCTGGTTTTGCTTGTGTGCGCGGGGTCGGCGCGTCGGTGTGCTCTAAGGCTTGCCGCCTTTCATGGTGCCTTCCCGAGTCTACAAGAGCTCTTGCAAGTTGCAAGTCCAATGCCTTTTACAGGCTGTCTGCAATCCACTATTTGGCTCTGTTTGCCGGGGAAGTTGTGGAGATCTCTACGTGCTTTCTCCATCAGCTGCGGCTCTTTGGTGTGCCAGATGTGATGCCAAGGACTCCCAAGGGTCCACGAAGGCCATGTTGAAGGGATACCATCGCCATGCAGCAAGCATCGCCTCGTTCATGCTCCATGGTCATGAGTGGGGAGTCATCGTGCAAAGCAGGTGGAAAAGCCACCTGGGGAACATGACAAGCCCGCGACCCGCCGTCTGCTTACAAAATGCATTCGAAGAGTTTCGGCACAAACTCCAACAACCTTCCTGGCAACTTGTCAGGCGGAAGACGGCAGAGCGTGCTGTCAATGTCAGTGCCATGCCTTAGAGCGAAGTGCACAGAGCTAGTGTTTTGAGAGCATTGGGTTCGGAGCACCAATCGGCACCAGTGAGCCAGAAGCTGTCTGGGCGCAGGCCACCCTCAATGGATCCCTGAATTCGGTGTCGTAATCCTGCTAGTGGCTTAAACGTTGACTCTGAAGAGAAGCACTCAGGATGTCCAAACGGGCAGCAAGCAGCCGTCCCGAGAGGGGTCGTTCCTGCGAAAGCTAACAGGTAGTTTCGTACAAGAGGAGCCCGGTCTCGTGGCTTTGCTGCAAGGGAGTCTGCGAAAACATCTTAAAGATTCTTAGAGCAGTTAGGTCAGGTCAGGTGAGAAGGCAAAGCCTGCCTTTGCTAGATGGAGGCGCAAGAAGCTCTGAGCATGCCCCTCAAGACACTGCTAGGGAGTTTGAGGGCGAACGAGAGGCTTGCGTCTGCGGCGTCACTAGGAAGCGCCAACGCACATGATGAACCCAGGATGAAGCCCAGAAACAGAAGTGGAAGGAGATGATGGAACAGGCTTTGTCTATCGTTCGTTTTTGTTGCGACGTTTGATCCGGTGACAGGCATATGTCAAGCGAAGTGAAGTTTGCTTTTTGCTTCTTCATCAGGCAGGACTCTCCTCAAGATCTGCTTCGTCACACGAGGCCCCGGAGGAAGGCGAAGGCGAAGAGGAGACGACCAAGTCACGCCTTCAACGTAGCGCCAGCCCCAGCACATCTGACACCCAGCTGCCTGTTGCGATCGCACAGTCACATTTCCCAGGAAGGTAAAGATGCCTGTACCTGCAGGTGGAACTGGTTGGGCCAGCATACCCAGGAGGGAGCGGCAGGAACAAGCACGCCTGAGAGCCCTGAGTGGCCATCGATGCCGGCAGCCCAGATGGACAAGGTCCCAGATGTACGAGGCAGGCGAAGGCATCCGTTGAAGAGCTGCTTGCCGGCGTGCAGCATGCTCCCTGCTTGGGTTCTTTTGATGCTCTTTGCTCTGCTCTCGGAATAGCATTTCTCGCGTCGTGGAACCGCGGATCGGAACGCTGAGTGCCCAGGAGAAAGTGCACAGGTGCAGCGCCACAGCCACCACACTGACCACATGCTGCGTGTAAAACACTGCCAGTGGGACTGAAGGAGGCTTGAGTCCTCACACTGACGCAAAAACCTCTGGAAGGCTTCGATTTGTCGATAAAAAGTAGGGACGCGAGTGCCAACAACGCACACCCTGCGTCACCCTGACCTCTTGAGCCACGTGCTATATTTGCCATATGTGGCCCCTGCCCCGATGCCCCTTTCGTAGCCCATCGCAGCCCCCTGCTCGAATCAATGTTCGAGCTCTGGCGTGCGGTGCAAATTTGATACGTGACTTATGAGACCCTTCAAGAGAAAAATCCGCAGTGGGGAGTGTAAACAGCGAGGCCTCTGCGTCGGTTTCGTGTTTTACTGTAAAACACAGATGTCCCGAGGCCTTCAGTCAAGACTGCTGGCTGCCAACGTTCTCGAGTCGGAGGCGTTTGATTTCGTGACTTGGGTCGAAGATGGTCGAAGGATGCATTTTCCACTTCGTCCTGTGCACTTCTCTGGCTTCTCCACAAAAAACTGTTTCGTATGTCATGACTGTGGGCAAAGGTTTCATGTTGATGATTGGCAGAATTCATGAAATGATGCAGAAGGGAACAGTCAGTCAGGCAAGTCCAGTTGTGTGGGCAGAGAGGCAGAGTGAGGCAGGGATTTCGCATGCAGCGTGCAACGACTGCACCGGCATGCCAGACAATGCGAGCGCTCAAGTTAGTTAAAGTGAACATCTGTGAGCAAAGTGGACTTGAGCGGTGAGCTGATACCTTTCAGCGGTTGCTTCAAGAAGTAAAGAGTCAAAGAGTAGAATGCGTAGAAAACCAGAAAGACAGAGGAGGGAGGCAGGAAGAGCGAGAAAGAAAGCCACCACGAGCAGCAGAAATGACAGCATTTTGCCTCCCGCCCCTCAGGCCAGGCAGGCCAGTTTGACCGTTGCTAATCGTTGACTAAAGGCTCTGAAATGCGTCGGCTTCTTACACGACAATGACCCCTTGGTACCTTGCCAAAAGGCACAAACACAAACACCAACACACAGACGCAGACGCACACGCACACACGCAGACGCACACACGCAGACGCCCACGCAGACACGCACACGCAGACGCAGACGCAGACGCGCACACGCACACGCGCAACGCACGCACACGCGCAACGCACACGCACACGAACACGCAAATGCCCGCAAACGCCACGCAATCGCCATGCAAACGCCACGCAAACGCCACGCAAACGCACGCAAACACACGCAAATGGGCTCCAGGCCTTGCACTTCTGCCTTTTGGGACGCCCTCTTGCGTCCCGCAAGCTCGCGAACTGCCTTGAAAAAAGTCGTTTAGGGCCTGGCGCCTTGAAGTTTCAGGCCTCATGGGCTCGAGGACTCCAGGCCTTCCAGGGGTTTCTAGTTCGCATTGGCATACTCGAATCGGTGGCAGCATGAAAAGGGGCGGGGTGGTTGGTGTGGGCAGGTCCGGCAGTTGGGGGGACGGCTGCTTCAGGGACATTGAGGTTCCGCAATGCATTCTTGTGTCAGTTCTCCAAGAGAGCAACGGAAAACTCGCAAGATCAGTGCACGTGCATCCACCGCACACCGACCGACCTAAGCGCCAGACGTCTTCTGTAGGGAAAATTACTCCTTGCAGCACGAGTCAAATGAAAATAGCTTTGGTTTCCATCACAATTAGCGGTTTTGCACCCCAGACATTCCCAGACAGGATGCTTGGCATTGCCACATTGCACCACTGTTTTCTTTCTCTCCACTTCTTGTCTTTCACGGGGCCTAGGGGCCATTCGCCCCCAGCTCTGGCCCGGCTGGAGGGCAATTGCTGCAACTCAGTTTTCGTCACAGCAGAAGATCAGGTGATGATTATCATCATCCTGGCGAATGCAGTCACCATTGGTGTGGAGCAGTGGATACGTGTGGAGGGTGTGCCCTGTTTCAGCAAGTATGCAAGGTGGTGCTGGTCCTACGTTTTCTGAGTAGGTTCTTTTCATCCGTGGTTCGAGGGTGTTGTGTCGCAAACCGCGGGAAACAAATGCGCAGAGTTCAAATCCCTGTCGTGAATGCTTCAGCAGTTATGTGGCTCGCAGGATCGCCACACTCAAACTGCGTTCATCTAAGGGCAACACCAAGGACGGCCCCCTGAATATCCTGGAACACATCTTTCTCGTAGCTCTTGCGCATTTGGTGTGTTGCTCTTGGGTTGACTCTTGCCGGCCTGCTCGCTGCTGACTCAGGTAATCTACACTCTTGAAATATTCCTGCGATTCTTTGTGAATGGGCCACTCAAAGCCATCAGAGACCATTGGGTCAAATTTGACACCGTTTTGGCATCTTGGAAGCATCATGCTGTTTGTGAGCAGCGTGAGCTACTGTAACCAGAGCTCAGGGATTCATGCCTGCCGCGGTGCTATCCAGGTCATATTGGGCTGGCTCGTGCTCTGGATTTTGCCTGTGGCCTGCCTGCAGGATTCTTTTCTTCATGATACACACTATGTGGGCAAGTCATCCACGCCTAGCTTCGCATGGGCATCAGAGGCAAAAAAAGGGAGCTTCGGGTTAGACACCCCGAAGTCCGAGTGTGGAAAAAGAAGTTCAAAAGCAATGCTGAACTAGCAGGCGGCGATACCCATGTCGGAGGAAACGGGCGAGTACTCCGGTTTTTTAACACTGACGCTGGGTTTGCAAGCAGCCATTGGGAAGCCAAAGCTGAAGAACTTGCTCAACTTCCTGAGCGCGACCCAAAACTCAGGCGGACGCTTCGATTGCTGCGCAGCTCAGCAGAGGATGGCTTTTGCAGCCTTTACATGCCTTTCTTTTCTCCTCCTGTCCGACTCGCCTCAGAGATCCTGCAAGCAAAGCTCAAGCAAAGCTATGCGAGGCCCAAGCAAAACTATGCAAAGCTCAAGCATAGCTCAAACGGCAGAGACCGAGGATTGGCGCGAACAGCCCGTATCATCACCAGGATGCATGATGCCTGGCCTTAGCTGGTGTTGTGCGGACATCAATGAACGACACGGCATGCGTGGTTCCTGCAGCTTTTCTTGGAGTGCAAAGCATTGTCCGGGATTGCGAGATTGTGCACTTGAGGAACTTTGGATGCTAGTTCAGATGGTTACCTCCTGTGCCACTTGGCATTTCAAAATTCGGTTTCGAATCCCTCCCCCCCCTTCCGTTCCCCCCCCCCCCCCTTCCGGGCCCTTCCGTTGGGGAAAACGACTTTTGAGCCGAGGCGAGCACCATGATTTACACGCTGTTGCTGCTTGGCCTATGCTTGGCCTATGCTTGGCCGTTTGCAATTTGATGTGCAGGTCCCCCTTCGAGCTTTGAGCTGCACGACAGATCTTGTGAAGTCAGGTTGCTAGTGACTGTGCTGTACCTGTCTCTCGGCTTGAACTTGCTGACTCGTGCCGCATCAGTGTGAGCTGCGCCACGCTGGCATATGCTGGCCTGAGGTTTTCCTTGCTCTTCGTTCCTTGGTTGTAAATTCATCTGAGCTGGTGTTTCTGCAGTTGTGCTTTGCTTGCCATTTCCGCCAAGGTTGAGGTGATCACCAACCATCCCTTAGCGAAAAGCGAAGGGGTCGATCCTCTAGAGTCTGCATTCTTTCTGGCCGGCAGCCCATTTTCAAAACATTCGTTCACCCCCTGTTCCCTGTCAATGACATCGCTGAATCAAAGGTGGCCAATGAACACTTTGCCAACCTATGGGTGACGATGATGACGCTTGCTGCCCGACGCTGATTCAAGTCTGTTGTCCCCCTGGTTCGGTGAACGGGGCTAGGTCGGGCTTTGCACTTAAGGACTTAAGGCTTAGGTACCGGCGTGCCTGTGCCTCTCCCTAGTCTTTGCATGCATGCGGCTGCATTTACACGAGCCAATGTCTTCCATGGGCATGCCACTACATCTTGCACATTCTTGCACCATTTGGCAGGTTCAGTTTGTAACGCTGGATTCCATGGCCAACGTCTACAAGCCTCTTGTCAAGGCTCGCATGGCCTAGCAGGAAGAAACGCAACAGTCGGAATACTCGGAATATGCCCGGCAAAAGGGCTGTGAACATGTAAGCATGCTGACCTCTGCAGGGGGACCCGGGCTTGGCTCTCTACTTCGGAGGTTTCTTGGCCACACATGGCTGCACATACCCCGAAGTTTAGAGGCCATCAAGATGGCTCGAATCCGAGGCTTGGTGTTGGTGATCTCCATCGTGCCCATCTCAGTCGAGCGGCTTTCCTCGGGATCGGCATCGCCTCTATGCCCAGGTACTGATGAATCTTATCACTGCTGAGGGCTCAGGAGGGCTTGGCTGAGGGCCCTGGCGCTGACCTCGCCCATGGCGCCAGTATAGCGCGCCACATGCCAACCGTGACCCAGCCCCCCATGTTCTTTTCCTTAAGTGCTTCTTTCGCAGTTGCCCCCAGGCGGTTATTGTCAACAGCGCGCTCGAGCAGGTAGCCGCAGGGATGCAGAAGGGCTGATTTATTACTGCACGGAGGAAAGTTGCTCTTGGAATGTTAGCCATCGACTGCCTCGCCTAGTTTTCAAGCTGCAGTTGAAGTTAGAAGGGCTGAAGCTGTGAACCTGCACCATGAGCCCATGCTTGAGACGAAAGCGATTGAAGCCGTGCGGATCCTTGAAGCTTGAAGCTTTTGCGAGACACCTGTGCTGGTCTCAGTGGCTTCGTGCAGGCCTCCAGCAACAAGGAGATTCAGCGAATTCAGGACGGGCAGCCGCATGTTCGGAATCGAATGTAGCAGAATTTGAGACCGGAAGGAGAACAAGCGAAGAAAGAAGACGATCGATGAGCTGCATTCAATGTTCTCACGCCTCTTGGCCCAGTCAGGTGGTCCCAGGTCCGGAATTCCAATTTTGATGGTGATCGCATGCAATGGCTCGTATCTGGGTCACCTATGGTCACCTGTTCAAGGTCTTGACCACGATGGCAGCGGCACCATCACCCTGGCAGAGATCATGGAGGTCAGGCGGTTCAAGGTCTGGAGCCTCCATTCCATGTTGGACCAGCTCAGGCAACAGAAGAGGATCAGATGCTTTTAAAGAAGTTTTTGACGCTGGAGAGCCCGTTGGAAATATTCCGTGTCCTGCCAAGGATCCCGCTTAGACCCAGCGTGCTCGGTGCTCTTCAGGCTGGGCTGCTAGTGCTAGTGGCATCTGAGGCATGCTGGATATTGACAACTCCGGGCAGCTGAACATAGAGGAGTTCTGTGAGGGCGTCATCCAGCAACCGAGTTGCAGACCTGCAGCTCTCCGCTGTGATCCGCTGCGGCCTAGAAGTCTTCGAAATCCGACCGCTGCTTCACCCAAGGCACGTCACTTCAGACCGGTCCGTTGAGTTCAAGCGCATCGACAAGAACTTCAAGCAATTGAGGAAAGAAGTCAGGCACGCAGCGGCCAGCGTCTGCCCAGCGTTGATCCATACAATCTCCCATTGCGCTGAGCCTGTGATCCTTGGAAGGGCGCTGCAGTTGTCGGTGGACAAGCTGACTGGAATGTTCATGCAAACCATGGGCGTTGGGTCAACATCCAGCATGGCACTGTGCAATGTTTCCTCGGCGTCTCGGCAGGAATTGATACAACCGTGCACGCATTTGCATGTGCCAGCGAAGAAAAACTACAAGCTTGCACCTCACAGCTTGGGCAGTTCGGTCACGCAATACATGTTTTGGACTCATAGCAGACGCCCTTGCGAGGACGTCAAGGATGCTAGAACCAAGCGCAGAGGGATCTGCTTCGAAGAAGATACGAAGCCTAGGCAGGGGGGTCACTGGGACACCGAGCTTTTGCATGCAATGCGCGGCAAGACTTTCCATGCTCTGGCAGGGAACCGGTGATGGAACCTTTGGTGCATTTCTCCGTGTTGTGGTCATACTATTGATATTTTTAGTGTTAATGTGAATATTAATTTGAATATTACTATTATTTATACTCATATGAATATTAATTTGAATATTAATCTCAATATCTTGCAGTGCCGAGGGTCGCTGAGATTCGCTGGCTCAGGAACCGGAGCCTCGAGGAGCAGCGGAGTCGCAGACGCCTCCAGTGTGGGCTGCGGAGCTGGGTTGAAACCGTTTAAACCCCAAGCATCTAATGCCGAGTTTGGTTGCTAAAGAGATTTCCATGCCCTGGCATGGCCAGGACCTCTTCAAATCTCTCCGGGACTCTTGGATGCTCTCTGCTTGAGCGTTCTCTGTTTTGACATCGCCAGCAACAGCTCCCAAACAAGCGTCAAAATCAGCAAGGAAGAGTTCGCGCAGGAGTTTTGGCAGGCCAGAAGCTAATGCAACCCGTGGACTTGCTGACATGTTTCACAGTGTTACAGGAGATTACACCAGGGCTGGCCTTTGTGGCCGTGGAAGGGTGTGGACACATAGTGATGACCTGAGGTGCGCAGCGACCTCGCACGGGGCATCGCTGTGACGGCACAGCAGGCCTGCTTGCACTGCAATTTCTGATGCCGGGGTCTTTTCATGAGCGACTGCTGCTAGAAACTTCGCTGTGCGGCGCAGGCAGCACAAGCAGCTGCAGACCGACCAGCCGTGCCTGGTCTGCGTGTGGCATCGCTGTGGCATGGACGTGTTCAAGCGTTGCTGTGGCACTGTAGCGGAAACGCTGGTTCAGGGCTTGTGTCGGTCATAGTTATAGTTGTATACCCTCTTAAGTCGGTCACAATTGTTGCGGCATCTAGGGTTTTTGTCACGCTACTCGTGCCGGAAGCTGCCGATCAAAGGACATGTCCGATTTGCATCAGGAGACGCGCCCAAATTCAGACAATTCAGACTCCAGTTTTCTCATTTTCTGCTGCGGCGCGATGCAATGCCAAGCAGGGCACCTCCATCTCAGCTTTGCAAGTGCGAGGAAGTTGCGGATGCCATGAAGCTGGCCTGGGCCTCCGACCGATTCCTTCGCGAGCGGAGACTTGCCTGTAAGTTGGGCTTTCGGAAGCGTGGGATGTCATTGCCTGGGCAAAGGAGAACGAAAAGAGCGCACAATTGTCGCACATTCGAGTGAGGCCGCCTGACAAAGCCACTTTGGGCAGTCTCCGGCATGGCCGGGACTCGCCCGGGAATGTGTCGATGGCCAAGTATAGGTGAGTGGTCGAAGGTAGCGCGGACACGTGCAAGACACTTGCAAAGAGCACTGCTGAGGCTCAGGATGCAACCTGCTGAGAAGCATCTTGGCATTCCTCAAGACTCCGGGCTCTGTGATGACAAGTTGCCCAAGTGCACACATAGTACCGGAGTGACGAAATCTGACTGGGACCGACCGAATGGTTCCAAGGACTGCTGCCATGATTCGCGCAGCGCCTGCCATGCCACCAGCACCACCGCAGATGGACACCGACTCACCGCGGCTCGAAGTCTTTCCATGGAAGGATTGACAGGATTGGCGACTTGAAATACACTTTTTTTTGTTTCACTTCTGTGCTTCTTCCCCACGCGGCGATCTTCAAAGCAACCTCCCAGGACTCCCTGGAGGGGGGTCCAGCACACATTCAAACCCGTCACCCTAATATGGCTGTGTGTCGTTGGCAAGTGTGTGGCAAGTTGGCCAGTGTGTCGCGCTTTCTTGTGACTGCCGGTATGTGCCACCGAAGCGACTGATCGCCCCTCGTTCCGCGGCAAAGCTTCACGTGTTTAAGACGTGTGAATGCCTTGCCCGTTTTCGCAGGCAACACCAGGTAGGTCCCAGGTCATGCACGTGTCAATCACCTGGGGCAAAGCGAAGCACACTCCGAAATCTGTCGATGGCAGCAGCAAAATTCCGAAGCTTTGGGGCAAGTTTGTTGCATGTTGCTTTGCCGGACTGTACTCGCATGCCCTGCTGAGATCAGCACAATTTGGCACATAACAAGATGTCTTCAAAGGCACTATCTGATGAAGGGAGACTCGACACATCATCTTGACCACAAGATGGTGCATTGCTGGTCTCATCAAAAAATGCCGCAGCGTGTCCATTAACTGCATGGTGGTTTGTACGGATCGTACTGGCCCCGTGCCACCCTCTTCGTGTTCAGCCGATTTGAGCTTGAACTCGAATTTTCCTGCGCCCGGGTCGCCGGGATGCGACTCCCTCGTATCTGGCGTGGCCATCCGTGTCAACGTATGGATGGAGAGCTAGAAGCTTTCATCCCAGCACAAGTGGTAGTGAACACCCGCAAACTGTCTTTCCTTCATGTGGAGCAACGGGTCACTCACCAACGATAGCTATTGCGCTTTTGATTGCTCGGGCATTCCCGCCACAGGTCTTCTCAGGGTGTGGCAGCTTGTAACCGAGCTTGAATGACATTTGTCGGACATCGCACGCTGCTGTGTGAGCGCGGCGGTGCTGCCCCATGCTGTCCCACTTGGCTGAAATCGAATGTTCAGAGTGCGTCCACTGTAGGTAGCAACAGTTCAGAATGGCTCCGTATGGCACGTTTTCTTAATGACCGAAGTGAGCAGAAGAAGGTTGCAACATGCATTCTGCCTCGTGCAGCTGTTTACTGCGAGCTGTGTGCTGCAGTCATCTGAAGCCTAGCGTGGCCCCACAAAACAGGGAAGGAGTTTTAGGAGTTTCTGCGCTCGCCTTGCACGATTGCACTCTCTTCCTTAGCTGAACATGGCGAGGGGAATTTGTCATAAGATTTCTTTAGTGCATGCTCGGGAGTTAGCATTCGCGCCGTCCAGGGCAGAGTGTGATTCGCAGCATGCGCGGATGCGACGCATACTCCCTGGCAGAAGAGCGCTGCCAGTTGTCTGAATCTCGAAGGTTTCTTCGGCATGGCGAAGCTTGCATAACATGTGCACAGCTCGGGAGCAGAAGCCTCCGCCCGGTCAAGGTGGCAGTCCTGGCAGCAGTCCGGCAGGTGCCTCCGAGTTGGCATTGCTGTGGCAATTTCCGCCGGTTCGTGGCAGGTGAGGTGCAGCATCGAGGACGATGACCAGGAACCTACTTGCTACAGTTCGCGTGGCTGCGACAGGGCAGCTTTCCAAGTCTTGAAGCTGTCACCGTGCCATATCGGCGCACGATCTCAATGTGCTGAGCAATTGCAGACTTGCCACTTCAACAGAGCAGAAGCAGGACCCGTGCGGGACAACTACCAAGGTCTTGCTGAAGACTGCACGAAGCGATGATTGCTGCACGTTTGGTGCTTAGCAGCTTATCAAGGGAGACAGCAGCGCTTGACAGCGGTTGCGACAAGTTCCGAAGCCTGAAACCCAGGATTGAAGCTGGCTGTGTGGAACACTTAAACCACACCGCAGCAGACGATCTGGTGCCTCTTGAGGAGGTGGTAGCCGTGGCGGAGAGAGGCCAAATCCACATGTTGGACTTCACTGTCTGGTCCCCACTCGATTCGATGAAGGTTCCTTCTTATAACAAATCCTTACCCAGCCTTACGAGTTCAAAAAGGGCTCTTCATTGCTCTTCCTTGCTTCTGTTTTTCCCCCCCCCCCCCCTGTGAGACGGCCGCGACCAGCTCCACGCCGCGGCGCTGCGTGGCCTGGACTGGCGGGGCCGAGCCTCGGCGGCTGCCCGAGGATCCAGATTTTCAGCGGTTTAGGGCATTGAGCCGTGTTGAAGCAACGGCTTCTGCGCAATTGCTTTTGCAATGCTTTTTGCGTCTTCGGCTGTGCGTGGCGTTGAACTCCAGTTCTCTTAGGTCCACTGCTCAAGCTTGGAGGTCGGTGGAGGGGGCAGCTTTTAAGCAGCGATGGGAACGAAGACTTCTTGCGCGTGTGCTGTATCTACGACATGAAGCAAGGGGTATACGGGAGACTCCAAGTAAGACAATAGCAAATCTGTCACTGTATTGTCCTGCATGCCTTTTGAGGGATCGGCTAGACCGCTAGACTGCTAGATTCCGGGCTCTCGACAAGCAACTCTTCAGCAGTCGCTCCTGATGGCTTTGTGGGGGGCTTTCCGAGCTCCGTACTCCAGATTCTTCGATCACAATCCTTGCGAATTGGGACAGGACGTCCAGTTTCCCAATTCAGCAGAGAAGCTGGAGCAGCTGCGTGGGCGCATTCGCGGAGCCTCCGGCAAGGTAGGAGGGCTTCTTTCACCCGACAACAGTGTGCGCACGCTTGGCACACGCTTTGGCGTCACTACGGGGTCTTGTGTTTGGCGTTGAGAGTAGAACAGTTCTTTTGAAGGAAGGCCTGATACAGTAGCGCTCTCACCGGTTGGGCCGGGTTGGATTTCGTCACTTTGCCTCGCGAAAGCCAAGGTTCTTGCACCTTTCCATGCTCTCTCACTCAGATGCTTGACCCTACAGTGCGGGCTCCGCCCTTCCCACCTACCCCCAGCCCCCATCAACTGGGGAAAATGCACGACATCTTCAAACAAAAGCCCTCAAACCCCAAGTCTTAAAACGCCCACAAACTGTACCTTGCTCTGCAAACCTTAAACTCTTTCAGTCAGCTGGGCGGATGGCAAAACAGGTGAGGGGGCGGGGGCTGCGGGCCTGCCGGGGCACAACCATATATGTGTGGGTGTGCATATGTATATGTAAGAAACTTTCAAGGAAAATATACGGAGCTCAAGGACTACGAGACCAAGCGGCTAGAAGTGCAGAGGAACAGGACCAAAGCACCAGGCAGAGACCGAGGGCAGAGGACCTAGAAACGAAAGAAAGGAGCAACCAGGGAACCGGAAAACAAATTTCCACCCCTCCAAAAACTCCCCAGAATCCTTCCTTCGATCCGTGCCGCGACAGCGATTACAGGCTCTTTCGCGGGGTCACCTTGTCGGGGCATCCGTTCTGGAGGGGTCGGTTGCGCCACGCAGCAATGCGCAGCGTTCCAGATCACCCACTGTCGTCGCTTCTGGGTCATGCGCTGCGGTCTACTGGGCACACTTTTGGTGGGTCGGAGGTCGACATTTGTAGTTGAGAAAAATTGCGGACACTTGGAACTGCTCGGACTGCTCGGCTGCGAAAGGCTGTCTTGGTTCATGCCGACGAGCTTGAGGCCATTCGCCTCTTGCAGAATGTTGCAGACGCGATGTCAGGGAGGCATGCAAGAATCCGTCAGGATGGCATCGGGGCCCGGTTCAAGCTGCTTGGACAATTTCGGCAGCAGAGATCTTGTTTCACCCAGACTTCGCCTCCAGCTTCTGCGATTTTTGCGGTTTGAGGAAAGCGATGGAGCTTGTGGCTGCCTCCCTGGTCATCGGCTTTGATGCGGTGCTGCTGTCCTTGCCACCCGCAGGTGGCCTCCTGCAGCGCGACCTTAAAAGAGTCTTGTAAAACATTAGAAATGATAATTATGATAAAGATAAGATAGTAAATAATAATAATCAGAATGGTATAAAAGGAATGAAGATAATTCTAACACTAGTAGTCATAATAATAGAGTCACAGAGCCCCCGCCTCCAAATGCACGCACCTGCTCTTCTGAACGTGCCGCCCGAGGCATCCGCGAGGCTTTCGGCCATGGCCCTGGTCTCGATTCGACTTTATTACCATGATCATTAGTATATTCTTCTTAGTATTTATTCTTCGTAGTATGATTAATTATTTGAGTACCATGGTGATTTTCATAGTGATCATTCAAAAGTCTCTGCTGCAAGGCAGCCGGTGTGGTGCCATGAGAGCCCGGCCGATGGTCGCCCGGATCCTCTGCATCCTGAGTGTGGCTCTCGGAACAAAACACTCACGTGCGCTTGTACTTTCGTACTTGCAAGGTGGTGTAGGGACATTTTCTTGAAGGGACCATTGCTCCCGCGAGGTATCCCCCACGATGCTGGAAATTCGACTTGCAACGGGACTTTCTGGCCCAAAGCCAGGCTGGGCCTTGAGACTGATATGCTCACAATTCTGTCCGCAAGTTGCCTCGAGTGTGCTTGTCTCATGTGATGGGATGTTGGCTGTTGTGTCGTTTTCTTCAGGGACGTTGCCGGGGTGTGGCAGTGTTCTTGATGGCGCGGCAGCGGCAAAAGGGTGGCTTCTGAAACCGACGCCCACAAAACATGTCATGTGAATGCCGGGGGCGTTCGCAGTTTCGGTCGTTGCCTTGCTCGTTTGTCACTCACAGTACTTTCTTATTTGCTCGGTTGGCGTTTTGAGGTTTGAGGTTCCCTTGCTCTGTCTCTCTCGCTGTTTGTTATGCGCCTCCCTCATCCCCCTCTCTTGCCTCTCCCCGCCCCCCCCCCTCACTCTCGCTCTCCCTCTCCCCCGCTCTCCCGCTCTCCCGCTCTCCCTCTCTCCCTCTCTCCCTCTCTCGCACTCTCGCTCTCTCCCTCTCTCTCTCTCTCGCCTTCTCTCTCGCCCTCGCGCTCGCTCTCTCTGCCGCGAAACTTATACTGCAGACACAAATAAATTCACGACGCTTTGCTGACATCCAATACCTGGGCTAGTCAATCAGCAGAGCCTTCCGCGGCGATGTGCAATTGGCAATGCGGTGGCCCGTCTCTCCAATCCAGTTCCAAGATATCGATGGCCTGTGCCTGCCTTGGCCCCGATAAGTTGCCCGAAGTTGTTGAGTTGGGCCGCGTGCTGTTCCCGAAGCTGGGCGGGTGGTGCGGAAGATGTCCCAGCAAAGATCCACAGGTATGTACGAGGAGCATGCGTTGGTGAGCAGTTAGCAGGGGCTTGTAACAGCGAATGTTAAAGCAACAGAGTAGTTCGTGGGATACGGTGTTGTGTTTTTGCCAACTGCCGCTTGCCATTGGACCATGTCGTGCAGGAGCCGGAAGGTCGTCAGCTTCTCTGGGGTGCCCAGGCCGTCTGTCCACGCAAGCAAGAGCACTTCAACGCATGAACTGCTCGATGGCACATGTAGCAGGATCACGTGGAACTCTCTGCCGAGCTCCCCTCTCAATGCTTGTTGGTGGACAGCTGGTCATACAAATATGCAAGGGTGGAGGCGACTAACCGCAGCTATTTTTTGCTCCAGGCTTTGCCAAAGCAGCGTCAATAGTCACGAAAGTTCGGGAACAAGTCGCTGATGCCCGGGTGTGTGTTTGCAATCTCCCTAAAGAGTGGACCAGCCCGGCGGACCGTAGGACAGTCATAGTCGAGACGTCGAGATCTGAAGCCGAAACCGCACTTGCACCGAGATGGGCCGGTTGCCTCTGGAACCCCATGAAATCAGGGAGAAAGCTGCCAAGGCTCCCTGGATGATGATGATGATGATGATGATGATGATGATGATGATGACAACGATGTCCGCGGGCTCTCTCTCTCCCTCTCTATCTCTCTCTGTTCATTCTGTCACTGTCGCTCTTTCTCGTGGCTTGCGGAGCTTCGGGAAGGAAAGCTGTGGTTTGACTTGACGGGGCAGGCCTTGCAGAGGGGCTGCCTGCCCTTGCCCAGCCATGCGCGCCGGACCGATGCGGAGCGACTGATTGGCTTGCTCCTCTATCTTCACTTTTGAGATCTATTGAGTAACCGAGTTTCTGAGTTTCGGTATCGAGGCAAAATAAGGCAAACAAGGCAACCGCATCGAGCAAGCAAAGAACAGCTTTGAGAGCGGCCCCACCCAGGCATGTTTACCCTGCTACAATTGCCTGCACCCAGGATGGAGCACGCCCGCAAGTGGGAGGTGGAAGAAGCACTCCTTGAGCATCTTGGCCTGCAACATCGACGAGGCTTTTTTTGCTGGTCTTCTGGACGGACAGTCGCATCCAGGAAGGCCGAGAAGATGCTCGAGAAGTGGTGGGACCAGATCGATCGCCACGAAGCCATCGACAAGCTGCAGCAGGAGGGCTCCGGGTTGAAGGGTTGCAGTAGTTGCAGTGGTTGCAGGACTGTTGCAGGCCAACCGTGTTCACTGCAATCTCAACAATCCGAAGGCTTTCTACCGAATGGACCGCAATGCAGATGGTTTTATTGACAAGGAGGAGTGGGGCCGCCTGGCTCAAATGCCGCAGTCACAACCTGTACTCCGAACAGCATCATGAATGCATCTTAAATACCCCTACAAAGCCGAGACCGGTCAGGCCGCATGATGGGTAGGCTCGAAGCTACGGGCTGGACGCGAAGTGCGATGGAAGACATCTTCACCAGATTTGATGGTCGCCTGCTCGCCTGCAGAGAGGCTAATGGAGAGCTAAGCCGCGCGCTGTCAGATGTATGCTACGCCAACCAAGGAGACCGTGACCGTGTCTTAGCTAATCATATTGTATGAGAGATGTTAAGCTGTGCGGTCGGCTGCGCACTCATAGATCTTGCCAAGAGCAAAATCATGTGTGCACTCTTGGCTAGGCCGACTCGGTTACGAAGAGCTCCTGTCATGCAGCTATGGGCAGGGTGTGGGAACAGGTATTGAGAGTAGGCTCTCGATAATTGCTCAGGATTGTGAGCCACCTTCTCACGAACGACAAAGAGGGACACAAGCTGGTTAAGCAAGTCGCCACGACTCCACCGAGCGAGCGTGAAGGCAGCCTCTGCTTAAGTGCTTAAGTTCGGATTCTACGTCTGCTCTGAGTGCCCACGGTCGCAGGACTGCTCGGTCTTTTCGGCGACGATTTGCTGAAAGGGACCGCATATCGGGAGTTCCCCATTGCTACCACGGATGCCCTGGTACCTTGCCTCGGCTAGCAGCAGCATGCAGCAGCGTGGTGTCAGAGTTAGTGCATAATGGCCTTTAACTGCCAAGGGCGATGCCGACATCATTGGCGTTATCTTCATGACCTCCAGCACCATCGAGTCTAGCTGGAATAATGGCTGCTGGACTCTCTTGTTGACCTTGTAGAGACAAGCCAAGGACAAGCAACTTTATCCCCACACACTTCTCCAGTGGAACCGGGACCGGATTTCCCAAAGCACTCCAAAAGCACACATTGACATGATGAGCCCACACTTGTTTATCTCTCTTTTGGCCATGAAGTGGCCATGCGCGCAGGAGCTGCTGCAGCGCGTGGCGTCGTGTGGGCACCTAGTTGCCGACACATGGGCAACATGGACTCGGTCGGACTGCTTGCTAGGAGCCATGTATCTAACCAAGTCTTGGTGATGCATTCGTGTACGCCCTCTTGTTCTGCTCTTGACAGAGGTTGTACCTGGATCTGCGCAACCCTGACGTTCTAAACAAGCCCAGCCAGAAGTTCGAAGTTGTGCTGTGCAGCTTCGACACTCAATGGGCTGCTTGGGTGTGAAGGAAACCTGTGTGCCCATTGCCATCCATTGCCATACCTTGCATTCGTCACTTGACACGACGCTTGGGCAGCTCAGGAGTGCTTCACACGGACAGTTGGCCGGCCTGGTCCTCCAGCTCCTTGGATGGTGATGCCCTTCGACTGTCCCTGGGTCCCTTGGCCGCTGTGCACACGGAGCAGCAAGGGATGAGAGGCGGGTTTTTGTATTTTCGAGTGCGGCCGAGAGTTTCCGTGAGCCGAGGAGCGCGATTACTTGTGGAGATGCTTCAACTCCAAGTTCGAGACCCGAACCGTCGAAGACCCGGTGCGAAGTCTGTAACGACTGGTTTGTCACGACTCTGAGAGAGCTAGCGGAGCTACTTAGTAAGATGCCATTGCATCCTCGGCCTGGGGGGTCGAGCCACGACATGAGGTATCCCGGGCGAATTAAAACAGACAAATTCTGTGTGTCACGGGGACCCGCAGGCACCCGGCCTCGGGATCATGTCGGGCGTCATGCCTGTTTGCTCAACGCCTCTTTTTTGGAAAAAGAACACACCCTGAACCCTATGCCATCGGCTTAGGGCTCAGAATTCGTTTGTGGAGTTGAAGCTCCTGTTTGCTCGGGAGGCTTGAGTGAAGGCTTGGGAAACGATCGGCAAGCTTCCTTGAGACCCCCCTCGGCCCCCTCGCATAAAGCAGGTAACATGCTTGGTGCCGTCGTGGGCAACGCACTCCTGAGGGCGTCGCCGATCTAGCACTACTCCAAACACTTGTTTGCCTGGCTGACCACCTTTCACGTCACGATGGCGCGTCGTTAGCCTGGGCATGCCTGGGCCGCGGCCGGCATGCCGGCTTACCTCAGGAGGGCACTGGCCTTCTTTCCGGACGCAGATTGTTTGGAGCTGCCTCGCCTGCGACCCACCACAGAGAGAGAGAGAGAGAGAGAGAGAGGTAACGCACGCCTTCGGGCGGCCCTCTCCTAAACGGGGGGGGTTAAGTGCGCAGAAAGAAAGAAAGAAAGAGTGTAAACCCACCCTGGAATCACCCCCTTTCAGACAGAAACCCCAACCTGGCACGGTTGCGAAAACCGCAGCCACAGACCGCATGACACTTGGGACTGGCGCGCCCCTCGGGGCAGCTCTCCCTTCGGGGGGGGCTAAGCGTGCAGAGAGAGAGAGAGAGAGAGAGAGAGAGCGCGCCTTCGGGCGGCCCCCTTGAATAAAGGGGGTTAGGTGCGCAGAAAGAAAGAAAGAAAGAGCGCGAGAGAGAGAGAGAGAGAGAGACGCGCCTAGGCGCAGGGTTTTCCCCGCCATGCCCCAAAGAAAGAAAGAAAGAAAGGAAGAAAGGAAGAAAGGAAGAAAGGAAGAAAGGAAGAAAGGAAGAAAGGAAGAAAGAAAGAAAGAAAGAGAGAGAGAGAGACAGACACTGACAACGACTGAGGGTGTGCTTCCGGCTGCTGTTGTGCTTTCAGTGCTTGAGGTGCGGGGTTCGAACAGGCAGAGGAGGGGCGCGACGAGGGATGGGGGGGAACTTTGCGTGGGAAGCCACACCTGTTTTTCACGCTGCGGCACTTGGACAAGGTCAAAGGACTTTGCCCGAAAGGATCCCGGCAGGGATCCGACATTTTGGGGAGGGGGATACTTGTGTGCGTGGGGATGCATGGTAACGGTTAAGCAAGGGGGGGATTGCCGGGGGAACTTTCCACGCCGAGAACTCAGCTTTAGTTTCACGATGGACGTGGATCCGGGCGCGCCTTGGCTGTTGCCCTCAAGCGCAGCAGCAGCAGCAGCAGAAGAAGAAGAAGAAGAAGAAGAAGAAGAAGAAGAAGAAGAAGAAGAAGAAGAAGAAGAAGAAGAAGGAGAAGGAGAAGGAGAAGGAGAAGGAGAAGGAGAAGGAGAAGGAGAAGGAGAAGGAGAAGGAGAAGGAGAAGGAGAAGGAGAAGGAGAAGAAGAAGAGCACTGCGTAGAGAAGAAGAAGGAGCAGGCGGAAGCAGAAGAAGAAGAAGAAGAAGAAGAAGAAGAAGAAGAAGAAGAAGAAGAAGAAGAAGAAGAAGAACATTTTTAGCTAAACATGTGGTTCCCGAGACAAGCCGAAGCCTTGTGACTGTTCCATCGGGTCCAGGATTAGGAAGTTCGGGCCATCGAAGCCCTCGTGTCATTCACTGAGAGCATTGTAGATCGATGCCTTTATTGGTCGATTAGTGTCCCTTCGTCCTTCCAGATTGGCTAGATACTTGACGAGCCTTGTGCCCGAGCCCGTTTCGCCTGGACTCCCTACCCTACCTTTCGTCTCGCTCCCTCACCCCAAGTTGTTGGACAGGCGACTTTATTGTTGTCTTTGCACTGTGCGTGGATCAGGATCCAGCATTGGTTATCCTCACGCCCAAGTTGGAGATCATCTCGATTGATGGGCCCCCTGGCTGATGCAGAATTTTGCTTTTAAAGAATCCTTGATCCTTGGATGTGGGCAAAATGGCACTGAAAGATGGCCAACACGAAAACGCTAAACTTCTTGGACCGCCTTGTGCCCATGAGGTTTGGTGATCTTGATGTATCCCAGAGCCTCAGGATGAAGGTGTTTGAGGAGTGGTGTGAAGAGGCTGAGTCAAAGGCAGCCGGCCCAGAAGCAGAGGAAGCTAAGAAAGGGTGATCCCTGGGATGTCGAGACCCACTTGAGTCGTCATGCGTCGTCAAAAATTGGTATTGCTGTCGAGCAAAGCCGCTTTCATAGTCGGAATTCGGCGTTTTCCCTTCACCTTGCGAAGCAAGTCTGACGGTGCAGGGCAGATGGCGGCTTATGTTTCAGGCCTAAGTGCCTGAAGCATCTCAAGGCACGCCGTATCTCTCCATAGCGCGATGCTTGCAGTATGTGCATATGTGCTTCACATTGCTTCACCTGGATGCATGACTACACCTGCCGCTTGCCCAAACAGGTATGAAGAGGGTTAGGTCGCTGTCGTTTCGCGGGAGGCTCTCACCTAGGCACGATGCTTGTTTAGGGTCAGAATCGCACTCTCGTCGAGGCCTAGCTTGCCCACGCGCTTCGGGGTTCGCAGCTTTTTGAACGTGGCAGAGATACTTTCCTCCGCACGTTCTTGGACAGCTTCGCTTCGCGCATCCTTTCCAAAGGGATCTGCATCTCGCGATGTTCGAAGTCGTGCTGCCGCCTCGGTCCGTGCGCATGCAGCACTGTCGTCACTTTTGGGCGTTGTGCAAAAGTCTGCCTCAAGCTCTGCCACGATTCAAGCGATTCAAGCACTCTCGTTTCGCTCGCAAGCACTGGCGATTCAGACACGCGCAATTCGAATTCCGATTCAAGCACTGGTGATTCTACACGCACGACTTTAAAGTGGCTAGGGTTTTCAGGGCTGAGGGTTGGGCCTTGGCTCGTGCTCCTGTGAGTGCGACTTGCGATTTGCTGTCGTCGTGGTCTTATACTTGATACTGTTTGGGGTCTACGTCAGCACAACTCTTTACTATCGCATTCGTCGATGTAGTTGGCAGTGATGTTTTTTCAGGTTCAGGGTTGCCCGGCAAAGCACATATGTCATCGGTCAGGTATTGCAACTTAAACTGGTCGCAAGACCTCGCTCATTTTCCCGATTCCGGAGCAGTTTTGATTCTCTGATCACGTTCAAAACGTGTATAACGCATGCCTCTTTGCAACAACAGTTTTGCCGAATGGCAATGTGCCGAAAAGATGTGCTTGCAGACTGCTTGCAGACTTGCAGTCGGTTGGGGCACGCAGCCCCGTCTTCACGATGTCATGATTCTGATTCAAGAACCGTGGCCAAAGGCTCCCTACTAGCCTGAAGCCAGAATTTCGTTGCAGTGGCCTGAGTTGGCAAGACCAGACCATTGCAGGACCATTCGCATGGCACGCATGTCGATTGTGCCACGACCCTGTGTGAGGCTTCTACTTTCAAGGCCAGCTCGGGAAGCATTCGCACACAGCATGCGCCGTTACAGCATGGGCCGTTGGATGTCAAAGGCGCTTTCAAGAAGCGCACGCGAACACACCATGCGGCGCTCAAGAAGACAGACGTAAACATACCAAAGCCCTGAGAAGGCGAGGGAGAGATGTCAATTCAGCAGACCTGACATGTGCTTCTGGCAAAGACACAGATCATTGGCGCTGCATTGTAGGATGATGCCAGCTCAAGTCTCTCCCCGGCAGCGTTGTTTGTGCTGGGAAGGGCGCAGCATCCTTGTTTTCTTCGTGCGCCTTTTCTTTAGGTGCTCCAGTGGGATGAGCATAACCCAGATTGCTCCCCTTCAAGGCGAAGTATGGCATAGTCGATTGAGCACGGAAAAGTTATGAATGGTTGTTCAGGTCACACTGTACGGAGCCTACAAGTCATGGCGCACTGCTCCTCTGGCCCTTGGCTTTAAAAACATCATGAACGCGACTCCGAAGGGAGTCCGCAGAACACAGAGCACCATGCACACAAGACACGCGGGCACATGCCGACACACGCGCAGGCATCCAACCTGAGCCTGAAACGTGTCACTGCGGAATATGAACGTGCGCAGCCCATGCTTGTGTGCGTGCAAAGGTTTATAGGCCAATGATTTGTCAACTTGAACGACAGAAATGAAATTAAACTCAACTTGTGATCGCTTAATCGTTTCCTAAAAAGGGCACATGCCTTGAAAGGGGGCGAGCCGCCCTGAAGCCCTGCAGCAAGCCCTGCAGCAAGCCCTTCAGCGTGGGGAAAAGAGCTGGCGAGGTGCAGGAAAACAAAAAGCACAAAAAAGCGAGATGCCGTAGAGAAACAGAAAAAGGCTCCTTGGAGTGACTTACGCAACAGAGGTGCCGCTGAAAGCTTGGAGGGTCCGCCTTGGAAGATGCTGAAGAAGGTGGGCCCAGCAACATTCTCGGAATGCGAACCCGGTTGTCCTTGAGCTCGTACGGAAACATTTGCATCTGCTCTGCATGGGACCCCGTTAAGGCGACAAAGTTCGTGCTAGTCAATCGGTTGTCATTGCGGTCATTGCGGCTGCAACATGTAGGCAAGTAGGGGACACAGTCAGCTCAACTGGCCGAGCAGGAGAGTGGCCTACGAGAGCGTCCAGCACGGCGGCCAAGTGCGAGAACAGGATTTTTTGGGGGCAGGTGGGACGTGATCGGGGGTTTTAGGATTGTAGGGTTCTCGCAATGGTCAAGAGCGGGAAAAGCTTCGAGGAGAAATTGAGTTCCACGAAAATTGTGAGGCCGGGAAATTGACTCAAGCTTCTGGAGTGGTTTCGGATACCGTCCAGAAAACCACAGCTTCGATACTACATATCGGCACGTGGATTCTCTCGCGGATTCTCTCGTACTTTGCAACATAGTGTCGTCCAAGGAGATCCGTCGGCTGTTCTCGTCGGTGCGAAGCTTTGCAGCGCCCAGCAAGGCCAGGTGCGATAGTTTCATCCACACAGTTTGCAGCAGATGTGGGGCCAGTGTTGTTATCGTTGCTGTTGAGGTGCTGCCTTTGCGCCGTGAGGCGGGTGGGGCTGCTCCAAGTCGCAGATGCCAGATCCACCAAAATACCGAACTCAGGCCGACTGCGGCTACGGAGGACCTTCAAACGTAAAGCATGTTGCGCTGCACGTCATGGCCCAAGCATCTGCTCCGGCTCGCAACGCTCGATACTAGCAACTGAGTAGGATGCGGGAAACGGCGCCACTTGACAAGGTTCGTCGGGGCGATGTTGGAGAAGCTGCCGGCTATTCACTGACGTGTGAGGCTGAGTTACATGTACTGCCAACAGGCCCGGTATCAGCGCGGTTGTGCTACGTGAGTTTGTACGGGGTCCTTTGTCATGTGCTTCCACTATCATGGACCATTCGTCGCCCTGCGAGAGCTCACGGACAAAGGCAGCAGCTGAATGCCAAAGACTTCTCGAGGCGGCATGCCAACCATGTGAGATCTCGAGATCACGCACGCGTGTATGGACATGCTTTCAATGTCTGCTTTGCAGGTGGCTGTGTGGGCTCGCCAAGGCAGTCGCAGCGGCGAGCCCAGACGCTAGACCTGGGATCAGCATGCTCCAGATGCCCCACCAACTGCCACACATGCGACTGTACTACTATTGCTTAAGAACCCCAAAAGAATAAAGAAGTGCATGGTTTTTGAATGTTCTGCTCAGGAGCCTCTCGACCTTCGACTTGCGCTCCATGTCCGAGCCCTTGTGCACAACCCCATGACGAAGACCGCAGTCCCGCAGTCGCGAGCATCAGGTTTTCACGGAGGCTGTGGGGCGAACCCGCAAGGCCCTGGTGCAAGCCGGGGGCTCATGAGGGGCTCATGACCCTCCGGCATACGCCCATGGCGTTTTTGTTTCCGTCATTTCCCGGCATTGCCCGGTGGCAAGTTGCCAGGTGGGTCTGCCGGGCTTTGCTTTTTCGCCATCTGCAGTCGACGACTTGCTTCATGCTCAACTGCACGTCCACAAATCGCATCACGTTCCGTCGTGCTGAAGTACGACATGAGCCAGCGTCGTGCTGAGGCCAATCTTTCACACCCTGGCTGAGTTCGAGGTGCACGCAAATCGCAATCAGACCAAGACACCGGCTTCATCGTCAAACCTTGCTGGGTTGCTGGAGACTCGGAAGGTGACTCCGACCTGTGGCGAGATGATACTACCCGAGGCATGCAGTACCATCCACAGCTGTTTGGCACCGTGTGGCTACGGTAGGTGCATGTGGTTGTGCCAGGACCTGAGGAATGCCTTCCCACTCGTTGACACAAGTCATTTTGTAGTCAACGATGCGGCAGGCGCCTAGTGCAACTCAGGAACAACAACCCGCGGCAAGCTTTGCTGTGCATGGCCCGTGTTGTAGGCTTAGAAGGGGTGAGCGTGTGCTTGCGTGAGCTTTCCATGTATGCAGTGAAACGCCACAAGATGGCATCGGCATCTTTTTGAAACTCATATGCTTCATATGATTGTTATCTGAACTTCTTACAGTCATTTCATGTCATTGCATATCATTTGCTTTGGCAATCCGAGCCATGCCGCTTTGAGGCCGATGTGCTCGTCACGAGCCTGAGCAGTCATGTTCCCGGATTGTTCCTTGCGATCTCCTTGAGCTCCGTGTGCAATGTGCTCCCCGCACCCAGCGCCCCACCTCCCCCCAACGAGCAGCAGAACCACCCTGGCCACCATCATCCCATGACCATGATGCTTCTTCAGCATGTTGTTGTGTGCTCTGCATTCTCTTGTGCTAGTCATTAGTAATCAATGCGTTGAGCGTTGCTCAAGTGTCGGATAGTGTCGGTCCGCAGCCCATTGCAGCACCTACAAACTCATCTGGCATCTGTTGGCACTTGACTGCTGATGGCGGCCCTACCCCACGTGAATGCATGCAGCTACCGTGTCAGTGGGCCGCAGCTAGCTACACGGTAGAAATTGTTCTGGTACCGTGCGCACAGCTCAGACCAAGCCCCTAATCACTACCCGACAAAAGGTTCTGTCTCGCACCCAAAGCCTTCAACCGGCCCGGGGTCATGTTTGCACCTCGCAGCCTGCGGCGCAGTACCAGCGCACCAGGCGTGTCAAATCAAGCGTGTTAAGCGTACCAAGCTTAGGAGCCTGATGATGCCTGATGTGCAGCGGGTGCTTGGAGCAGGACGGGCCGGTTCTTCAAGCCCAGCGTTACCAGCTTCGCCAACAACATCTCCACGCAGGCGTTGCTTATGCTCAGCTGTTGGGAGGTTTGTGCTGGGAAAGTGCTGCATGCTGCACGAGGTCTCGAAGCAAGCCGTTCGTTGCCCTGAACGAGCCCTCTCTGGCGGAAAATGCAGGGAAGAAGGTCTTGAACATGCTAGCATGGACAGGGGTCGACAGGAAGACCGATGTGCGAATGGCAACCCCTTTTGGGGATAGCAAAATGGACGGTTCCACTGCGGCGGGAGATGATTCTGTAGCAGCGAGTGAGAAGTCTTCCGATGTTGGCCTGGACCGCCTGGAGGAGACACCGGTAGTGGGCCCGGCGGCGCTTCGGAAGACACTGTCTTGCTCCGCAAAGGGTATCCTGGGATGCAAGCTTGTGGAAAGCGCCTCGGGGCCGGTGTTGCCGCCTGGATCACCTATGTCGCCCACCAGCCCTCGATGCTCAGGGATGGCTACTTCTGCCTCGCAGTTTCTGCCCCGTGAAAGTACCGGGCCTCTGCTTTGGCGCAGGACAGCATGTCCAACTCCCATTGCTCCATGTGCCCAGGTGGGCCTGGTGGCACGCCGCCCCCGTGAAACTGCACCCCCCTCCCATGTCCTACCCGCATGTCCACCCAGCTGCCACCCTTTTCCTGTTCAGGCGGCTGCTTGGGGCCAACAGTACCCAGTGATGCAGGTCATGCGGCCACTGCCAACACACGCCATGCCGCCGCATGCAGTGGCACCTCAGGTGCCGCATGCGGTGCCGAACATGGTGCCGTATACTCCGCATCCAGCGCATCCAGTGGTGCAACTGCGGCCCAGACACAGCATGCTGGTGCAGCCTATGCAGCCTATGCAGCCTATGCAGCCTGCACCGTGGGTGATTCAAACACAGGCTGGATGCTTGTGCTTCCTGGTAGCTACCTGAATAGACATCTTGAGCCACAGGCTGTTGCTGCTGTTCCCCCCCGTCCGGCCCCGTGCAAAGTCATGCGCTTACTTTTTGGCTAGAGGGGGGAAGTCATATCCATTTGTGGCCACAAGTGTATCGAAACAGAAGCCTGTGGTAGCTGCCATTGAGGATGTTGAGCCTGCTGGAAGCACGGAGGATTCCTCACCAAGCGCCGCGACCCTTAGTACATGCCGTTCAAGACTGTTTGAGATCCTGTGCTCACAATCCGCGACTGTCATTCTCGCTTCGAAGGCCATACCACATCCCCCTTTGAAGGATCCGGCACAGATTTACGCCGAGGAGCCAGGGACAATGATTTGCTTACAGGCGTTCCAACGTCGCAGAGGCTGCAAGGAATTCACATTTGCCATGGCCAGGAACAGATCGCCAAAGAAACGGCAGCATCAGAGAGGCCGCAGCACAAGTTCCGCATGCGCATTGGATTTCGGCATCCCAGTGCCAAGTCACACTTACCGGCTGGCGGCTAGCACCCAATCAGAAACTACTTGGAGCTCTCAACATGCGTCGTACTATGCCTAAACGTCGCAGCTTCAAGTGACCTGGACCCCATCCACATGAGCTCCCTCCTGAATGCGGGTCAATGCGCCCGCGCTCAAGGATCGATTACTTGCTTTCTGCTAGCTCCTTGCATGCTTGGGGTTATAGGGCGTCCGAATACAGCACAGAGCAAGGGCAATGTAGGAGCGCCGGACCATTCCGGGGCTTTGAGGCTTCCACCGTGGCACTTTGATTTTGTCAAGTATAGCGACGATGATCGAGCAGAAGCAATGCATGTGCGCAAACGACCAAGCTCAATACATCTCAATACCTTTCGAACGGCTTGTAGAACCGCGTGCAGGCGGGAGAAAGCCCGTTGCGACATCTGCGAGGCACGAGCTTGTCGGTCCATACATGTCACCAGATTGATCGTCTTTCAGTGCCACGCCAGTGGCCACAGTGTCCGCGAATTTCTGCAGCCATTGTGGCCAAAGCATGCCAAAGCAACTCGTACCAGAAGCCACGCCTTAAACAAGTTTGGACAGGCTCAGGTTTGCGAAGCACCACTGAAGCCTAGAGGTGTCAGCATGTGTCTCACGTGCTTGCTTGGAGTGTTGGAGGTTGTTGCGATGCAAGAAGACATGCAGTTGCGCACGCCCATAGCCGGCATAGCTGTATAGCCTGCAAGCTGAGAGGGCAGCAAATCGCATCTTTTTGCCATGGCATTTGACTTGTGGCGCTATGGACGGACGAGTAGTCGAGATGCGGTGATACTTCTTCTGTTGCAGCTTGTCTCGGATAGAAAGGGCCACCAGATGGTGGGGTTCGTCGATGTCTGGGTCTTCGACGGGAATCTTTTTCTATTCTTTTCTATCCGGCGATTTTCAAACTTTCTCGTGCAGTAGCCCGAGAAGGAGCGTGCCTTGCAACTGTTTCGACTCTGCCGCCATCTTGGGAGGATCCTCCTTTGGCGGAATTGTTATCGCGCGGGGGCAGGGGGGGGGGCGAAGCCCGCAATAGCAACTGGGTCCATAATACCATTTGCTTCAGAACGTATTGCATGTGAAGCCTCCATTTTTAACAATTGAAATTTTTACACACTTTGTTCAACCATCTGGTGTTTCTGTGTCTTTATTATCTTCTGTATCTTCACTGAGTCGCGTTTTTTAGAGTGATTGAAGCGGATTTCAATGATTTGGTGAATATGAAAAAGAGAGAGGCATTGCTGCCGACAAACGCTTTTTAAAATTGACTTTATTGTTTTGATGAGCATATTTAGTATAGACTTCTGTAAACACTGCTTATATTTGATACACCATGTGGAGAGTTTCATGCATCATTTGATGAAGCATTGGATGCACCACCTGAAACACCATTTGATACACCATTCCTGTAAATGAAGAGGTTCCATTTTGAGAAGTTGTAGTCTCGCATTACATTCGCAGCATGATTGCTGTATGAACCTGAACATGATATCCCAACACCTCAACCCAGCCCGCAATAGATGCCTGCAAGCCTGAAGCGCCCCTCGGCGGTGCAGGGGCCCGAGAATGGCACCCCTTCCCACTGCCCAAGGACTGCCTCGGCTGGGCTGTGCCTCAGTCATCGCCGTCTTTGCGATCAGCTGCTAACGAAACCCGGACGCAACCTGATACAGATGTCGTGAAGGAACGACTACCCGTGGGGGATTTACGCTCGTGACTCAGCCAAGCCTACAAAGATCGAGGTGGTGGGGGGGGGTGAATTGCTTAAGTCGTGATTTGAAGCAGGGTTTATATTGCTGACGTTGGTGAGTGTATATACTGTAGGGTTCCTTTTTTGATATTGGTGAGTGTATACCTTGGGTGTCCTTTTGGGGGTGCAAGAAATATAAAACCTACTTCATTTCAGGAAGAATACGGCGCAGTGTCAGGAGGGAGGGCGGATGATTGGGTGATGGTGGAAACACCAAACGAAATCGAAATCGTTCCAGTTTTTTGGGGCATCTTCTTTCTTGAAAGAAAGTGATCGGCATATTGTGCGGTCGGATGCTTGATATGTTGACCGTCAGGGTTTGGGGCGAAGGCATTGTCGTACTTCAAAAGCATTGGGAGTACTCTGGGCAGAAATGCTATCGGGGACAGAAGGTGTTACAATCATCGGCTAAGGGGAGGATCGTGATGCCTGACAGGAACTGGGAGGTTTAGAAGTTTGGGAAAACCAACCTGGCCCCACATGATGCCGATGTGGGCCCCTTCCAGCATTTTGTGATGGAATCTTCGAGCTGTAAGAGCTCGCAACAGCTAGAGACATGTTTTCCCCGACCTCGCCTTGAGGCAATTTTGGCAGTTTGCCAAGCTCCTGTTTGGCTGCTGTCCGCCAGCTCTTGGAGGCAGTGCAGAGCCAAGCCCGCCTCCCGGACCTGGCTCGGAGTCTCGGACGCTGCGAGTCCTGCAGCCATCAGGTTCAGATCCACAACTCCCTACTGAGCTTGAGGATCTAGGTGCAGAAGGACTTCTTACGGCCGGCATGCAGTGCAGGTACTGTAGGTAAAACAAGAGCTAAACTACGTGACTTACGCACGAGCTTCGGGGCTGTGGCAGGAAGCCGTACCTTCGAATGGGGTGCTGGGCAAGTGAAAAGGAGGAGGCGGGATTGTCCGTGCAGCACCCTTGCCTTGACCCATGCATCCTTGGACGTATCTTGGCGCATGGACCCGCAGGCGCATTCCAGCAAATAAGGCTGAGGTGTCCGTGGAAGACGAGGCAGCACAAAAGCAGCTGCCTGGAAAGCAGCGGATCTTCCTGAACCATGGCCTGGATGCGGTACTCAGCATGTTTGAAGCACCAATCATAAAGCATGTGCTCGCCGCTGACATGCCAAGGAAGACTTATGGCTGTGCCCACAACAACTCTGACAGCAGCTGCCTGTGCATTCTTGTGCATTCAGCATGCCGAACGGTGAATGGTCGTATTTGCAGACCCAGAAGCCAAGGCGAGTTCATGATGGGCCTGCTGCAAGACTACGGCTACACATTAGTGGAGACCATGCAAGACGCCGATGCTCTGGTGGTCAACTCCTGCACCGTGAAGGGCCCTAGCCAGGACAGAACGCCTAGGCTAGGTATGACATTCTCAGAGGGCAACTTTTTGCTGCTTTGCCAGACTTTGCCCCATACTTTGCCCCAGAAGCCTTTGAAGTTTCCTGCGTTTTTTTGCTTTGGTTGCCCGGTCCTTTTGCCCCTGGTCCGGACATGCATGATTCTGTGGAACCCTAGGGGCCCTAGTGCCGTGGATGCTGTGGTTCCCTGGCCCTCCAAACTCCCCTTTGTCCAGTTTGACTTGGTCGCTTCGGAGCTTCTTCGGCCTTTGGCCTGGAGACATCTATGTTAGTGTTTCGGCCGTTGGGCTTTCTGCTTGTTTCCCGCTCTTGTAAAGAGAGCAGCTACTGCCCGAAACAAACCCCCATGGCTCTTTAAACTCGGTCTGCCTGTTCTCACCCTCGTCCTTGGCTTTGCCGGCCTTTTCGAAAGCACGTCCCCCCTCCCACCCCCATCCCCTCCCCCAACCAAACCACCCTTTGTTTTTGTTTAAGCAGTTTCCTGGCGAGCTTTGTAAAGCGTAGATAAATCCGATCTGTTCTCATCCCTGCAAATGGTCCAGCGCCATTTCTTTCGTCGTCGCCTTTGGAGCCTGAACTGGTCATCACATGTCAACAGCTCCCAAGTCCACCATAGCCACCCGCTGGCCACAAAAAGTGCTTAGACTTTGTGCGTTCTGCAGTCGGTCTTTGCCAGGACAATGCAGTGAATCTGGTGAAGAGTGCACAAGATGCTGGCAAGCCAGTGGTGTTGGCAGGCTGTGTTCCCACAGCAGATGTCAACCTGGCCAAGTCTTTGATGGGGGTTCCCCTTCTGCATAAAAAATCTTGATTGCCGGAGTGTCGTGGATGGGTGCTTTGAGGGCGCTTGGAGACATCCAACCTGACATCAAGCTGCCCCGTCAACAGCCCGTCACCTTTCTTTGTAACTGAACCTTGCAGTCGTGTAGCTTGTAGCATGCCTCTGGGTTCTCAGGTCAGCATGCTTGGAGTGACGCAGCTTGATCGTGTGGTCGAAGTGGTGGAACATGCCATCCAGGGCAATACCATCAGCCTGCTGACCCATCGGAGATCTATGCCCTCGCTGGACCTGCCAAAGGTGCGCCGCAATAGCTTCGTCGAGATCATACCCATCAGTGGAGGCTGCCTGGGAAACTGTTCTTTGGCCTACACGCAAGCCTTTCGAATTTTTGGTCATGGAGTTTGGGAGTTTCCTGCTTTCGTGCAAACAGACCCCCCAAGGCTCTTATTGCAAGACAAAGCATGCACGTGGATCACTTTCTTCATATTCGGAAGAGGCGCAGAGCACATGTCTTCAGCCAATGCTGACTCTTGATTCTTGCCACAGGCCTCGTTTAGCAGATGTGCAATGCTAACAGTGTGCCAGAGGCCATCCTCGCCAGGGCGCTACAAGCTGCAAGTGAAGGAGTCAGCGAAGTCTGGCTGACTTCCGAGGACACAGGCGCGTTGCCAGCACCGACGCTGCATGCTCGTTTGGGCGACCTTTGCCGCCGACGATGAAGGTGCTTATGGCCTTGACATCGGCACTAACATTGCATCCTTACTGAACCGTGTGGCAGATTCTTTGCCCGAGCATGCCGCCTGACTCAACGAAGTCGCAAAGACTCCTTGCCTTGTGCAACCGCAGAGTGGTTTGACATCGCAGTTGGTGCTCGTGCGGAGCCTGTCAGCCCAGGTGATGCTGAAACTGGGCATGACAAACCCGCCCTACATGCTGGCACACATCGATGCGGTTGCAAAGGCGCTGCACGGGTTGCTAAAATCCAACGTGATTCATCTTCAACCGCAACTCAAGTCACGGTGCCCTAGGTCTTCCAGAGACCCAATGTCTTCGAGCATCTGCATGTGCCTGTGCAATCTGGTTCTGACACTGTACTCCGAGCTATGGTTCGCAACTTGGTGTAGAATCCCTGTGTGGCACGTGGCATGGGAAGGAATGTGAGGGAACAACCTTGCTGGAAGTGATGACTTGCCGCGTGTGGGTCGGTCCAAGGCGAGTACACCTCCAGCGATTTTCGGCGTTTGGTGGATGGCTTGCGGGCGCAGGCACCCATGACCAGAGTGTTCAGGCATTGACCGTGTCCAAACCTTTCCGCATCCCATCGCATCTCCCCAGGCCCGAAACTGTCTTCGCTAAACTCTTTACAAGGTCCCCGGCTTGTTCGTGGGCACCGATGTGACGCGTGGCTATGGGCGTGGCCAAGTACTTGTGCATGCAGCTTGAGTTCCCCTCTACACAAGTAGCCGCGGGAAGCATCCGAGGATTTGTGGTTTTCCTGCAGAGAGCGAAGAAGACCATCAAGCCACTCTTGCCCTGGTTGCTTCAGTTGCAAGGAGGCACGCCAACAGTTTGCTTCGGATCTTCGGGGTGGCAGCGCACGTGACTGAGGTCCGGGACTACAGATTCCCCATGTTGAACATTTCCCAGTTCTATCCTCGACCGAACACTGCCGCAGCACGCCTCAAGAAGCTGCCTGGGAACATCGTCAAGGCAAGGAGCACAGCCCCTTGGCTTGTCGAAGTCATCGAAAAGGAAAGAGTCATACCGGGTTAGAGTCTCGGTTCCAGTAGGAGTAGCCATGAGTAGGCTTTTTTTGGCCACCACTTCCGAAGAGCAGGAGATGACGCAGCTCTTTGAATCGTATTCCACCTGGAATCACCTAGTTGGCTGCACGCAGCGTGTCTGGTTTTCGGACACAGACGAAAAACGCCAGCAGACGGATCCTTGGCATGCAGCTGTTGCGGGGAGAACCAGGGTATCTTCCCAAACCTCATTTGTTGCGAAGATTCGGGGTGGGGGGGGGGGTGGCAGCGGCTTGCAGCATAGGTGGGCCACACGAAGGGCTATGCGAAAGTGGTGGCCTCTCATCTCCATCAGAATTAAGGCAATTAAGGTGTGGCATGATGATCGCTGGGTGTCTCTTTTCTCTGGCCGGGCCGTCTGATTTAAATGCGTGTGCCTTCAGATTTTGACCTCGCTTTCGTCGGTCTCCTTTCAAGACGACGCGATTAAAACACATATCGACCTGATTTGCGACGTCGCGACCTTGGCGCCTGAAATCTCTGTCTGAAAACAAACTGACCCGTCCGAAATCCAACCTTGCGCATCCGAAAATCAGCCTTGCGCAAACACAAGACATAACGGAACGCGGGCCCCTGTCCAGTGCATGCCGATTCTGGACACATCCATCCGAGCTTCCCTTGCGTTGGTAATGTCTTGAAGAAGCATCCCCCCAACCCCTGTATGTTCAAGCCACGCATGCTTTCTTTGACGTGGTCCCCCTCCCCCCCGGTTTTCGCCATGCAGCCGCATTCAGTGAGTCCCATCCCGCAGCACAGCTGCTCTTGTGGTACTGTCACGTGACAGTGTCTGGCCAGCCACATCGATTAATTGACTGATGCCATTGTTATAAGATCTGCGAGGTCAGAACTCAGATGTAGCCGGATCTCCGAGGTTTGCAGAAGATGAAAAAAAAAGATGCAAGGTTAAAAAGAACAGGCTGTACGAAAAAGAGGGGCTTCCCCACAATCGCTTGTTTCCCAACCGAGGTGAAGCGAAACGCCACTTGCTTGCAAGCCGGCAAGCCTGCATTCGAGAGGAGACGTTGCTCAGTTGCTCAGCAGTCAGCCGAGGATGCGCTATTGGGGCGGAGTGCTCTTGTTAAGGTGACGCGTGCCACAAAGTGGCACGTCGAGGCCGAGCTCCAGTAGTTTTGCAGGCCAGGTATCCAGCATGTTATGGAAGCTAAGGCCTTGCCAGTCCCAGTGGCATTAGGAGGACGATTCTCGCACACACGAAGACCGTGTACAGCAGCGCAGTGCGCAGTCGACGGTTGCAGGGCGAGAAAGGTAAGCCCGGTAAACGCCTCCCTCAGCTCCGAGCTCAGAGCTGAGCTCAGGAGTTGCCGGCGTGAGCGCATGTGAGCGCTCAATTTCGTCGAAAAGAACGCGGACAGGATCTGTTGTCAATTTGGTGTGCTTCAAGGCTTACTGGTAGCCGAATTGCACTCCACAGCCGCCATAGCCTGCCCCCCCTACTGTGCAATGCTGCACCACGCTCTCCGGTGGGCGGCACGCTGCCGCATGCTACAAATGCCTTGTTTCTTGGCACTTGATCGCCTTTCACCAGGCTGTGGTTGAGGCATCTCAGCTGGACGTCAGCGCAACCGACCTCGCCACACTGAGACAGGCATACCCCGAGCATGCGCGCTGCGATTGGCATACCGCAAGCATCGGCGAGCTCAGCAAATCCTAAATGTCCGAGACAGTATCGGAGTTTGTGGTTTCATGCGCAAGGAGCATTGGGTGCATTGGGCTCATTACTCTGCTCCGCAACGCAGGTGAGGACGAAGTTGCTGAATGCCTTGGCGTCGGCGCAGGAGGCAAACTAGCTGCGATTGGCAGTTGTAAGACGCAGATTCGACAGATTGCTAGTGGCCTCGTTTGTGCTACTTCTGGTGTCGTCTACTCGCTTGAACCTCGTTGCTAGTACGTCCTAGCAGGAGGCAAACACTTCAACTTCTGAGTTGCAAGTGCATCAGAGAACTGTTCGGGCACTTTTTTACTGTCTGCCTCTCAGTCTCTAGCTGAGCTTCTTTTTGCTATCTCTCTCTCTCTCTCCCTCTCTGTGTCTGAGTCACCGTCTCTCACAATTCTCTGTTGTGCTCGGCCTGGTGTAATCTGTACAAAAGAGAGGCTGTCCAACAGCGAAAGCCAGCCGAAGATCGACTACGCTGGTCTGTCAATGTGCTCCAATATATGGTCAGTTTAAAAAAAATTGGTCCAGATTCTGGGTTCCTGTTTCTGATGGTCCATAAGATGGGGCAGAAGGAGGGACTTCAAGTGCGAGAACCAAAATTTCTACCATCACCGCGACGGCCACACGTCCCCTGTTAACCTGCTACCATCGCCATCCTTGACCAATTGGCCAACCCTGCAATGCCAGCATCTTCAGCAAAGGCAGACACAAACACGAAAAAAACTACTACCGGAAATTGACTTCACGCGATTTCAGCAAGCCACGCGATTCAGGAAAATGGCTTTACACGATTCAGGAAACCAGATTCAGGAATCTGCCCGATTGAGCAAACCAGGGGGCCGGAGGGGGTGTGGGATGTGGGGGGATGACAATGTTCATGTCAAGGATGCCTTGAGAAAACTTTACGATTCCGGAATCCACGGTTTTCCAGTTTCCCGAGTCATTTTTTTTCGACTTTCCGCGTTTTCAGTTTCCGAATCCGCTGCTGACGCAATGTTGCTCTATGTTGCTCTGCCAGATGTGTCTGAAGGTCGACCTGCCTCGAGTGGAGCGCAGCGTGGCAGAGCAACAGCGAAGACGCTTGCACAATGCTCTGCAGGCCTGGGTTTGGACGTTTGAGCAGTTGCGGGTTTCAGACCCGCTCACACAAACTGGTAGTTCTTTTTTGAGGACATGAAGGGCCAGCTCCGAGTTTCCTGCCGGATACGCCCACTCAGCCGCCCTCGCGCGCTTGCAGCCTCTCGCAGCCTCTCACAACCTGCTTGAATCTTGACATGTCAGGTGACCAAGAGAAAACCCAGAAAGGTGAGACAGGCGAGTTAGCGCTGCGTCCTTTGGACGGCTCACGGGTGGAGCTAAGCCTGCGAGAGGGGCCTGCGCAAGTGCAGGGGCCCTGGTTGTCACATGTTGCGACCCTTGTGTTTGGAAGACCTTTGCTCAGCAGCACCGCACGCGCTGTTGCAGGTTCGAATTTGACAGCGTGTTCCGTCCAGATGTCCCGCAGCAGGTGGTTGAGGCAAGGCGAAGTGTGCACATAAAAGTGTCCTCAAACATTCAAACACAAGCATATCCCCGAAACGGTACCAGCAGCATCCAGCAGCTTTCTCTACAAACGGTGCATTCTGAAATGTAGGTCCCGTTGACAGTATTTGCCACTGATAGTGAGGAATGTGGAACAGTGAACACTGACTGTGGCACCCCCTACCCGCTTGAGGAAATCTTCGAAGACTGTCGTGATCTGGCGCAGTCTGCGGTGGATGGCCACAATGCCATAGCCGCAGATGCATTTTTGGCGTGTGTCGGGCAGCTTGCGGCATAAGGACCATTGTGTACCAGAGCCGCTTTTTCAGGTCACCGTCATGACCTATGGTCAGACGGGAGCTGGAAAAACCTACACGCTGTGCTAGTCTCAGATGCGAAGTGCAAGCGCGTGCCATGCCCATACATGCCCTTACAGGTTCGGAAGCAAAGATCAGGAGGGACTGGTCCAGTACATGATCCGAGCCTTCTCTCAATTTGGTGAGCCAGCCACTCGCGCGTCACTATGGTTGGCATCACGCGTGTGAGCAAGCAAGATGTCATCAGCACATTGCCGAGGAGAAGTCTTCGCACGCCTTGCAGATCAGGCAGAGGACGATGAGGCAAGTAGCGAAGAGTGTTGTGTTTGTCGGGTTTGGCTGGGTGCATTGGGCCGCAGTTTAGGGGTTCATGGCGCCACGCAGCGTCTGAGCTGAAACAGCTCATGAGGAGTGCACTGCCACTGTTACGGGTTCTGCTTTGGAGTGCTGACCTCAGCTTTCAGGAGCCTTGCAGTAGCCGTAAGAGATACTTTGCAGTGGGCTCGGAGAGGGAACAGCGGCGAATGCTCAGTTTGTTGAAGTTGCAGAGGACAAGGAGTACTGGAATACAGCTGTCGGCAGCATGAGGGGGAGCGTCAAGGAAATTCAATGATTCAAAGACTGGTGTGGGCACAGTTAATGTGGGCCTTAAAGGCACACATGTGGTGGATTTTTTGAGTGCCTATGTGACAAAAGCAAGACTTGCTCGCAAGTGGGGTAGAGGCAAATAATAAATGCTGAAGCTGTGAGGCTGTACAACAATCACTTCATTGACTTGCTCCGCCCCGTCGACCGCACAGGCCCAGTCTCTTTGTGTGATCAGCACCTGCCTCTTTACAGAAGAAGGTTTGGCCAGCTATGCGGGAGCAAAAAAAGCAGAAGAAGAGCAAGATGCCGATGTTTATAGTTGGGTGTTTTGGGGCTTGGGGCTGTTTTGTCTTCAGCAGCCTGTTCATTCTTGAGGCCGGCAGGCCCCCGGAGTGAAGGTCTGCACGGGGGCCCAGGCTTTTTTGGAGCTTCTGCGTGTCTAGCACGGTTTTTTTCTGAACCCTAAACCCTACATCGTGCTCTGTGAGACCGCAGTTGGCTACAGAGCTTGGAAGATCCGAGAGCACCCCAAAACCTTCGGAGCATGGCCATGCGACGTCCCGGGCTCTGCGTCCTCGCTGTGGTGGCTTGCCTGTGGTGCTTGCCTGCACCTGAACCAACCTTTGTGGGTCACACGCCGGGCACCATGCTCCGTGGATCCGGGGCCTTCACAGGAATCATGGACCCTGCGACGGAGTCGGCTGTGATCCTCAAGGCTTTGCCTGAGCCCCGCCCCAACGATGCCATGTTGCCCGTGGAGCTGAACCGCACGTCGCTCTACTGGGGCCTGCTGCTGATCTGCATCCTCTCGGTTCTGTTCTCGAGCTATTTCTTCAACTGAGCTCTGTAGAATTGTACACTGATTGTACATAGTCTCTGCAAGTCCTAGCAAGTCCCAGTTGGCAGCTTTCGCCACTCGACGTGTGTTTTTCTTCAGAGACGCGTGTGACACTCGAGCCGTCGCAGATTGAAGGCTTGCTCAGCATAGGCCATGGCCAAACGAGACCTCAGCAGACGCAATGGCCAAATGAGACTGCAATGATGCTTGTTTTTGCTGCAGTTGTTGTAGCCTGACGTTGCTCTCCTCCATCATTGACTCGCCACCATTATGTCCGGTGGCCAAGGTGTTGATGCGCAAGGGTGTGTAGAAGTGGATGGGCTGGCAAGGAGCCTGGTGCAGAGCATCGCAAGCTCTGAGTAATGATCAGAATTGCTTCTATTCTATGGTTCACCTCATATCTGAGGAACAAGAAGTGGCACAGACTCCAGTTGATTTATTGGAGATCCTAGAGAAGGGTCTGGCCCAGTCTCGAGCCCAGCGTGTTGGTTGAGTTGTTGCCATGGCATGAGACCCTAAACCCTAGACAAAGGACCAGGGAGTTTATCATGTTCATTCCTCAGGCGCGTTGTGGCCGAACACGCCCTCAACGCAGATAGCTCTCGCACCATCCTTGGCATGCTTGACATCATGGAAATGCAGGTTCTTCCATGGTTTTCCAATGACGTCTTGTACGCAAGAATAGACCGGTAGAATGAAGCCATGTGCTGCTTTGCCTGCCGCTCAGCTGCGTGCCATCGCGAGGTTCGCATATGGTCTTCACAGTCAGGATCCAAACAGAAGGCCAATCAGCTTGGAAGCGCGGTCGAGTGGCAGCACGGACTCGTGATTTTGACAGCTGCGACTGCGCCAGGCAGCTCTAAGAAAACAACGCGGAAGCTCACGTTCTGCGACCTCGGCGGATGTGAGAGGCAAGCTTTCGCTGGAAGCATTTGCCGGGAGCTGTTTGCTGCTGTAAGAGTTGTGCTCAGGATCAAAAGGTCTCAAGTGGCTGGGGACTTGCAGAAGGAGGCTCCGCCATCTCGAGAGTCTCGAGGCCTAAGGACACTCATTGCTTGCTCCGGTGCCAGGCCATCGAGATCAACAAGTCGCTTAGTGCGCTCAGCAGTGTCATTGAGGCAACATGGTCGAATGAACTGATTCCTTCTGGAAGGGGCTGGCAGAGCTTGCTGCTAGGCAGTTGCTGGTCGCCGACGGCATATTCCGTACAGGTTTGCTGCACCAACTGCTCGACAGTTTTTTTGGATCATATGGCACTGACCGCATCTGTATGGCGGGTACTGGCAAGGGACCACAAGCTGACGCGGTTGCTGCGTGATGCAGTGGGTGGCAGCGCAAAGGTCCTGATGTACGTCAGGAACTCAGGCAGACGCAGGTGGCGCTCTCGCTCTCCCGCTCTCCTCTGTCGCTCTTTGCTTCTCTTCTTTTCTCTCACTCTCAATCTCATCACTCCCACTCCGACTTGCACTCTAATGCTCACTCTCACCCTCACCCTCTCTCGCCCGCTCTCACGCTGCCCTCTCTCTCTTCCTGATTGGTGAGGTCTGCTGCTCCCCTGCCAGATCCAACATCGAGGAAACAGCAGCAGCGCTGAAGCTGGCCTCGAGGGCGGCGAAGGCAAGTTGTGGATTTCTAGCCTTCATTTTCAGTTGAAGTAGATGGTTCTGAAGCACTTCCATGCAGGTGGTGAATCAGCAGAAGCAGGTGGAAGCTTCCTCCAGCATGTGAAGACAGGCTTGAGGAGCCAACGGCGACAGTGTGACGGAAGAAGCTGCTTGACCTGTCGTCAGCGGCAAAAAATTGCTGGAGAGCTTACCCACAACCTTGGATGAAAACGATTCGAACTGTTGCCGTTGCCGAGCTTTTGATTTCCCAATCCATTCTGAACACAAGATGTTGGAATTGTGCTGTTAGAGCAAGCGTTGAATTCGATTAGAGCCACGTGCTCGGAGATGGTGCCCGTCTCGGCGACTTGTCAAGTATAATGGGTAGCCAGAAAGGTAGCTTTGTGCGCGGCCTTTATGGGAGTTTATGGCTCTTTGTGACACCAAGCTCGCGCATCAGGTCGCCATGTTTCAGAAACCAGTCCAAGTGGCAACATTGTTACTGCATATCCGCAGCTGAGGACAGTGTTAAAGAGGCGCCCAGCTATAAGCCACCAAACTGGAGTCTGGAAGTTCACGCTTCTCGCTGCAATCATAGAGGCGAGGCCTTAATTCAACATACCGAAAAACCTTGCAGTATCCTTCTCGTAAGGTGTGAATCTGACAGGGTTCATCTGCTGCCATTTTGGGGGCAATGACAAGGTGAGAACAACCAGGTTCTTCGAGAATGTCTGTAGCTGAAGGGCCACAGCGCAGTGCAGCTACAGAGCTCATATGCTTCGCTTCCACATGATGGAGTGAAGGCAGTGCGTGCATAGCATGGAAGTCTTGCTTTCGGAACTGGGATGAACTGGAGAGTAGGCATCCGACCTCAGTTACTGGAATGGAGTCGGGAAGGCATTGAGTGAGGGTAACAAATTGCCTACTTCCATTGCAATCAGTTTTTCGAAGGTGCGCGCCACGAGCAGGGCAACAGCCCAGGCATCAGCTAACTGACCGTCAATGCAGCTTTCTGCAAAAAAGAGAAGCAGGGCCTGACGATCCAGGGGAGCCCACTTTTGCAACTTTGCGAGTCGTTTGAAAGTGCAGAGCTTGCGCTGCATCGTATCCTCGCATGACACGAGCCCCAGCAGCCAAGTTTCGAACAGCTTCTCAGGCCTGAGCTGGACAGCTGCCGTTGTAAATCCTGGACTCGTCCTCCATCCTCTGCCGCGGGACTGCCGCCGACAGCCGATAGCCTGCCGGATCCATAGCCTGACACTTCAAAACCTTGCGAGCTTCAGGATGAGAGGCCAAACCATTGGGACCTGCTTGGCACCCAGACCTCTGTTGTGGAGCATACAGAGGTGCACGAAGTAGCTGGGTCATGTGCCATGTCGATTGAGATGTGTATGCAGGCGCTCGCAGTACCTTGACTGGGCCGAGAATTGGCGCCTTTCTTGGGAAAAGCCAAGCTTTGTCGAAGTGTGTCATGGCGTGGTGTCACATGGTGTCACCAAGCAGCTCAAAGGCTTTCGACGTCGGATGTTTGGAGCCATCCTGCCCAGCTCCAGAAAGTCTTCGCTGAGTACCTGAGCGGGGAGACATCTTCAACAGCAAAATAGCATCAACATAGCAAAATTCAACGAGAGCCAAAAGTGCTTCCACACGGGAAGGCGCAGACATGTCTTCCCGCAACAGTTTGCCATGCGGGGCCGCTCGAACAAGAGTCGAGAAGACGGCAATCACTGATGCAACCACTAGGCTCGGTCGATGCTGCTTGGTAGTTATGATGGTTCCTGTTCTTATTATGACCGTTTCATGTTGTAGGATTCCATTTCTGATATTTCTGCAGTTGCAGCCCTGCACATGCCCGGATACTGCAGCAGCATCTTGTTCTTACATCTGTACTTGGTGGGAAATTAGCCAGTTGCTGTTCAGGCCGCAAGCTCAGCGAGCATGGGCGGGCAAGTGGGGAAGCATTCGTGTCGAGCTTGATGACAATGAGGCCATGGCGGAAGGGGACAAGCTTAAGCTGAAGTCCTCCCAGGGTGAGATCTTTGAAGTGGATCCGGAGGCACCTTAGAGCTGCTAGGGCACACTTTTTCAAGCTTCAACCCACTGCTTGGGCCGATGCTTGCGCCTTAGAGTATCAGGTGGCGACGATGTCCACCCTGATTAAGAACATGGTGGAGGCGTTGCTGTGCTGCTGTGCTAGAGGATCAGATGCAGCAATGTCCATGCCGTGCCTCAGAGCTGCCACGGGTGGGGGCATGGAACATGGATGTCAAGATGGAAGATGATAGGAAGCTAGCAGACACGCCTGCAGAGACACCTCGGGCCCCCCCTTCCCCCCCGATGGGCAGGACAGTGGGACGGATGAAGAGATTCCACTGCCGAACGTGAAAACAGCCATACTGAGCAAGGCGCACGGAGGGCGGTTCCATGCTGTTGTTTCGTCTGTCTCTGTTTGTGGTTAGTTCGTGCATGTTTTCGGGCACGGGTCCTATTGAAAAATTGAGGTGTGGTGCCTACGACAGTAGGCTAGTGGTAGACACTTTCTGCGGCATCCAAAGTGGGATTCCCTGCATTCAAGACTAATTGTGACCCGCAGCCCCGGCTCCCCCCCACCCCGCCAGAGAATCAACTTACACTTGGAGCTGGGGAAGGAGGGGGTTCATGGCAAGTTGGGGGCTTGCCGGCATAAGTAATATGACCCATACCACCCAGAATCATCCATGTGAGGAGCTTCCCGCCTTTGATTTTATATCATCCGTTTCTTGCGTTTCCGAAAGAAGCCGTTTCCGATTTTGCCTTTTTGCGTTTCCCCATCTTTCGTTGACCCTTCAAATCCGGAACTTGGCGACGCGGCCGTCGAGAAACGAGCCGCTGCCATGCTCGCCGGTTGTCGACCAGGTCATCGACTACTGCAAGTACCACAAGGACAACCCGCCCGAGGAGATCCAGAAGCCGCTGAAGAGCACCAACCTGGTGGAGTGCGGCGTGTCGGAGTGGGACAGCGAGTACGTAAACATCGAGCAGGAGGCACTGCCTGTGGTGCAATGTCGCCTCATGTTGCCTCGTGCTGGCGACAGCCATGTCGGAGACATTTAGCCATTTAGCAGCTCGCCGTATTCACGCCCAGGTCCTCTTTGAGTTGATCCTCGCGGCCAATTACCTGGACATCAAGAGCCTGCTGGACCTGACCTGCGCGAAGGTTGCCTCCATGATCAAGGGCAAGAACACCGAAGAGATTCGCATCATGCCTTGCACGGTTTGGCTTGAGGTCGGTGGCTGTTTGTGCAGATTAGTGGGCGAGGGACCTGGGGCAAGCTCAAGGCAAGCAGTTCAACATCGTGAACGACTTCACCCCTGAGGAGGAGGCGCAGGCAAGCAGGAGAGACTTTAGAGTCTGAGACAGTGCGCATGTCGGTTGTTCGCAGTGCTGTGCTTGCTGTGCTCTTGCTTCCTGGCATTTCTCAGGTGAGGGAAGAGAACCGCTGGTGTGAGGATGCGTGAGCTTCCAGCAATTCGCAGCGTTTGCAACATCGTGAATGACCGGGCAACATACACTGCTCAGGGGGGGGGCAAATCAGCTGTTTACCACCGTGTGCAGCCTTGGTGCCAAGAAACTATTTTGGACGACCGCAACAGGCGGCCGAAAAGCCGCTTCGCAAGTCTTGCGCTGGCCAGAGGGTCACCCGTGGGCCACAGGTGTACAGACATTGGCCGTGTGCAAAACAAGTTCCCTGGAAGGCAGCATGTTGCAATGAGCGAGGGAGCGATTTGTCCAATTTGTGATGGTTCCTCCGAGTTCTTCCTCCCACAGTGGCTCCCAGCCAGTAGCTCAGTAGCTCAGCCCGCCTACAAAGTGGCGCACCAGGCGGGTCATTCCGAGAACTTCCGTTTGTCACCGGTACTGGTAGGGCCGGGTAGGCTTGCAATTCGGACTATGGAGGGTAACTGAGGGTAAGGGTAAGGTTCTATGGTCTTGGTTCTCGTGCTGTTCGCTGGCGCGGAGGATGAAGCTGCAGAAGCTCTTGCTGCGCCGGTGCCTAGGAGCGAAGTGCAAGCGAACCTGGCTCAATGTTGCAGAGTCTGGTAGATGTCGGTAGGGCGAGTTCGGAAGTTTTCGGTATGATCTCAGGCTGGACCCCACCTGGACTTGGCCTGCAGGTTCTCCAAGAAGACGGCACAGAAGCTGTAATGCACAAGGCTGTTGTGGCTCTGTCTGCTGGTGCACCTGCAGTCTTTGCCTGCAGTCTGTGCGGCAGGAGCTGCCAGGAAAGGAAGATGTTGTGTGCGCTGAGCAAGTTCAAGCAGCGGGCTCAGAAGTGAGAGCAGCAGGGCGAAGCAGGGATCGGGCTGCTATTTGGGCTCGGCTCTTTACGCAAGCAAATGCAGTCAAAGGCCAGCGTTTACAATGCCTTGCGCAAGGCATTGTCCAAGAGCCTCTGCATGGAGCACCCAGAACTCCTCTCCAAAAAACGGAAGGTGCTGACATGCCTACGGCTGCGGTTGGTACCAGTAGTTGTCATCGCGGTGGTCCAATGTGTGCTTGGGGCTTTGAGCTTTTAGAGTCCCTAGAGTCGAGAGCTGATAGAGCTGGGAGGTGCTCACAGCCCAACTTGCTCGACTCTATGAAGTTGACGTGGTACCGTCGTCATCTTCATCCACCCCTTCCTCCTCGAAGTCCTCCTCATCCGAGGCCAGCATGGTGTCAGTGACGCTTCCGAAATTCTCTGGGAGAGATTGTGAACATGTCACTCAGACCGATCCAGCGCATATGTCTGGGAATCAGCCGGCAGCCCAGCCTGACCTAGCCCATGCAACAACCCGAGTGCAGCCGTGTGCCAGCCATCTCAAACTCCCATTTGCCTGGCTTGCAGGTTATCACCCCTCGAAAACTTTGCCTTCAAACCATCTTGTGCGGGCATGATGATGCCACTCATGGCCAGATAACTCGCACAAGACATTGCCAAATGTGAGGGTTGCTTTTATCAAGATGCCGTGGTGCTCCTGCTGATGGCTCCGGCAGCCAATGTCTCGCCAGAGAGAGTGTTGGATGCGTGGGAGCACCGGCGGTCTCTTTAGAGACCGTGTGTAAACCTTTGTGCATAATCTGAAGTCAACTGATGTTGCGCTTAATTTGGGTTGTCGCATTCTGCGATGATCTCCGAGCGACTGTTGATTAAGCAGTGCTCATGTGGCTGGACATTCAAGAGCCAGACAGGTAGCACAACTCTGAATGCCCATGCTTCACCACAGCTTTTGAGTATCGAAGGACTCTCATCTGATTAATGGCACCTCTGGTTCATTCGCATTCCATGCCATACTCTTTTCTTACCGCTTCGGCTGCTACACAAAAACTAATGTGCGAGGTCTTGACTCCACAGTCGTTCCACTGTGATAGGCAGCAAGGAGCAGTCCCTAAGCATGGTTTATGTGCAGGACTTCGACCTTGCACCGTTGGAACTGCTTCGCTACACTTGTGTACCAAGCTGAAGCTGGTTTGTGAGGTGTGTGTAGCGCTGCCTGGCGCAAAACAGTTTTTGCACCAGACCTTCAGACTTGCCGGCTGTGTGAAGACAGGAACAGGGTCGCTGTGGTGCAACCTTGGTTCATGTTCTGCCATTTGGCTTGCAGCTCCAGTCCAAAGCAGAAGTCGCGCGGGAGCCTCAGCCAACTCCTTTCTCAGAATTGGAGGAAACTACGGGATGGCTTGGCATCACAAATTCACCAACATCAGCCAAACCCAAAGTCAATTCAAAGCCCAACCCGCGTTTGTGATGAAACATATCGATCGCACCATGGCGATGTGTACGATGGGTGTCGATGGGTTGCGTCCCACAGCATAAGATGGTTCTCCCCGAAAACTCTTTTTTTGGCGAGCGGCTTGTAGTTGGTGCGGGTGCTGGCACCCCCGTGCCTCCGCCATGCCCCTCCCTTTGTGCAGCGCAAGCCGCCGCAAAATGAAGAAGTGTCGGGAAGTCTCGAAAATTCTTGGTTGTGTTTCACACTCTTTTTGGAGGTGCTCGGCAGTTCGGGAGTGAGAAGAGAGAGAGGGTGTGGCGACTGTGGCGAGGCCCGCCACCTCTGCAGCCATGGCAGACGACAAGCTGAAGCTGAAGTCCTCGCAGGGCGAAATTTTTGAGGTCGAGCCCGAGGTGGGGACATGTGGGGACATGCTTTGGCCATTTCGTGTGACGAGACGTAAATCTTACCACGCCTGTAAGTAGCTGGAGGTCGCCACCATGTCGACGTTGATCAAGAACATGGTCGAGGAAGCTGTGGGAAGAGGCTGGCTATTTTCTTCTGGTATCTGTCTGGGCAATGGGAACAGGACAGCGGCACCGATGAAGAGATCCCTTTGCCCAATGTGAAGACTGCCATTCTGAGCAAGGCGTGTTTTATTCGGCTTCAGCGCGACTCTGGCCACAGTTATAAGCCCAGAACGCCAGGTCATCGACTACTGCAAGTACCACAAGGACAACCCGCCCGAGGAGATCCAGAAGCCGCTGAAGAGCACCAACCTGGTGGAGTGCGGCGTGTCGGAGTGGGACAGCGAGTACGTAAACATCGAGCAGGAGGCACCGCCTGTGGTGCAATGTCCTAAGCAATGTCGCAGCCATTTTGCAGCTCGCCGTATTCACGCCCAGGTCCTCTTTGAGTTGATCCTCGCGGCCAACTACCTGGACATCAAGAGCCTGCTGGACCTGACCTGCGCGAAGGTTGCCTCCATGATCAAGGGCAAGAACACCGAAGAGATTCGCAGCTTGTCTGCACAAGCCCTCGGCGCTTCGCTGCCTTCTTGCTCGAGTCCGTTGGTGAAGGCAAGCAGTTCAACATTGTTAACGACTTTACGCCTGAAGAGGAAGCGCAGGTGCCCTCCATTTGTCGAATCTGAGATGTGTGTGTGTGTGTGTGTGTGTGCTTTTTGTGGGGGGGGGGGGGGGGGGGGGGGGGGGGCGTGGGAGAGGGGTTGGCATGAAGTGCTTAGGCTTGGCTTGTTGCTTTCATGCGACCGAGTATGGGATTTGGTGTTTTTGAATCCCTTGAGGTCCGCGAGGAGAATCGATGGTGTGAGGATGCCTAGAGAGGCGTATAGAGTTCGCCCGGTGCAAATAGGTGCTGTGATGCACGCAGTAATGCGCTGTCTCGCACCCGTCGACAGGGTTCACCTCAGCCGCAAGAGCTGAGCGCAAGTTCGGAGTGCTGTGCTTGCCATGGATGTGTGATATGGGACAGCGCACGGCAGCGTCAATTCGGAAACAGCCTTGTCATGCTGAAAACGACTGTTCAGTGCGGCAGAGGTCACAACGGAACACTGCAGTCACATGCAGTCACCTTGTTTGCTGAGAACCGGGTGGTCGAAGGGTACCAACGGTTGAGGACGCGACATACTGCAAAGTTTTCTCCTTGACTGTGATCCGGCCTGTTGAGCACGCCACTCCACTCATCTAGCGAACCACGTTGGACCGCTGCCGTGGAGCATCGCTGTCCGGTCTAGCTGGCTAGATCTTCCAAATTTCTTGTGGAGCCGAGGCCTGGGCCCTTGCTCTCGTCAGCGAATCACTGCGTGCGAATGCGAGTTGCTGGGATCATGTGACGTTTCAGGCAGCTCCCGGAGTTGGTTTGACATGGCGGATGGCGACAAGCTGAAGCTAAAGTCTTCCCAGGGAGAAATCTTCGAGGTCGATCCTGAGGTCCGGTGCATGTCAAGCTTGAGATGCAGATTGATACCTTGACGGGCCTTGCACTGGCACCTGTCATCGGCACAGGTGGCTACCATGTCGACCCTCATCAAGAACATGGTTGAGGACACGAGCTGCACCGAACTGGTGCCATGTAGGGAGGCATCGTTGTCGGAGTCTTGACGAAGCCAGGAGGCCAGCCCTGTTGGGCCTAGAAGGCTCAATGCTACAGCTGTTCGCCGCAGGACAGTGGAACGGACGAAGAAATCCCACTGCCGAACGTCAAGACAGCGATCCTCAGCAAGGCATTGGCTTTGCGGGTGTCAAGATGTTTCTTTGCATAGCAGGGGGCAGGTTGGAGCTTGGGCCATGCTTCGGTCATGAGCATGCTTTTGTTCGGTGGAGTTTCATGAAGGTCATCGACTACTGCAAGTACCACAAGGACAACCCGCCCGAGGAGATCCAGAAGCCGCTGAAGAGCACCAACCTGGTGGAGTGCGGCGTGTCGGAGTGGGACAGCGAGTACGTAAACATCGAGCAGGAGGCACCGCCCTGTGGTGCAATGTCGCCTCATGTTGCCTCGTGCTGGCGACAGCCATGTCGGAGACATTTAGCCATTTAGCAGCTCGCCGTGTCACGCCCAGGTCCTCTTTGAGTTGATCCTCGCGGCCAACTACCTGGACATCAAGAGCCTGCTGGACCTGACCTGCGCGAAGGTTGCCTCCATGATCAAGGGCAAGAACACCGAAGAGATTCGCAGCTTGTCTGCACACTGGGCTGAAGCCCCAGTACGGGTTCTCGGCTGCGTCCGCCAGGAAAGCAGTTTAACATCGTGAACGACTTCACCCCCGAAGAGGAGGCGCAGGCCGTGCAGTCCGAGCCATTCGCATCGATGAGATCCAATAGAGCTTATCCTGAAGTGAGGTTCGTGAAGAGAATCGTTGGTGTGAGGATGCTTAGTGGTGCTTGGTCTGCACCTTGACAGCCTGGGCGTGTGCTCAAAAAGTCTCAAAAACAGCTGTCGCTTCGCAGTTGCTGATGTTGAACAACTGCAATCGCTCCATTGTCGGGGTCGGATGGGCCCAAGCGCTGCCTGTCATAGCGCAGGCTTGTTTACATATTCAAACATGAGATACCCGATGCAAAAAAAGACATGTTCGATCCACTTGTCACAACCTCAATCAGCATTCAGCAGTCATGTGTGCAGACGTCGTTTTTCTCTGGCACTTTACAATCTTCACTTCTATGATTGTCATCCAGTGAAGACCTAGTTTCTCAGCAGCTTCACACTAGCAGCTGGGGCCGGCGTGGTCATCCAGCAGAGGCGCTGCAGCAGAGGTTGCTCGGGCCTTCTCTTCTCTAGGGCGCGCCGCTGCAAAGTGTGCATTCTGTAGCTGTGGGGATGACTTGGGATGACAGTCTGACACTGTGCGCCGGCCCGTCTGGCAGGTGCATGTCAGGACTCTGCCATGGGGGCTCCTCCTGCACAGTTGGCACTGCTCCGCGAGGAGCGGAACTTGGACCACGTCTTCCCACGACTCACTGCATTGTTCATGTCAGCTTGGGCACCCGGGCAGCACCAATAGCAACTTGCAGGTTGTGGGAGCAGGCTTGCCTGATGATGCGCTGGCCTCGGCGTGGCAACGGTCAGGCCCGATGCCCATGACTTGAGTATCCTCATAGACGCTCGATGCGAAACACTTGGAAGGTGGGGACCTAGCTGCCGCAGTGAATCTCCTCCTAGATGCACCGGCACAAGTTTATCCGGCGACGGCTTCCAAGACCATCGAGATTGAGCTCCTCGCAGGAAGTCAGTTCCATGATGTTCCATGATACAGGTTGCAGGAAGGTGAGGCCTCTTCTTCGATTGGGTGTGCTTTGGGACTTTGTGCGGTAAGAACAAACATGAAGCTCTGTCCAACGTTACTGCTGGAAGGGGGCCTGGTTTGCTCATCTCTGCACCCACTATCCGATGGGTAGCTAATGCAGCTAATGGAAGTCCACGGACCCAGCTCAGAAGTGTTTCAGCATTCCGCACGCGATGCTCACGGACTACTGCGAAACGATGCCAGAACGCAGGATTCTGCAACTACAGCATCCGCGTGAGGAACGATTACAAAACCATGGCCGTTTCAACGCATTCATGAGATTTTGGCTGCAACGAATCGCCACGTGAGAGTCGCAGGTTCTGCGCCACCTGTGAAACACGAGCTTCCGCAACTACAGACGCTCAGTAACTCGACGGAACGGCGCCAAAACGCAGGCTGCTGCAACTAAGGCACCACCCAACACTGGCACACCACGAGATGCTGAACTTCAGATTCGTGCAACTTTTTGACAGCACAGCAGGGGGACCCAAAAATCACTTTCAGGTTCCTCCTGCACCAGGCGCACATCAATCCGTTGCTATCCTCTTGCGAACCAATGAAAGTACGGGATACCCAGTTGTCAGGTGTGCGGAATGGGTACGTGCTGGGGCGGGGGAAGGGAGCCCCCGTACTCTTCCGAAGAAACATAGAGGAGCCACTGTTCTCCCCCCTGTACCTGTTTCAGATCCTTCCGGAACCTGTACGCGACGCACAATCAATACCCTTGGGGAGTCCGGGTTTTGAGCCATGCCCAAGTAATTATTTCTCGCCGTGTGACACTTGCGAATGCTTGTGGAGGCTTTGGTGGACAACTTCGGTCACCTATATCCCACCTCAGACCAACACTTGAAACATGAACACTTCTGCTAAGAAATCGTGTGTCTATTGAAGCAGATGTGGATGTTCAGCATCTGCTGCAAGGTTAGATGACTCAGATGGCGAACAGAGCGCGCGTTCTAAGCCAGTTGACTTCAGGCTGCAGCTTTCGCGGGCAAGTGCATTGATCTTTAGGTCTCAGCTTGACATCCTGCGAGTGGTAGCCGAGGATAGCGCCCAACTGCAGCCGTCACCGGCGCCAGTGGCCAGCAGCAGCGGCGGGGGCAGCGGGGTCAGCGGAGGCAGCGGAGGCAAATTCCTGTGCCTTCTGAAGGCGAAGCAGGAGCCGAGTGAGCACCCAGCGAAGAAGCGGCGCACATCTGGATCCCAGGCCCTGGAGATTCCACGGAAGCCAAGCGCACACGGCCGCACGTGTAACATCGAGTGGTCCATGGCCCTGGGCAGCTTCACGTTTATGGCCTGGAGCACAATCCGCCTTGGATCCGAGCAGAAATTCCCCACCGGTGATGCCGATGGCAGCTTCGGTCCACTGCTGCGGACAGGCCGACGCCTTGAGCTGAGGTGGGCCGTTGAAGCAAAGAGGTCGCGTGCTCGACCTGGATCAGTTGCAGCCCAGGCCGGGGCAGAGACGGGCACCATCCGTTTCGATGCTTGTGGTCAAGAGGTTGGACGATTTCCGGCAGATGCCAACAAGACGTTGGTTCCGCTCCTCGCCCGGCGCCTCATCGACGTGGAGGCTGTGGTTGGCCGGGATCCACCCCGGGCTTTGGCCTTGGGCACAGATTTGCCTGTTGTGGTACGGGTGTCGCTGCGATCCGTGGCCCTGCGGACGCCGGGACAAACGGACACCAAGCCGGCAACTGCTGCAGAAGTGGACGGTGGCAAGGGCAAGTCCAAAGGACAGAATCAGAAAGCAGCCGCGGACTTGGACTGCTTTGCTCATCTGATTGCGGATGCCGCCAGAGCACACGAGTCATATCCCGTAAGGTGCACAAAGAAGAGGCTGACAAAGAAATTCAGCGCACATCCACCAGCATGCTTTTGGAAAAGCTGCATGCTCAGAGGGAGCGGGTGCAGCAATGTCGATGCGTGTTGTGATGTATCGTGTCATGACATGAACCACAAGTCGAGAGGTGCAACCAAGCAACAGAAGATATTTTGATGGAAAACCAAGGTTAAATTTGCCCTGCCGTCGGCGTGCCGCTTTGGAGGGCGATGCTATGGTCGCAGCAGATGAGCCTCCGGCTAAAGTGGAAGGCCTTCGGGGACTTGAGCCGGCTCGAAGGAACTGGGGAGTCTGAGTGCGGACACGCCGTCAGACATTCTGCGTCACATTCGGCCAGCTTCTCAAGATGCCAACATCCAAGTGCGAATCTGAGAGGCTTGGCGGATGAGGAGCCGGAGGTGGAGGAGGAGGAGATGCCAGCAGCTCAGAAATTCAATTGCGATCGTTGCAACAGATGAATCAACCCACCGACAATTTCGCGACACTTTCGTTCTCTTATCGGTGCAATGGGCCCCTGCAGCTTTCCAGGAAGTCAAGAAAGCACATACATTGAGTCAAAAGGTAAATCTTAATCCAGAAGTTAGGCTACCGAGGATTGGGATTGAGGCCTTTGGATACAATTGACATCTCGTCAGGTCCAGAGTCGCCGCTGCTCAGCTGGGGAGAAGCCCTGCCCCAAGCTGAACACGTGGGCGAATGTGGCATCTTCTTGGGGCATCGGCTCAGTGGCCCCCGTGAGATTCGGACAGGTGACCAGCTGGAGCGACACGATCTGCCAGGGATTGTCTTACCAAGCGGCATTTTCGAGACGAGGCATGGTTCACCTGAGAGTTGATAGCGCAGCAAGCCAACGCAGTATTGTCAACTGCCCCTCCGAATTCGGGTGATACTTGTATGGCGGAGGCTGCGTCCTTACCAAGCTCAAGCAGTGCCAGGGCCCTGACGCACATCATGATTGCACTGATTACACTAAGCAAGTCTTGCACTCAGAGTGGTTCCCGAAAGGTTCTGGATGTGGCAGAGGGAGAACCCTACATCCTCCCTGCTGCGGCCTCGCTAGTCTCCATGGTCCTTATAGAGTCTGCAGCTGCTGGTCTTCCCACAATGAGGCCTTCATGCTTCCAGAACTCCGAGCCGCATAAAGAGGATCAAGAGGCACCGTGGGCACTGCAAGAGAGCGGCAAGTGCTGAGGACTAGCAGCGGTCGTGGGCCCAATAGGTGCGAGAATCAGAGAAGAACAAGATTTCGCATACTCTTCGAGGATACGAAAGACATGGATTTCAGTAGAAGGTTACATCGTCAATACTCATAAGCGTTGCAGCGGACAGTGCGACGAGTCTGCAACATTCTGGAACAGAAGTGTCTGCTGGTAGCGCTGGGAACTGGAATGACGAAAAAGTGGGATGACACGAAGAAATCCCAGTACCCGAACATGTGCAGAATCAGGACACCTCTCTTCTTTGCACAAGTTGTTCAACCGTCAAACCGGGCCTTGTGCAAAGTCAATGTTGAATCTGGGTTCGGAAGGTTTGACTGTCCAAACGCTAGCACAAGTCATCGGCAAATAATTTGGGGATTCCAGAACTTACATCGAAGCTGAGATGCTTCGGTTACTTCCTTCACACAGTCAGGGTCAGCATGACGGCGTCCATGGCTGCATTGGTCGTAGTGAATAGGGGTGCTCACTGCCATCACTGCACATTTGTTTGCCTTTCTCTCTGCGGAGGTTGAGGCGTGCGCAAACCCTAGCTTGTGCGAACCTTGTGGGGTGAACCTGCCGCCATACATAGTATGCCTCTGCTGTCGCACGTGCAGAGTATGCTTTTCGAAGCTTGCTTGCTCCTTGATTCGAGGTCACAGGTCGCGCAGGAGCCAGGCTCTTGGCTGCTTTGGCATGTAGACAATGTAGACTGCCGGTGAAGCTATGCCAGCATGAGGCCTTTGCATGAACGACAGCTCCATCCCATGTGGGTCTAGCGCCGATTTGCTTCTACAGAATTGTTGACATTTGCCCGGTTGCATCAATTGCCGAGGATGAGTATGAGCTTCCGGAAGAGACAGGTCCACTGCCAGGAGGCATCGTGAACAGTTGCTGCCAGCCAGTGAGCACCCGCGTGCCACCTGACATAGCCAGGTGGGGGCTCAGCACGCTACCTGTACTACCATCGCACAACTGGCGCCAGGACCTTTGTTCCTGGATGGGAGCACCCGCAACTGCTTCTAGCCACACGCGGTGTTGCAAGAAATTTCGACTTGCATGAGGCCCTGTCACTCGACTTTCCCGATGCAGCCTTGGCGTCGGCACCATAGTTGGCAATGCTTTGCAGCGTCGAGTTGGGCCCTTGGGGCTGCAGTTGCCTGGAGGCACTGCCGTGGTGGCATACTGGCTGATGACATGGGCCTGGGCAAGACCGCTCAAGACTCATTATGCCGTGCGCTGGAGAGAATTGCATCGGATTTTCAGCAGTGGTGTTGAGCTGTTTGCTTTTGAGGTTATGTGTCTGGCACTCACTGCGCTGGACTTCGGCCCATCCAGCTTGCCCACCGTGGACTTCTCAGTGCGGGGTGACCATCCACGGCCATGCTGATAGCGCCACTGACAGGCTCGGAAAGCTGCGCCTGAGCTTCGCATAATGGAGGACTTGCATGGAAGTACTGGATGTAGGGTTGGTGGGAAAGGGGCATTGAATGGCAAAACGTTCCCAAAAGAGATGGTTCACAGAAGCACCGGTCCCAATAACCTTGTTGTGCAAACCTGCTGAAAGTTGCCTTGTGCCTTCTGCCTTTGCCTTATAGCACTTCATGTGCGTCTCCCATGCTGTTCGTCTTTGGCCGGACTGTGCCACCCGACCTCAGACAGCTTACGATCAGTCGTATGGAGTCCCCTCCGTGAGAGGCATGGTTTTTCCTTCTGCTGCGAGGAAGCGGATGCATCTTCCAAGCCGAAGGGTGGGGTGTTTCAGCTCGTGGCTCAGGCTGCAACGGCATAACGTCTCAAGCCACACGGCCCAAATCTAACAATCTGACCGACCTTGAGGGAGCTTTGTCTTCAGAAGCCTTTGCCTTCGCCTTTCCAATGCCTTTGCTCATCAGCTGAGGGTGCAAGCGGCGCAAGACGAGGGCAGCGTCGGCGGTGTTCTAGTTGCTCGTGGCTGAGCACCGACAGCAGCAACCATGCCAGTGATGTTATGCCCTGGAGGCAGCCTGAGATACCAAGGGCAAAGCCGAGGGGCCTTTGAAAGTCTGCACTGTTGGATAAGGTAGCGCCTCTCTCACTGATTCGGCAGTGGCACTCTGAGGCGATCGGCAAATTTGACCACTAGATGCAAATGACGGAGCAAATCGAATTGAACAGCAAAAGGATGTAAAGGATGTAACAAACATAACATCGGAGCAGGCCGAGAGGCATTTCTTCGCCTCAGCGGTGCCCTCGATCCACGAGTTCCATGGCTCAGGTGCCCCCTCTGACTCTTTCATCCCCAGCTCATCCCCTTTGCCATCCTTTCGGTTCCTTGATCCTCCGGAAAGTTCTTTTGCGGTCGGGTCAGAAGTGCGAACTCGAAGCCGCAAAGATCTGCAACACTTTGAAGGCAAGAACATCTCCCTGGAGCAGTTGCGCAGCACGGGGGCATCGGCCCAAGTGGCCATGGGAGTCCTTCCTTAGTTATTGGTTCTGGTCGAGCATGTCGAACGGCATGCCGACGCTGCATTTGTGCCGAGATTGTGCTTACGACCTACAACACGCGGGGGGCTTGAATGGTCTTGGTACTTGGTGTACTCAAAGCAAGCACAGTGGACCCCAGACTCCAGAATCCTTGGCTCACACTGTGCCTCTCTCTGCTAGTAACAGGCTGGCCTCCCAGCCAGAAGATTCGCTGCTGTTCCAGGTTTACTGGAGGACTCCGGCTGATTCTCGTGTCCCTGTGATGCCGAAAGAAATTCGAATCAGGGTGTTGCAGAAGACATTGCTAGAGCACAGTATGAGCAATGAAGGGGAGCACAGTATCATCAATGAATAACGCATTCAGCAATGATCACTCTCGATTTCAGACCAGATGAAATTCAACCAAAGCCAGTCAGAAATATTGATGCTCCGACCTGTATCTTCTCTCATGAAACGAACACATGGGGGCGGTTTTTGCAGAAGAAGCTGCCAGGAGAATCATCTTGGATGAGGCATCTGATGCCTGAGTCCAGCTGAGCTGCTACTGTCTGCCGTGCGATTTCTGAGCGCGTGCTGTCCCGTCGCCAGGCGCACAGCATCAAGAATCGCTGCAGCAGGCTGACGTTCCACACCGACATGGTGCATCGAAGCACGAGACAGGAGAGTTGCAGTGAGCTGCAAGTTCTGGACAGGCAGGCACAGGCATCGTTCCGGCTCAGAGGCTTTTGCAGATGGCGAATTGGCTTGATCTGTCTTGTCTGACATGTGTTTGAGTTGCTCTTTCTTTCAACTAAATGGTGCTGCGCTGTCAAGTGTCCTCTGCTCGACAGCGTAAGGTGTGTGACTGGCACGCTGGAAGCTGAGACGACAAGCAGAAAATCGAGTTTTCACAATACATACATCCACACACACGCATATATACATATTAGTATCTATATATACACATACATATATAACAAGATAAACTGTATGATATATATATATATATATATATATTATACTATACGATACTATACTTAAGACCAGGATTGCCTGTATTGTCTGAGAGAGGGGTTGGGAATTGTTTTTGTGAATTATTTGTGATTTGCTTGTGATCGGCAAGTGTGATTTTTGTTTGAATCAGGATTTGGCAGGTCCTGGCTATGCGATTTCGGTGTGAATTGTTTGTGATTTTTTTGTGTTTTGTTGGTGATTTATTTGTGTTTTATTTGTGATTTATTCCCCACATCTTTGTGTGGGGTTCTTACTTTTGGGGCTGTCCCGCCTCTCCTTCTCCTCCTCCTCCTTCTTCTCCTCCTCCTCCCCGTCCTCCTCTTCCTGTTCCTCATGTCGCATGCATGACATCACGATCACGCACATCACGCATCACATCACGCACATGACGCGGTGTCACGCATCAAATCACATCACGCACATGACGTACCATCACGCACATGACGCCGCATCACATCACGCACATGACGTACCATCACGCGCACATCACGCATACGCACATGACGTACCATCACGCACATGACGCCACATCACGATCACGCACATCACGCACATGACGTACCATCACGCGCACATCACGCATACGCACATGACGTACCATCACGCACATGACGCCACATCACGATCACGCACATCACGCATCACATCACTTAGGGGCCCAGGCGCGACACAGGCGTCGTTTCTGCTGGCAGGCGCGGTACTTAGGGGCTCTGGACCCTTGCCGCGCGCGCTGGGGGGCTCGCCAAACGCTGGCAGGCGCGACACAGGCGTCGTTTCTGCTGGCAGGCGCGGTACTTCGGGGCCCTGGACCTTTGCCGCGCGCGCGCTGGGGGGCTCGCCAAACGCTGGCAGGCGCGACACATGCGTCCTTTGTGCTGGCAGGCGCGGTACTTAGAGGCCCTGGACCTTTGCCGCGCGCGCGCTGGGGGGCTCGCCAAACGCTGGCAGGCGCGACACATGCGTCGTTTGTGCTGGCAGGCGCAGTACTTAGAGGCCCTGGACCCTTGCCGAGCGCGCGCTGGGGGGCTCGCCAAACGCTGGCAGGCGCGACACATGCGTCGTTTGTGCTGGCAGGCGCGGTACTTAGAGGCCCTGGACCCTTGCCGCGCGCGCGCTGGGGGGCTCGCCAAACGCTGGCAGGCGCGACACATGCGTCGTTTGTGCTGGCAGGCGCGGTACTTAGGGCCCTGGACCTTTGCCGAGCGCGCGCTGGGGGGCTCGCCAAACGCTGGCAGGCGCGACACATGCGTCGTTTGTGCTGACAGGCGCGGTACTTAGAGGCCCTGGACCCTTGCCGAGCGCGCGCTGGGGGGCTCGCCAAACGCTGGCAGGGCGACACATGCGTCGTTTGTGCTGACAGGCGCGGTACTTAGAGGCCCTGGACCCTTGCCGAGCGCGCGCTGGGGGGCTCGCCAAACGCTGGCAGGCGCGACACAGGCGTCGTTTGTGCTGGCAGGCGCGGTACTTAGGGGCCCTGGACCTTTGCCGCGCGCGCGCTGGGGGGCTCGCCAAACGCTGGCAGGCGCGACACAGGCGTCGTTTGTGCTGGCAGGCGCGGTACTTAGGGCCCTGGACCTTTGCCGCGCGCGCGCTGGGGGGGCCAAACGCTGGCAGGCGCGACACAGGCGTCGTTTGTGCTGGCAGGCGCGGTACTTGCCCTGGACCTTTGCCGCGCGCGCGCTGGGGGGCTCGCCAAACGCTGGCAGGCGCGACACATGCGTCCTTTGTGCTGGCAGGCGCGGTACTTAGAGGCCCTGGACCTTTGCCGTGCGCGCGCTGGGGGGCTCGCCAAACGCTGGCAGGCGCGACACATGCGTCGTTTGTGCTGGCAGGCGCAGTACTTAGTTGCCGAGCGCGCGCTGGGGGGCTCGCCAAACGCTGGCAGGCGCGACACATGCGTCATTTGAAGTGCTGGCAGGCGCGGTACTTAGAGGCCCTGGACCCTTGCCGAGCGCGCGCTGGGGGGCTCGCCAAACGCTGGCAGGCGCGACACATGCGTCGTTTGTGCTGACAGGCGCGGTACTTGGAGGCCCTGGACCCTTGCCGAGCGCGCGCCGCGCGCTGGGGGGCTCGCCAAACGCTGGCAGGCGCGACACATGCGTCGTTTGTGCTGACAGGCGCGGTACTTAGAGGCCCTGGACCCTTGCCGAGCGCGCGCTGGGGGGCTCGCCAAACGCTGGCAGGCGCGACACAGGCGTCGTTTGTGCTGGCAGGCGCGGTACTTATAGAGGCCCTGGACTTTTGCCGAGCGCGCGCTGGGGGGCTCGCCAAACGCTGGCAGGCGCGACACGGGCGTCGTTTGCGCTGACAGGCGCGGTACTTAGCGGCCCTGGACCCTTGCCGAGCGCGAGCTGGGGGGCTCGCCAAACGCTGGCAGGCGCGACACATGCGTCGTTTGTGCTGACAGGCGCGGTACTTAGAGGCCCTGGACCCTTGCCGAGCGCGCGCTGGGGGGCTCGCCAAACGCTGGCAGGCGCGACACAGGCGTCGTTTGTGCTGGCAGGCGCGGTACCTAGGGCCCCTGGACCCTTGCCGCGCGCGCGCTGGGGGGCTCGCCAAACGCTGGCAGGCGCGACACATGCGTCGTTTGTGCTGACAGGCGCGGTACTTAGAGGCCCTGGACCCTTGCCGAGCGCGCGCTGGGGGGCTCGCCAAACGCTGGCAGGCGCGACACATGCGTCGTTTGTGCTGACAGGCGCGGTACTTATAGAGGCCCTGGACCCTTGCCGAGCGCGCGCTGGGGGGCTCGCCAAATGCTGGCAGGCGCGACACAGGCGTCGTTTGTGCTGGCAGGCGCGGTACTTAGGGCCCCTGGACCTTTGCCGCGCGCGCGCTGGGGGGCTCGCCAAACGTTGGCAGGCGCGACACATGCGTCCTTTGTGCTGGCAGGCGCGGTACTTAGGGGCCCTGGACTCTTGCCGCGCGCGCTGGGGGGCTCGCCAAACGCTGGCAGGCGCGACACATGCGTCCTTTGTGCTGGCAGGCGCGGTACTTAGGGGCCCTGGACCTTTGCCGGGCGCGCGCTGGGGGGCTCGCCAAACGCTGGCAGGCGCGACGCATGCGTCGTTTGTGCTGGCAGGCGCGGTACTTAGGGCCCTTGGACCTTTGCCGCGCGCGCGCTGGGGGGCTCGCTAAACGCTGGCAGGCGCGACACATGCGTCCTTTGTGCTGGCAGGCGCGGTACTTAGGGCCCCTGGACCTTTGCCGCGCGCGCGCACGCGTTGCCGGGCGCGCGCTGGGGGGCTCGCCAAACGCTGGCAGGCGCGACGCATGCGTCGTTTGCGCTGGCAGGCGCGGTACTTAGGGCCCCTGGACCTTTGCCGCGCGCGCGCTGGGGGGCTCGCCAAACTCTGGCAGGCGCGACACATGCGTCCTTTGTGCTGGCAGGCGCGGAACTTAGGGCCCTTGGACCTTTGCCGGGCGCGCGCTGGGGGGCTCGCCAAACGCTGGCAGGCGCGACACATGCGTCGTTTGTGCTGGCAGGCGCGGTACTTAGGGGCCCTGGACCCTTGCCGCGCGCGCGCTGGGGGGCTCGCCAAACGCTGGCAGGCGCGACACATGCGTCCTTTCTGCTGGCAGGCGCGGTACTTAGGGGTCCTGGAACCTTGCCGCGCGCGCGCTGGGGGGCTCACCAAACGCTGGCAGGCGCGACACATGCGTCCTTTGTGCTGGCAGGCGCGGTACTTAGGGGCCCTGGACCGGTGCCGCGCGCGCGCTGGGGGGCTCGCCAAACGCTGGCAGGCGCGACACATGCGTCCTTTGTGCTGGCAGGCGCGGCACTGAGGGGCCCTGGGCGGTTGCCGCGCGCGCGCGCTCGGGGGCTCGCGAAACGCTGGCAGGCGCGACACAGGTGTTGTTTGTGCTGGCAGGCGCGGCACTTAGGGGCCCTGGGCCGTTGCCGCGCGCGCGCTCTGCACCGACCCTCCAAGTAGTACGCCGGGGGGAGCTTCCGTGGCTGGAAAGTCGACTTTTTGTAGTACAGACGTAGTACGCCGCGGACGCCCTGGGCGTCTGAAGACACCGCACATAGCATGGTAACGGACATCTGGGCGCCTGAAAAACACCGCAAATAGCATGGTAGCGGACATCTGGGCGCATGAAAACACCGCAAATAGCATGGTAACGGACATCTGGGCGCTTGAAAACACCGCAAACAAATATCATGGTAACGGACATCTGGGCGCTTGAAAACACCGCAAATAGCATGGTAACAGACATCTGGGCGCTTGAAAACACCGCAAATAGCACGGTGACGGACGTCTGGGCGCTCGAAAACACCGCAAGTAGCACGGTAACGGACATCTGGGCGCTTGAAAACACCGCAAATAGCATGGTAACGGACATCTGGGCACTTGAAAAACACCGCAAATAGCATGGTAACGGACATCTGGGCGCAAATAGCATGGTAACGGAGTTCCGCGCGCGTGAAGACACGGGGATGTTTTTGTCTTTTCTCGTCGACAACCTCGCAAATATCGTGGGACTCGAGTTCCGGGCTCGAATTCCTCGAAAACCTCGCAAATATCGTGGGACTCGAGTTCCGGGCTCGAATTCCTCGAAAACCTCGCAAATATCGTGGGACTCGAATTCCGGGATGTCGAAACCCTCCCAAATATCGTGGGACTCGAATTCCGGGGCATCAAAAACCTCTCGCAAACATCGTGGGACTCGCATTCCGGGGCGTCGAAAGCCTCGCAAGAAAACCTCGCAAATATCGTGGGACTCAAATTCCGGGGCGTCGAAAACCTGGGAAATATCGTGGGACTCGAATGTGAATGCCATGCAGCGGACCGGGAAAAAAGTGATCTCGTTTTGGAGGGAAGGCAGCCAGTCCTGCGCTCAGACCCGTCTCTCTGTG